TTGAATAGTTTCAATTTATTTCTTATACTAATTTACCTCGCCATGACCACTACCCCCCCTCCATGGGATACAGGTTTTTCAGCTGGTTGTACATCTCCACATTCCCTAGACTGAGACCATAAAGATAAACTCTTAGAGCATTTCCAGAGCCTTTTACTTTTGTCGGAGTTTTAGCTCTATCTGCAGACGGCATCATCACATCAAATCTCTTGGAGCTGGGGCAACTTGGCACTTTATGGAACTCACAGACAAATTGACTCCCTCTGCTGGAGAAAAGGGAAATATTCTACAATAAGGAGTTCTGAGAGTAGCCAGCTCCTGAAAAGAAATCCGGGTGATCAGGTAATGAATGATCTGCTGTTGTTCTATGGCAGCAGTCCTTCCTCACTGTTTAATTGTGCATAATATATATTCTAATGATTGGGTACCCCGTTTCTCCAGGTAAGGATTTCCTGACTCTCAGATTCATACACTTTATCTAACTGAGGACACTTGATATCTATCTCTCTCTCTATCTATCTATCTATCTATCTATCTATCTATCTATCTATCTATCTATCTAATCTATCTATCTATCTATCTATCTATCATCTATCCATCCATCCATCCATCCATCCATCCATCCATCCATCCATCCATCCATCCATCCATCCATCATCTTTAAAATGTCTGCACATATACATGATCAAGGTATACAATTTAAAAAGTCATTGAAATTTTGATATAGATTACAATCTCTTCTACTAAAAATCTCTGATTAGCTCCAACTTTGACTGATTCTTCTTGGATATTGTGGACTCAAAAATAGAAACTTAGAGTAATAGAGATTGGCCGACAAATCCTCATTGACCGTAAAATGTATTGCTTTGCTATAAAAGCATTCGATTTACCTTAGTCCACTCTGAAATTGTCTTTTATTTAAATCCAATGCCCAAATAGTTCTACTTATTATTAGACTGAAACTGCTTCTGAAAGAAGCTCTTGAACTGTGCTCTGACTTGGTGGGAATTACTGAAATCAACTAGTAAGTAATTTAATAAGTCTGTTTGAAACCTAATAAGATAGTCCCTGGAGAAAAGGGTTAGGTCCTAATTCTTGCAAAGGTAGCAAAGAAAATAGGCGTGACTCCAGGAGTCACTGCCTGCTGTATTATAGGGGACCATGTTTTCAGTAGAACTGGGAAAATACATTTTATCCTCTGGAACAGCATGACTGTTTTGAAGTAAATAAAATTTATTTACTGTGATCATACAAATGTTATGCAGGGAACTGGTGAAAGCAGCTTACCCACAAGAAAATTTTTACTGACACACCTTTCCCTTCTGACATACCCAACAAGTGTCTCAGCTAGCTGTGCATTCCAATACTCCAATAGAAGTGAAAATCTTTTCCACTTTCATTCTTAGTGACATCTGTAGAATCTTTCCTTCTATAAATTAGAAATGTTAGAGTTTATTATCCCAAAGACTGGCATAGGAACACTGACATGAAGGGTGGAAGAAGACTACATACCACTCATAATTCTTATTGAAATATTTCACATTATAAAACAGGATAAAATGCATTAGCATGGAGCCAAATTTCTAAACTGTGCACCAGCTCTGGATCACTGTGTACAATTCTTTCATGTTTCTTCTGTGTCCTCTCAAATTTTATGAGTAAGCATTGTTGACATCTCATCAGCATTATTTGCTACTCTCAGGTTATAGCAAGGAAATCTCAGGCCTAGTTTTCCTCAAAGACAAATTCCCTCACTCTGGGAAACTGGGCTCTAACTTTAAAGTAAAGAATAAGAATATTTGTTGCTTCCTCTTACATAGAAGTCTCATTTTTTATATGGACCTGGAGTTTCATGAGACTCCGTACTTTCCAGCTTCTTCATCAAAAGTCCTTTAGGATTTCCCAGCAGCTAACTAAAAGGATCAGGCTTACCATAAGGGAAGACTGAATTAAAATCAAAACTTCTCTACTGCCAGGCAGTAGAGAAATCAGGCAGGCACTCAGTCACTCATTGTCACAAGTTGCCTCTGGTGGATGGTACAGAGAATCACTCTAGACACCTCATTTTGGAACACACTTTGCAAGCTTCCCCTATCCAGGTATATAGGTAAGTTTCTGTTGGGCTTTGTTTATGTGTAGGGGAAAATAACAATTTCCTTATTTTGGAAGAGTTAAGACTAAAACAGTACAGCAGAAACACCATTTCACTGTTTGTGTAAAGGTTTCACTTTCATAGGATGGCAGAAGATACAGGCTCTATGATCATTCATGCATTCATTCATTCATTCATTCATTCATTCATTCATTCATTCATTCATATCCTGCTCCTTCATCATCTCTTGGAGATTTTACCACATCTTTAAACTTTATCTTCTGGCAGAATGTCCAAATCTGAAAGAGTCAAAATAATAAAGCAACAATTCTGCCAAGGCTGCAGTTTATAATTTTTAAATAAATGTTTAACAATTTAATGATTTTTTAAAAATAAGATGGTATGCTTCTTAAAACATGTAACTGACATGTAGTTTGTATTTCTGCTCAGGTTGAATAACACAATTTTCAAATATTTAAACAGAGTAAGTATAATTCTTCATCATGCATTTCCATCAAAGTCAGTGGTAGTAGCAGCTTGGCCTGGCAGTTTGGTAGTTATTGCAGTGATGGTGATGCTAAGTGCATCATAATAGTGTATAAGAAGCTTGAGGTCAGGATAAATTAGAAAACACTAGTTTTTTGTTTGAGTAGGATGACACAGTTTCCCCTACGTCTTTTTTTTTCTATTTGACTAGAGTTTAATTTTGCTTTGCTGGCCATAAGAATGGAAGGCCATTTGTACAAGGTAATTGCTATCAGTAGACTATGAATGTTCAAATATTCCAGAGAAGTGGCTACTGCATGTAGGCAAAGCAGCTCAACAGTGCACTCACAAAAAGTCTAAACAGAGAATTTAACATACATTCATATAATTTGTAATACTTAGCATGTGCTGAGGAAATGGCCCCTGAAATTTAATGCGGACAAGATGCATCAAGCTGAGTATATACAAACAAGCCATGTATAAAGTGCTTATTCATTCATTCTGCCTGGAATTCTCAGGCAAAGCATGGTAGCCCATAGTAATACACAGTAGTATTAAGATTGTAATCTAGGTTAATAGCTCTGAAAAGAATAATTTTATTGACTAGTATAACAATATTGAGACACTGTGAAGTATGTTCTCCTATTACTTTAATTTTTTTGAACACTCAAAAATTCACCTAAATTTACTCCAAAACTGAAAATCTCAACCCAGCAATTTTTTCCTTCTTGCATTTAGGGTATGTTACATGAACTTATGCTTGAAAGGAATAAAAAGTGTCTTACAAATATCTAGGCTTTTATGTTTTTCCAATGAGCTCCACCAAACACATGGTGAAACATCCACTCTTGAATGCTTTACAAATGCTCCATTAATGCTGGCAACCCTGGACACACCAAGAATGAAATGAAAGTTGAATGTTGTGAATTGCCATTCCCCATCACTGACAGAGAAATGAACTGTTGTGAGCAACTACAAAAGAGGCACAGCCTTGGAAGAGCAAGTTTCTGAACAATGTGCTGAAAAGATTTGACTGCCATCTACAGACATGAGTAACTAGTGCACTGGCAGCAATTTAAAAAGAACCCTAAAATTACAAACCCAATAAAAACCAGTGCAGATATTAGACAAAAGCTAATTATTTATGTATGGGGAGCTACCGCAAAACAGTGGAGCTACCACAAAAAGCTTCCCAGTTGGTTTTGGGGGGAGTTTGTTTGATTTTTTGTTTGCTTGTTTTTCTCATTAAAAATATAAACACACAGAGAAACATCAGCTTCCTTCATTCTCTAGAGTGGCTTGAGAGTTAATAGATCCACTGTCTAGTATTGCCTAAAGATAAATAGATAGAAAGAGAAAATACTAACATTTTCTTTGTATTTAAACTATGAAGTGCTGATTTTCCCATAGTTAACTTCTCAGTTAAATTGTCTTAAATAGCTTCTCTCATACAGAGTCATTACTTAGCAAACCCATGAAATTTTCAATTACATTGTGAATTTCTAATCATATGTATAGTGACCGAATGTTTGTATGTGGGTACAGCTGTACATACATCACCTACATACAGTTTTCTGTGAAATTCTGGCCACCTAATCAGTCTAGTTCACAACAGGACAACATATCACAACACAGGTAAACTGTACAAAGATTTTCTTTCAGCTATTCAGAACAGCTAGCACGGTAGCTCAGTTCTCCCTTGTCAAATACTCTCTTTTCACTCTGACTTAAAACCACTTTCCTTTATCTGACAGCTGCTGCCAAACTGTCTTTACTTCCTCCCTGAACTAGCTCACTACCTAAGCAGTTACCCTGCGAAAATCCTCTTTCAAAAATTTTATAAAATTTTATAAACTTTCAAAATCATTGCTTAGCAAAAGGCAAATGGATTAGGAGAGCCGTGTATTTCAAGGATTGACAATGAATGACAAAATTACTTAGAACCATATAAATTGTACATCTATAATTAAAATTATTACATTTACACACCACATGGAGCTGTTCTCATGCATTATTCTTCAGAGATCAGAATTACATATAAAAGTTAATATGCAGTGTATTTTAACAAAAAAACAAGTCACAGACAGAAAAGGCTGTGGGCCCAAACAGAAGATAACTTTCAAAATCCTTCAGAAGTTTGAACTGAGCACAGCATTCCACACGTGGGACTGGCTTCTCACATTTCTGTACATTTCATTCATCAGTTTTCATTAACTATTTTCAGACAGTGTGTAATTTCACTTGAATTCCCAACACAGGATAGGAATATTGGATTAATTTTAAGTGTCATATGTTGAAACTTTACATTTTCCAAAAATATTTCCACTGAAGAAGGTCTGTTGAGACATGGCCATGAAAATGAAGAAAAGGAAAGCAAACATATACTTACTCTATATTTTGAGACTTCAGCCTTTTTACTTACCTGAGTACCAAAACAAGCAACCATCATATGAGTGAGAAGTTTAGCTGCAAACATGGCACATCTGGTGCAGAAAAGGTGGGAGATGATAGCCAAAGTGAAACCTACACAGAAATGTCAATGAAAAAAGAAAAAAAAAAGTAATATTTAAGTTTAGGCTAATAAACTGTTCTATATTATCCAGAAGATGTTTCTTGAAGGTGCAGATTGCCTAAAAAAAACCAACCAAACAAAACTTACAGAGAGATTATGTTTATTCTGGTTCACACTGGGATCACTCGTGAGTTTATTTCAAGTACTACTAACATGTATTTAATGTTCCCATGGGCCTGGGAGCTAAAATAACTTCATAATGTAAGCAAGCAATTTTTGAAAAGTGTGTTTTGGTGTCATTTTCTGCATGACATGGGTTATTATCATAATAATTATATACAAAGCAAAGGCACTGTTCAGTGTTCATATTAGTGCACCCACAAAAATGCTTTTAGGAACAGTTCCATTAAAAAAATGCCTCCTGTTGTAGCACTATTTTAGCAGCGCTAAATGCCATCTCCCATTTTATCTGTGTTGAGCACAGAAATTTGTTATACCAGTAGTTAGGAGGAATGACACCACTTTTCATTTCACTAATTAATTGTAAACATGAACAGAACAAATATGGAAAAGGTCCTTTCCTATCAATAAGAAGCACCTGGGAAAAGGACTCTAGGAAAGTTCAGCCACCAAGGAAAACATTGCTAAATCTCAACATTAATTAATTGTCCACTTCCACACCCCAGTCAGGGCAGGAATTTGGGTTATTAAGGCAGATCTTTTATGCCAGTCTTGAGATTGACTATTTGTTACTAATTTTTAAGAGATGAGTGAAATAAGTAATTGCTAAAAGTATTATTTCTTAAGTATTTCAAAATTACTTAGTGATATTTATACCACTATCTACATGGTCTCTCTTTTATTTTTATATTCTTCACATCTAGATGGAAATGTCAAGATAAATGAATAATATTCTTATCACTCTTAAAAATAAAGCAATTTGTTACTTTAAAGTTTCATTTCAATCTAATAATATCACACAAGTAAACATTTTTAACCAGCCAAAAAAAGCTGAAAGGCATTGGAAAGCATTTGCCTCAAATTCAAAGTGAACCCTTAACCAAGCTAAACTACTATTTTAAACACATTTTTATGATCTACGACTATAGTACATGACTAGTTCTGAACAATGATCTGTATCTTTATTACTCCAATTCAGCAAAATGTCTTCTTAGCTTTTGCATAATTTTTTTCTTCAGTTCCTATAGCATTTTGCATTTTACAGCATTTTGTTTCATTAACTTACTTGTTTTTTCTCTGTAATCCAGTAATTGTATTCTAAAATCTGCTTATTTTTATGTGCTAAAATCTCCTTTTTTATTCTTTAATATCAATTTGTGTGGAGCAGATAAAAAACTGAGAGGTTTTTCTTCTTTCTTTGTCTTAATTTTCTTTGGATGACAATTTAAAAAAATTAAGGAGCCTAGATTTAATCTGTTAGGGCAGTGTGCTTGGATTAACCTGCTTTCACAATTTTTGTTACTTATATAGTGATGATCTAATATAAAAGTCATAAACCTCATAAGGAGTACACCCAGACTCCCATTTAAGAGGGTTAAAGTTAGGCAAGAATTCAATTTAGCATGTTTTCTTAATAAGACCATTACTCTTACTGCCTGTAAATGCAAGAGTTCATTTTCAACCAAAAGAATTCTATGGTTCTAAGTAAAATTTACTACAATTTGTGATTGCTGTAACATAATAGTAAACCAGCTGCAATGTGAAAGGCTCCTTCAGAAGCTAAGTTGAGTTTAGGACCTGCTTCCTGCCTGGCATTTTGGGACTTATGGTGTTGAGGCTGCTAATGAAGAGAGTCATGTTCCTTATAGGTTAAACTCTTAGGGTTTTTTTCCCAAGATCTTGGGCAGCAGCTAGGCAGCAGAGTGTAATGGAATCTATATCCCTTGAGTTATCACTTCTGATAACCTGCAAATTCCAGGTAAAATTGTCAAAGAAATTTGACCAAGAGGATGACTGTACTGCTGCTAGCAATACAGATGAATTTAGAAATTTTAGGTTTCTTCCCTCAAATGAATGACATACTATGTCTTTTCAATAAAGCATCTCAAGGAAACGGCCAATCAGAAGTGTGCCAGGACCATGTATAGGAGATTTCAATGGCTCTAGGAAGCGTATTGACCTGGACTGGGCGAACAGGGGCATGGCACAGCAGTTTGCACAGCAGTTTGCACAGGAGGAGTGCAGCTGCTCTCTTGGCTCCTGGTGGTGGGTTATATGTTAGATGGGTGTGTTTTGGTTAGGTTTTTTTGGTTATTTTTCCACCAACTTGACTAGATCCAGCAATGGTTTACAAATAGTCAAACGCGTTGCTGCTGCTGCCAGTAAAAGTGTGCTAAGCCAAACAGAACCTCTCAAGAAGGACACAGCTGTCCAGATCCCTGGCTGCAGGGAGTGTCTGAGCCTGGGGGCAGTATCTGAGGACAGTGCAAAGGCACCTGTGAGTGGTATGAGCAGGTGAATGATCTATTCTGTCTGGTGGCAGGCTTAAGCAAGAAGTGGAAAGGCTAAGGAATATTAGGGAGAGCAAAAGAGAAATTGACTGGTGGTGTTACAGCATTGCAACCCTGAGAGAAGCTTGGCAGGAGTCAGAGGAGCCCTGTCCGTCTTACCATCAGGCAGAAGGAGGAGACCTAGCAGATGGGGGGACTGGAAATGGGTGCCTACTTGGAGAGGTAGCAAAATTCCCTCCTGACCCCCATCACCTTCCCAGGAGCCCTCACAGAATAGGTGTGGGGCCCTGGGTCCAGAGGCTCAGGCAGATGATGGTAAACAAAAAAAATCTGTCTGGAGTCTCCCAGGTGCACTTCATCTGTCATGGTGGATGGATCACAACCTCAGGAAATTAAGAATAAAAGAAAGGTAGTTGTAGTAGGTCACTCCCTTCTAAGGGGAACTGAGAGCTCTGTATGTCAACCAGACCCATCCTACAGGGATATCTGCTGCCTTTCTGGGGCCCAGGTATGGAATATCAACAGGAGACTCCCTGAACTAATTCAGACTTCTGATTATTACCACTGCTGCTTGTCCAGGTTGGCAGTGGTGAGGTTGACAAGAAGGATACCAGGGTAATTTAAAAGGATATCATGACTCTGGATTAATTGGTTGATGGGGCAGGAGCACAGATGTGCTTCTGCTCAGTTCCTTCAGGAGCAGGGATGAATGATAAAAGGAATAGGAAAACCCATATTATCAATGAATGGCTTAAGGGCTGGTGCCATCAGAAGAATTTAGGCTTTCCTACCATGGGCAATTTTTACAGCACCAGGCCTGCTTGAGACAGATGGGCTCCATCTGTCTAACAAGGGCAAAAGAATTCTAGCCCATGAGTCAGCAGGGCTGATTGAGAAGGCTTTAAACTAGATTTGAAGGGGGAAGCTGATGAAACAAGGCACTCCAGAGATGAGCCAAAGGGTGATAAGCCAGAGTCAGAGGTGAAATCAACAGCCCAGCTGAAGTGCATGTACACTGTGCACGCAGTGTGGGTAACAAAGGAGGAGCTGGAAGCCATCGTATGGAAGCAGGAAAGCAATTATATAGTCACCATCACAGAAACCTGGTGGGATGGCTCGCAGGACTGGAGCACTGCAGTGGATGGCTACAAGCTCTTCACAAGAGACAGCAGATCACAAGAGACAGCAGAGGGAGAAGAGGTGGAGGGGTGGCTCTGTATGTTAGGGAAGCTCTGGACACTGTGGAAGTCAAGATTAATGTCAATAAGATCAAGTGCCATGGGTAAGAATCAGGGAAAGGCCTACAAGGCTGACATCCTGGTGGGAGTCTTCCACAGACCAATAAAACAGAATAAAGAGATAGATGAATTATTGTACAAGCAGCTGGAGAATGTTTCAGGATTGCCAGCCCTTGTTCTTGTAGGAGATTTAACTTGCCAGATATCTGCTGGGAACTCAACATAGTGGAAAAGAGACAGTCTAGGAGGTTCTTGGATTGTATGGAGGAGAGTTTCTTGTCACAGCTGCTGAGCAAGTCTGCCATGGGTGGGGCTCTTCTAGACCTGCTGTTTGCAAACAGAGAGGAGCTGGTGGTGGTTAGAGGCCATTAAATGGCCATTAAATGGTCAGGGAGCATTAAATAATAGAGTTATCAATATTCAGTGAAACAAGGATATTGAAACTTCAATAAAACTTTTACACTAGACTTCTAGAGAAATTCAGGATGCTGTTTTGGAGAGTACCCTGGGAAACAGCCCTCAAAAGCAAAGGGATCCAGGAAAGTGGGCATACTTCAGGAAGGCACAGGAGTAGGCTGTCCCTATGTGCCAAAATATGAGCCAGCAGGGATTGGAATGGGCTGCCTAGGGTTTAAGAAAAGACTGGATGTGGCACTCAGTGCCATTGTCTAGTTGGCAAGGTGGTATTAGGTCACAGGTTGGACTTGATGAAAATATTTTCCAACAGAGTTGATTCTGTAATACATCTAAGATTGACATTTTTTTCCAGTGGCAAAATCTGTCATTGTGCAAATACCAGACAAGCTGGCACCTTTAATAACGTGAAGTTAGTTAACATTTATTAAATATTCCATTAAGTAAAAAGATGGTCATCAGCTACCAAAAATGTTAATAATCCCTCAGTTTTACTGGTCATCAGTTGTTATTATTGAGAAAGCTGTCTTAAATGAACTGACCTGAAATGCAGATGAATCCAGAAGAAAAAAAAGCCTCGTTGTATGAAGACAAGTTATCTGTTTGGGCATAAACTGCGTAAATGGACATATGAGAACAGGAGCATTCCACATAATCTGATGTGTCATCAACCACTTTGCAGAACCCGCTATCAGACAGCCAGCTGTAATACAAGTTTCACAAAGTTGGAAATGGACTTGTGTAATTCACATGGTAAGCAGGCTTAAAAATTTTTGTTGTATTCCTGGAATACCAACTTCCCTAAACTATTGCAGAGGTGTTTTCTGTAATCTTTCATGTGCGCTGCTCAGAATCGCACATTTACATGAGATTAAAATGTTGTTTATAGCTTTTTTTATGTGGGCTTTTTTTTTTAAATCTTTGTACATGTATTAAAATCAACTTTTTTTCACTAGAGAATTTTTGTGGCCATATTTTTAAAATTTTGACTAGATTTCTAGGTCTGTCTGACTTTATAAATAGTTTGCTACTTAACTTTGCTCCGTACCTTACCTTGCTATGGACAACATTTTATACGGCTCATTTTTGTTTGAAACTAGAATTCAGGGGTTTTGTTGTTGTTGTTTTTTGTTTGTTTGTTTGTTTGTTTTTCCAGTATTGCTGAAGTGGTTTGGAAAAAGGATAAGGCATACCACAAGTGATATCCTGTGCCATTTCTACTGGAAATTGTGCATAGATAAAAGAGCATACAGGTAAATTGTGGTGCATCCTCTCCTGAAGAGAAATAGGTTGTAACAACAGCAGGCTGATATCATCCAATTGGTCTAATGAAATTGAATCTAAACCAAGTAGACTTCAACAGGATACAGAACATCATTATCTCCAAATCATTAACATGTTCATTGATACAATTTTGGGATTCATGACCTGTCACTATAACCTAATGCACCATTAAACAATCTAAATGGTATTTTGATGAAAAGAGGACAGAAGTCTGCGAAATATCTGAGCTAGAATAACTACTGATTTTATTCTAAGAAAAATTTTATGTACTGGTAAAATGGTCAGAAAAATTAAGGAAAAAAGACATGAAATGGATCCATTTTATACTTGCAAATGGTTTAATTGGAGTTATCACATTTTACAGAAATACATGGATTCATAGTAGAAAATGGAAAACTAAACAGAATAATAAAATAACCTTTCAGCAGCTTGATTCCAGAGGAGACATATAGACTTCTGTGGAACAATCTGACTTCCTTCAGCATAGATACGATAAATTACTTCATTGTTATCTTTCAAAGGTTGTGAACTCCGACCTTTCAAGCTCATTGAAAAAACCTGAAACAACATGTACAATGTAAAGATATATTTAATATTAAGATTCTACACAGTGCTCATTTTAATCAGAGACAACCATAAAAATGATCACATTATTTTACATACATTTAATGTTTTGAGCAATAGCTAAATTAAAACAAATTATTGAAAAAAAAAAATTGCATTATCTTCAAACCTTGTTCTTCAGGGCAAGTTCTTTATCTCTAGAAAGGAACCATTGCTGACTGCTGTATTCTGTAAACTGTACAGATTCACAGTTCTCTTCCTGGGAAGATGATAATACTATAGAGACCTCTAGGAGATGTTCAGGTACTTGAATAGAATCCCCATCTTTTCCATTAAATCTATGTCCATTGATTTGTTGAGGAAACCAGTTGTGAGCCATTATTGCAATATATGGGCAGCTGTCAAGGATATTTTTGCCTCTGTGGAAATGGAAAAGCAATAGGACTGGTAACTTCATTATTCACCATGTAATGACTCTAAAATGTATTTGTCACTCATTAGTACTTTATTAATTCATCATTTTTAGGCTTATGATATTTAATTGGCACATTTCAGTTTCTGTGGAAAAAAAAAGGCTGGATTTTTTTTACATATTTCAGCTTCTTCATTTCTTCTCTGGGATTTTCTCCTTATGACCTGCAACTAAAACCTGTCCATAGTGAACAAGGCTATCAAAACATTCATCTTTACAGCTTGATGTAGAACTGAGTCTAAAAAACAGGGGCAGCATTAAAATGGATGATGTTGCTTTATTTTTTTTCCTAACATATGATGCAAAAAAAAAATTGGCATAAAGAATTTCAGTTTATGATTTCTAAACACTGAACACACATTCCACCACCAGCTTAACAGATTCTCAATGGGAGAAACACAGTATTTAAAACCATCTGTCTCATAAGAAAGAATAATCTCTTTCTCAGTCACCTGTTTCCCCTGCCCATTAACCTGATGAGGGTATTATGCCCTTGGAGACAAAACTAGCAATTTTAAACTATGAGTAGCTTTAAAATTTTTAAAACAATGTTCAAGTGAGCAAAACCAAAAACATACAAATTACAAAACACCAGTAAAATTTTGGATTGCTAGCTTTCATCTAAGGCTTAGAACACAGCTCTGCATCATACAATTACATATTATTTTCTTAGCAAGAAAATGAATACTTTTCCAGGCAATATTTGAGCTAAATGTGGGTCAATACATGCCAGATCTCCTGACTCATGTTCCCACATCTACCCCATACCAAAATGAGAGTTATGTGTGACACTCAGTCTTATAAAGCACTATATATTGGCACTATGACACAGTGCTTTGTAAGGCCATGACACTATAACAACACATTCACATATAGGTGATAGGAGACAAGTCCCTTTTCTGAAAATGTAATTTAGATTTTGTGTATTGATAATTTGTCGTGCATTTACAAAACATATTATGAATTAAAGATTACTAACCTTTCTGCTGGTGATCCACACTTTATCCCAGTCAACAGAGAAAAAGCAAACTTCTCAGTCACCTCAGCAAGCAGGCTATATCCTTGTGTGTCCTCACGTTTTGGGCTTGCCAGAGCACAGAGTATCTCATAGAAAAGACTTCTACTTTTATCAGTGAGTAACAGTTTTTCACCTACACCTGTAACCTAATGAGAGGAGAAGAAATCAAAGGAATCTGCTTATAATATTTCCTCATGTTCAATGGTTTAGTGATATCTTCACTGTCATTCCAATATTCATTCTGAAAGTTCAGAATATTTTTCCCAACTCCTGATCACTGTTTCCAAGGCATAAGACACAGTCTGTCAAAACTACATAAAGATATGCTTACTAGAGAACTTGATTATTAAAGAAAGGATGTGGCATTTTTCATTCTTTGACAAACCAAAGATTGTTGAGTCATGAAAATTTTAAAAATTATTTTCTCTGTTTTCTGTGTGGCAACAATAAAAAATGAATAGCTATTGTTATAATGCTTTGAATCTAGGTATGTAGACATTTTCTAGCTTCTGTGCATTATTCAAAGAGTCCAGAAGAGACAGAATTCCATAAAACTAGTTCATAATTTTTACAGAACTTAGTGCAATTCTTAAGCACTTAGCTACGCTGATAACCCAATTCCCTAAGCCACTGGAGGAAAAAAGACTGATGTTTGGTTAAGACTAAAAGAGACTCCAGCTGGCCCAGACAGGATTTGCTTGCATGTTGACTGCAGTCTGCTGTAAAGATATGAGCAGGGGCTGTGCCAGCCTAAAATCAACAAAGGTGTGACCCAAGAGTCAAGAAAACATAATAAGCTCTATGAAACTACAGCACCAAAGGGAAAATTGCACAGTAGAAAATCTAGAGCTACAGGTATGTATGCAAAATTAATACTGGTTGCTCATTTCAACCTGTTTTATATCTGATTTCTTGCCACTATCCTAAGTAGTGGCAGACAAACTCTTTCCTTGATTGTGGGGCTTCACTTTTACTTCTGCAGTTGGTGCTTCTGAGTCACTGCTGTGGATTTTATCTGCATTGTTTTATATATGTATGTGCCTTGTTGTGTTCTTACACTCTAATTAATGTCATTAGACACTGAAGAAAAAATAGGAAGGGTTTACCTTATCTATTATATGCACTACAGCAGTAAGTTGCTCTTCTGTAGTTTCTGTAGCCACTTTGGCATTCAGATTCTGAAGGATTCTGTGTAAAATAGTGTCATCAAGAGGCTGATGCAATTGATCAATTAGTCCCCAAACTGGCAAGGAATCTAAATCTGAGACAATGGTGATGTTAGAAATACCATACACATCATCTACCCTGGCACCGCCTGTGGGATTAGAAAGCACAACCTGGAAACGCTTAGGATATGGGTTTAACGATCCTATCTTTGGAGTCAGGGTCACATCCAGGAATGCATTTCTCTGTCCGTGTTCAAAAGTCAATAAACCTTCAGATCTGGCAAAATCTTGTCCTGCCACAGCTGGAGATATGAAGGTCCGTCCAATAGGTTCAGGTATTTGTAGCTCCTTAAAACAAACCAAAAGAGTTTTAGGTAACATTATGATAGACGTAATCGCTCAAAACCACCTGCTGTAGAACACACTTTAAATGGGTAAAAAAATGTGTAAAAAAGAAGTTGTCCTTCAAAAGAGCAGTTATGAGTGATGAAACAATTACATTCAAAATAATTTTCTCCCTGAATTAGTAATCCATCAAACCTAGGAATAGAATTATATATATGGCCAATAGTAAACAAGGTCCCACTCTTTCTTTTCCAGAACAAAAACCACAAAATTTTTCTGTGTGAATAAATACTACAGAAATGTTAGCACATATGTGAATTCCAGAAGGGTTGATGTAAGACTATGACTGCAGCACAAAGTTCCCCACTTTAGGGTAGAGAACAGCATTACAAATACATAGAAAACTAAATAAAAGCAAAGCAAAAGTTTTGGAAATCTGTGTCCAAATTAATATCAATTAATGGTATTTTCAGTCCCACAGTACATAAAAGATGAATAATCCATTTAATACAAAGGTAAAGCAAACACTATAGAATACACATATGCAAGGCGGATAGATGAATTTATCTAATAATGCTACATGGCGTTATTTCCTTGTGAAGCAACATTATTTTTACCTTCGGTGAGGTTTGCAGTTACTGTTTTGTTCTTCAAAGTCTTGTTCTTTTTGTCACTTGCCATAATCTTGACAATAGATATGGTAATATAATAAACTTTCCTTAAGAGGAACCTAACTTTCTGAGCTATTATTCAACTTATTATATTTCAGAAGTATATATTCATTTAATAAGTGCACCTTGTACACTGACCCCTAAGTTCTGTTTTCTACTGAATAAAATGAGGATTTTTATTTGTGAAATACTAGACCCCTTTTGAAAATATTTAGCTTTTATTAGTAGAGCTTATTTATGAAATTAATCAGACATTTTCTGAGTTCACTGGAGAACCTGGTAGGCCATTGCAGCCTGTAACTGTTCAAAATTGCACTAGACATGATCACATAATCTGTGAAAATTCCAGGGGACAGTTTCCTTTTGTTTATCCCTTCCTACTGAGAACTAGGAAATGGAAATAAGCAGTAATAAAAGCACTAGTGACAAGAACAATCTCTAAGAAACCTTTGTAAGGATGAGATAAACATCAGTTCCTAGTTACTGCCTTCCTATCTGCTGTGGCCTCTTATTTTAAAGCTAGTAATAATACCAATACTTTAGTACTTGGCCATGCACCCTCAAAACCTAAAAATTTCCAGAGAAAGTTGGTTATAAAAATTACAAATGGATAAGAGACTGCTCACTATGTTTTAACTTAAATATACACTGGGCAGTAGCAATTTATTTTCTGTTTAACAGCTAAATTATAGTGAATTCTTAGGTTGAATAAATGTGAAAAATTTTTACTATAAAATCTAATTGAAATACTGGCCAACTACTAAATAATAAATGCATGGAAACACCCTGTAAACCTTTGTGGCTAAAACAGATATGCATTCAATATAATAACAGAATGCAGCACCTTTTATTATAAAGGGTAAGTATATAATAATTCACCCCCAAAATAATGATTTTAGGCATAAAATAATAAATATTCAAAGTAGATCAGTCCAGGTACTACTCCAATGTGATGGCAAACTTGAAAGAATATCTCTTGTAGCCTGTGCCCTGATGCTGGATTCACAGATACAAAGGAAGGGGCAGGAAACATATTTTTGCAGATCTGCTAAAGGAGAAACTTCATCAGCTGCAATAACAATGAGTGAGGTAGGCATTTAAGAGAAAAAAGTGTCAAGAGCTAGAATAGTCTTGTACTACAGAGGTCAACATCTCAAGAATGAATGGGAATGATAAAATTTACTTTAGATTGTGCTATTTTCGATAAGAAGAACCATTTTTTTTGTTTAGTACTCCAAGAAAATTGAATAAAATTTGATGAAATTTCTCTCTTTTTCTCTCTTTTCCTAAGTATGTTCTGCTACTAATAAATCTGTGCCCTAATAGACCAAGTGTCCTGCTGTCTGGCCGTTCCACACATATCCATCAGAATAAAGACTTAATTTCAGATGAAAAAGCCTCAAAAATTTAAGGCTCACAAAAGCCTTAGAACAAAGAAAGAAATATATTAAATGCCTCGCTAACCATAATCTTTGAGGCCACTGAAAGATACTGCTAAAAAATTATTCTTGACAATGCAATGAGAAAAAGGTCTTTTAATAATGGAAAGCCAAACAATCTAGGCCCAGCAAATGCTTGACCTTGTTCTGAAAAAAATGCTAATCACAGTCATATTTACTTTAAATAATAATCAATTATTTAATTATAAAATTAATAATAAAATCTATTATTCTACAAACAGTTTGGGTTGAAAAGGATCTTAAAGACCATCTAGTTCCAAAGCCCCTGCAGTGGACAGGGACAATTTTCACCAGACCAGTGGCTCAGAGCTTCATCAAACCTGGCCTCAAACACCTCCAGGGATGTGGCATCCACAACCTTTTCTTGCCAGTACCTCACCACCCTCACAGTAAAGAATTTCTTCCTGATGTCTTCCTGATATCTGATCAGAACCTACTCTCTTTCAGTTTTAAGCCATTCCCTTTTGTCTTGTCACTACATGCCCTTGCCAAAAGTCCCTCTCCAACTTTCACATAGGCTTCCTTTAGGTACTGGAAGGTTACAATTGGGTCCGGCCAAAGCCACCTCTTCTGACTGAACAATCTCAATTCTCTCAGCATTTCCTCATAGCAGAGGTGCTCCATCCCTCTGATCAATTGAGTGGCCTTCTCTGGTCTTGCTTCTACAGTTTCATGACCTTCCTGCGCTGGGGCCCCAGAGCTGGAGGCAGCTCTGCAGGTGAGGTCTCACCATAGTGAGAGGAGGGGCAGAAGTCCCTCCCTCACCTTCTGCCCAAACTGCTTTGGATGCAGCCCAGGACACATTTGGCTTTCTGGGCTGGGAGTGCCCATGGTTGGCTCATGTCCAGCCCCTCACCAGCACCCCCATGTCCTTTGGGGCAGGGCAGCTCTCGATCTGTTCATCCCCAGCCTGTACTGAGGGTGCTCTGACCCAGGTGCAGCACTTTGCACTTGGTCTTGTTACATCTCATAAGATTCCCAGGGCCCACTTCTTGAGCTTGTTCTGGTGCCTCTGGATAGGATCCCATCCTTCAGGAGTGTCAACTGCACCCCTCAGCTTGGTGTCTTCTGCAAATTTGCTAGGAGTGCACCTGATCCCTTCATCTACACCATTAATGAAGACAGTAAATAACACTGGTCCAAAAACAGATCCCTGAGGGACACCACTTGTCACTGATGTCCATCAGGACTCTGAGCCATTGACTACGGCCCTCTGGATGTGACCATCCAGCCACTTTGTTATCAATCAATTTACAGTCCATTCAAATCCTACATTAAATCCATCTCTCCCCAGTTTAGAGAGAAGGATGTTTTTGGGGGACTGTGTCAAAAGCTTTACAGAATTTCAGATAAATGACATCTGTAGTCCTTCCCTTGTACACTGGGAGTCACCCCATCGTAGAAGGCCACTAGTTTGGTCAGGCAGGACTTGCTCTTGGTGAAGCTGTGCTGGCTCTCTCCAATCTCGTCTCTATTCCCCATGTGCCGTAAGACAGTTTCTAGGAGGATCTGTTCCATAATCTTCCCAGGCAGAGGTGAGGCTGACTGGTCTTCTTTTCTACCCTTCACTTTTTAAAGATGGGTGTAGTAAAACCCCTTTTCCAGTCACCAGGGATTTCACCTGATTCTCAAGACTTCAAATACAAGGGAGACTGTCTTGGCAACAACATCAGCCAATTCCCTCAGGACTCTAGGATGCATCTCTTTGGGTCCTATAGAGCTGTACATTCAGTTTCCTCAGGTGGTCATGAATCTGATTTTCCCATACAGTATGAGGGACTTGCTCCCATGCCCCATCCTGCTGTCCATTCACTTCAGAGGTGTAGGAAAAAAGGTTGCCAGTGAAGACTGGCAAAAAAGTTGTTGATGAGTCCATCAGCCTTTCGTTAACCTGTTGCTATCTGTTTTCCATCATTGCTTATCGGGGGAAACACCTTCCCTTCTGGTTACCTTCCCTTCTGACCTTCCCTTTCTGGTTAATATACCTCTAGAAGCCCTTCCTGTTATTTTTTGTGCCTCTTGCCAGTTTGACTTCCAACTGCACCTTGGCCTTCCTTACGCATTCACACTCCATCTCTATTCTCTTCCCAGCTCACCTGTCCTTGCTTCAACTGCTTGTGCATTTGCTTCTTTCTCTTAGTTTGACCAGCAGGTTCTGACTCAGCAATGCCAGTCTCCTGCCTTCATTGCCTGATTACTTGCTCCTGGGGATTGCTAGCTTCTGCATTCTATGGAAGATTTCCTTGAAATTCTGTCAGCTCTGTTCCACTCCCTTGTCCCTGAGGGCAGTCTTCCAGAAGAAGCCTCTGACTATCCCCCTGAAGAACTGGAAGTCTGCTTTTCTAAAGGTCAGAAAAAGATATAAAAATAAATTAAATAATAAATCTTACCTGCATACTGTAGCTAACCATTGTGGTTACTGATGTACTAGAATCTCTAAGAACTTGCAGACTGATTAAAGCTGTCTTCTTATAAGCCACAGCAAATCGAGATCCCACAGCAAAATACACTAAACCATGAGGATCATCGCTTTCCAGGACAGTTATAAAAGCAAATCTGGCACTGTTGTTCAAAGCAGCTCCTGTGCTTACAGCATATAGCTCAACAAAAATATAAGTTTCAAATTCTGGTACCTGTAAGTGAGGGATGATTTTCATATCATTATAAGATCTACTAATAACTTTCAACATTAAATAAATGTTTATATATTACTTGCACGCGCAGTGGATCACTTTAATAACACTTTCCACAAGCATGCGTCCTGAAATGTGCAATAAGTACAATAAAATATATCCTAAAAACAATACTGCAATGGGCATCACTCTTTCAGGCACAATAATTAAATCCCAGATTTTAACATGGAAATTACTACATTAAAGTAGCTATTTAGATAGTGCAGGTATTATGGCTGTAAATTTGACATAAATGACAGTAAACTCTCCTAGAATGCCATCTTCCAGATTATGGATCTACATAGATGTACAGTTTATGAAGAATTTGCTCTTTCATTTTCTTTTTACCTTACAAAAAGGCATGTACCTACCTACTCACTTTTGGAAAAAACTGCACAGAATTAAGTATGCAATTTTGAAAATGCAGTTAATTTGCATAATAACTTTCCTGTATTCAAGTACTGAACTCATTTAAAGTTCTGAAAAACATTTTGCATATAACCTTAGCATTTAAACATTAATATGTTTATGCATGTTTTTATGAGAGTAAATAAAGTAGATTTGCACACTTAACTGAATTTTTGAAAATCTCAGAGCTTAGACAATACTATCTGATAGACTTTTGTGATGTTTCACATACAGAGAAATATGTTGGAAAATACAGGCTGTGGAGCTTTGTTTCCTTATTGAAAATAAGGTAGCAATGTTAAGTTTACAATATGATGTTCTGCCTCATCTTTTATTTTGTACCTACAACACAAATGTAACATTTAAAAATAGACATCCAATTACCAAAATTCCAAAAATCATTGGAAAGACTGTACCTATTGCATGCACTTTTCAAGTAGCAAACTTGAAAAAAAAAAAGAAAAAATAAGTATTTTTTTTACAAGAAAATAGCATTATAAAAAACTGGTAATCATTGAAGCCAATGTTTTTTACTATCTTTAATTGAATTCGTATGGCCAGGTTTTGGTAGTGGTGGAACTACAGGGGTACCTTCGGTGAGAATATGCCAGAAGTTTTCCCCATGTCTAGCAGAGCCAATGCCAGACAGCTCCAAGATGGGCCTGCCAGTGGCCATGGCTGAGCCAATCACAAATGGTGGTAACACTCCTATGACAACATATTTAAGACGTAAAAACCTGTTATAATGCAGATGTAATTGAGGCCAGAGGAGAGTGGGGGGGGACAACATGTAAGAGGAACAGCTCTGCAGACACCAAGGTCTGTGGAGAAGGAGGGGGAGAAGGTGCCCCAGGTGCCCAAGCTGGGATTTCCCTGCAGCCCATTGTCCAGTCCTTGGTGAAGCAGCTGTGCCCCTGCAGCCCATGGAGGTCCATGGGGGTGCAGAGATCCACCTGCAGCCCACTGAGGAGGCCCATACTGGAGCAGGGGGATGCGTGAGAGCAGGTTATGACCCCATGGGTGGCCCAGACTTGAGCAGATTCCTGGCAGGGACCTGGCAGGGACCTACAGACCCAGGGAGAAAGGATGCCAAACTGGAGCAGGCTTCCTGGTAAGACTTGTGACAGTGTGGGGGACCCACACTGGAGCAGCCTATCCTTGAAGGACTGCACCCTATGGAAGGATGGCCATGCTGCAACAGTTTATGGAGAATTGCTGCCTGTGGGATGGACTCATGTTGAAGAAGTTTCCCATTGGAGGGACCCCATGGTGGAGCAGGGGAAAGACTCTTCCTGAGCAGCAGCAGGAACAATGTGTGATGAAATGAACATGACCCCCATTTCCCAACTCTGTTTGCTGCTGGAGGGGAAGAGGTAGAGCTGGAAGGAGGTGGGGGAGGGCAGAAGATGTTTTAAGATCTTAGTTTACTTCTCATTATCCTGATCTGATTTTGCAATCTGATTTTTGCAGTGTTGCAAAAAATTCATTTAATATCTCTAATTTGAGTCTGTTTTGCCCATGATGGTGTTTGGTGAATGATCTCTCCTGGTCCTTGACTCAACTCATGAACCCTTTATTATATTTTCTCTCCTCTGAAAAGCTGCAGAGATGAGTGACAGAGAGGTTTTGGTGGGTGCCTGGCATCCAGCATAAAAAGAAGCTTTGTATTTCAGCTCTGAATTATTGGAAATCCTACTTTAATTCTAGGATTTTTAGCCTCATAAAGTACTGCGGACAAAGTAAAACTTACAAAAGCTAGAATGTGTACTACAAAAATGTAAAGTACTTATTTAATGTGTTTTTTACTTCATCATTTTTTAATGCATTTGCTACTAATTTACAAGCTAAGATATGAAAGAAGAACTGGAAGTAGAATCAGGAAATATTTGGAAGGATAAATAGCATGTGATTTCAATTAAATTGTTAAGTAGTTCTCTAAATGAAATGTTCTTGACTAATGACAGGCACAATTATACTGGGATGAATGGGGAGCTTTAGCCTTCCTTTAGCACTTGCTAGAATGGCACAGGCTTGTGTTTCATGTGACACAACTGCATGTCTCTGCAGCTTCTGCAGAGCTGTCATTAAATACTGATATTGCTTCTTTGGTCTAAAGAGGTTAATAATCTCAGTTTATTCAGCAAGGCAGCCTGTGCCCTATACAACTCTTCATTGGCTCTGTAATGTAAAGATAACATCTGTAGATGGAGTGGGAAAAGGGCCCTCTTAATGAACTAAGGAAATGCATTCTATTTCCTAAATAGGAAATCCCTACTTCCCACATACAGCATCTTGCAATATTTTCTAGAACTGGGTCAGAAAAAACCATGGAAATCTTCCCATCTTGTGATTTTCCATTGCCCAGACCTTGACTTTGCCACTAGTCTGGGTGCAAGGATAATTTCTTAGAAAATTTAAAACTCTCTAACTTTAAAAGAATGGCAAACATTAATCCTTCCTTTCTTAAGGGATTACTCTAACCACTGGGTATTCACACTAATATATTTTTTTCCTTATCTTTTCAATAAAAATGACTGAATATTGTGTTTTGTGTTAATATATCATGTGTGTATTTTAGAGTGCCAGATGGATCTAACAAGACTGTTAGACTTAGACAAATGCAATTTAATGGATGATGGCTCCTAAAATGAATTAGGAGTATGTGAATAAGGTGTATGTGAACAGCAACAGATTTTTAGACACTCGGAGATTCTTATGCAGTTTCATGAGTTTTCACAGATCACTGTGCTAGATTTAGGAATATAAAATTACACACAAGTTAGACTGAAAGGTTTTTTTGTGCAATGACATATTACTTACAGAATTACTTACATATTACTTACAGAATGTTTTCTATAAACCACCCTAAGAAATGTTTTGTTAGATGAAAAACTTACTGGATGAAGGATAAGAGTATATGATGGAACATCTCATTGAAACAACACCATTATTTTTTCTTAATGTTATATAAAAAGATCTCTAATTTACTCTTCAAACTAAATACGTACCTCCTTCCCAAATTTTTACCAGTCACAATGAAGGCAGTACAAGACTATAAATAAGTATGTTCCAGAGGAGCCAAGCAGATAACAAGTTACTGTCTTCAAAACTAAGCATCACTTCCTCTAGATCAAATTGCAACTCAATGCTGTACATAAATGAGCAACAATTACTTACATGATCAGGTTTTATTTCAATGGAGATGTTGCACATAGTTTGACCTGCCACACAGGTCGTGGCTCCCAGCACAGATACAAATTCATTCTCCAAGTTCATGCCATCCTTCAGAAGGACAACAGCTGTTTTGTTAAAGGTCACACGCCAGAAGATCACTACATCTTCAAAAGCCCTGTAAGTAAAAGGGAGGAGTATTCATGTACTGAAGGAGAGCACGACAGATTTAGGAAACATAAACCACAGACATAACATACATTTTATGTTATTATTCAAAACTTATCATTATGGAATAAACTGATTTAAAATTTTTAAAAAATAGCTCTTTTAATTTAAATTTCTTCCTCTAATATCTATTTAGATTATTTAAAAAGTAACAGAAGAGGAAAATAAAGCAATTATAGGAACCCAGATTCTTCTTCATTTCTGTTTCAGATAACGTGATTATCTGAATAAGAGACACTGGTGCTTGGAAAGCAGGGATGTGCCAAGTACTTTAATTAATACTATAATAACCATTGGTCTGGAAAGCCAGGTAGAATTTCTCTTTCCTGTACGGAACTTACCATACTTGAGCATTTTTTAAAAGTACACATAAATATACATTATATATATATGTGTTAATTAGGAAAAAAGCGAAGACATAAGAATACTGACACTTACATAACTTTTTAATTGCTTCTTGTAGTATTCATACCTACTTATATTACACAGAGAGGTGAGAATTGGAGTTGCACCTTTAGAAAATACTTTACCTTAAGCAAAACCTTCACACTTGCTGACTTACAGTATAAAATAGTAAGCATTTGAGTTTTTTCCTTTTTCTGCTTGACACCAATGAAGTGACAGACTCAAATATATTCATAACTTAAATGCTTCATTGCCAAAACCTGCAAAGCTATTAAAGGAGCTGAAAGGGAAACATTTATATAAAACCCTTTGATGAAAACCTCTTCCACTAACAGTAGCTCCTGTGATTCAAGACAACATACTACAGAGTGCAGGAAGAGCACTGGAATCCGCTGTTGCACCTGTTTGGTTGCCGTGCAACAGTCAGCTGCACCTCTCTGTTTTCTGAGTCTTCATCAAGTATCAAGCCACTTTGTACTTCTGGAATGAATCCCAAAATGCCATTCTGGAGATCACTTCCTGTGTAAGAAATAGTCCATGAAAATAGTAAGTAAGAAAGTAAAGCTGAGAGTAAATTATACTTTTAATATGCACAACTGCTAAAAACCCAGTCAGGTATCAAAAGTATGCTGCAAAATAGTTTAGGGACAACTCAATTCTCTCAATATTTCTATTCTTCATTTACACTCCAGAATTTCAAATTTATAATTTAGCATTTCTAAATTTTATTTTAATCAGTAGAATAATAACAACTATTTTCGAAAGTAAATTCCTTATGAGAGTCCTAGAACCATTTTTGCATGTAAGCTTGTATTTCCAGCAGCATTCAACAAACTGACTGACTTCTGTTGTCCTGACTGTTCTAAAGTCCTTGACGTCAAGAGACTAGGTGTTACAGCAATCTCCAGAACAATCACAAAAGCCTTGCTTATAATGCCTTATGAGATAATCATTCCAACTACATTTATCATAAATCCTAAAACATTCTGTCTGAACAAAGATGGGCCTCAGCATATAAAGTAGGAAATGTGATAAAGATGGGCTTCCAGTGATGTAACTTAAGCCTTCTTATTCATCCTACCCATGATGCTGTTGAAACTATTCATTTTTACATTAGCTTTTGTCTTACACCTTCAATTCTATGTGTGGAACTAGCGAGCTACAAAACACCACATTTTTCTCAGGGGGAATGCAAGTAGCTTCAGAAAAACAGCAGTGGAAGATAAAAACTCCCACCGTTAATGAGATGAAACTAATGTCTTTACAGTCTCAATCAATTCTTGCTTCTAAAGGATTCCTCCTTGCAGGTTGTGATGGCCTTACTCTTGAATTGAAAGGCAATCTACTTCCAACTCAGTGATTACTGAAAGTCTATATATAATAAGATGAACAGAAACTGTGTGTTTGCTTATGCATGCACAAACATTTAACTTGTGGTATTTATCTATACACTTAAATGCAGGTACATGCTTCAACTCTTCTCCTTAATGTGTTGTCTCATCTTCCAATTTTATGGACACTTCTTACTATGGGTATAACTCTAGAGCACATTCATACACTTCTGTGGTATTCAACACAATCTCAAATTCCAACCTGTGGTTCTATACATACTTCTGCAGTTAATGTACATACCTAGGGAACTAGTTACTTCCATGGTAAATTTTAGAGACAATGCACATGAAGAGAACATGTTTCATATGATCTCTTCTTGTATATTATCTTGGTTGCTTCCTACACTCATCTAGCAGCACAGTTTAATCCTAGTTCTCAATATCCACACTGATTTCTTAAGACTATCTAAATACAAAATCTCCCAGTAATGTTGGACCTTACTTTCTTGGTTAGACTAAACTGAGTTAGCCTAAAATTCGTTCCAATGCACAACTTCTTTCTAAAATTTAATCCATATTGCAGGTTAGATTGGTTTATATTCAGTTGGTAAGCCTGACAGACATCTAAAAGCTAGGGGAAATTGGAGTTCTGACATCACTTTCTCACAGTAGCACAGTGACTGAAAGAAAATCTCTTCCTTGGTGACTAAGTATGCTAATTCCTGTTCTCCATCCCCAGAAGCAGAGCATGACTACACTGCAGGTATGAACTGCACAGTAGCAAAGAATGAAAACAGAAACTATTTTTTCTACTTCTATCCATTATAAAAGTGAAAGACTTAACTTAAAAATACAAATTATGTGAAAGACCTCTGACAGAATGCCAATGTAATACAGGTTAAAAGGGCCCTTTACGTCTCTAGTCCAATACCATTCTCAAAGCTGAATTATTTCTGAAACCAGACTAGATGGGTCAGAGTTTTGGGGCTTGAAAAAATTCCAGAGATGGAGAGAGACCATGCAACCTCCCCAGACAACCTGTACTCAATAGAAAAAATACCAGGCTAAATCTCATTTCAATATATACTCACTGTCTCCCATCAAGCACTGCTGCCATAATGCATTATTTAAATACTGGGTCAGTACATTTTTATGTCTCTCCTTTTTAAGGTAATCTTATGGTCTCAATAGGAACTATGTCTTCCTGTATTCAAATGCCCCATGACATTTTCTTTTACAAAATCATGCTTCATAGATTAAGTTAGGAAAAGGAAAAAAAGAACAGGTAAAAGAAAAAGAAGATAAAGCATTCTGGACCTTGAGAAAGCAAAGTACCTGAAGTGGCAAAATACAAATCATCTGTTCTTTAGAAACAAACCAAGCTAAAAAAAATGCAGTGATTTTTTTGTGCCATAAAGAGTCAAGAAGTGGGCAATATTTACAGTTATACAAATATTTTGGTCTGAATGCAGCACTACAGTACTGTGAGAAAAGATCATTTGTGCAATACTGAGAACAAACATCGGAAGCCCAGCAGTTCTATAACAGGTTCCTCTTGGACACTTCTATTTTCATACCATAAGTTAATTAGTGACCCTTCTCATAGTCGCACATCTATTCTTTGAATTTGGAAGTCACATATCTACTGAGATGGGAATGTTACATCCCAGGAGGAAAGGTTGGAACAAGGAAAATGGCAAAAAATCAAATGAGCCTGCAATCCTACTCCATCTCCAACACAAACACTTATGCTCAGTGTTCTCCCTTCATAAAGGACAAGAACAGAGATAAACAGCACCTATAGATGTATTTTGAATTACATTGCTAAGGGACACTAAGTGGGCTTTGTGCATTAGATGTTTCCTCTGATTTGGAAAACGTTAGATTTGGGAACAGAATACCCTGCCTGTTATCAAATAGAATTCCAATTTTACATGAAAATTCCTACGAGAACATATAGTTATTTACTGTTATTTAATTCAAATATATTTACTCATCTCCTGGGGAAAATAATATTACCTGCAATAATTACTGTTGCAAAAGCAGCAAATCCATGTTCATCCTTTCCTTCCACAATCTGAGCTCCATATTCAGGATTTGAGAGGAAAACATAAAATGATTCTTGTCCTTCAGGCTCATTATCGTCAAAAATTTTTATGGACACCTGGCATTCACTTTCTCCATCCAACAAAGTCAGAGAGATTGTCTGTTCTTCAAAATCTTCTCCTTCCATTGCCCATGTGAAGTTTGATTTTCCATAAACATTTCCAAAAGGATACAAATCTACTCCACTCTGTGCACTCACTCCCCCAAAGGTTTTAACAGTTATTTTAATATTACCAGTAAACCCCTTGGTCCTTCTGATCTGAAGCACAGCTGTGTTGGAGGTATTGTTGTTTGTATCTTCTTCAACATAAATAAATTCTGGTCCCAAACTTAGTATTCCATGATGAATATCATTAGCAAGGATATTAACTGTTGAAACACTGAAAGCTGGATTCAAACGGGGACTCCAGTCAAGGTTCACAGGTTGAATATCCAGAATTTCCACAGAAGTCAAATTTACAAAAAAAAATTCTTGTATTTCAGACACATCGTCATCAATTATCGATATTTCTATCACTGCATTTGTCTGAAAATGTAAAAATATAATTTCTCCATTGTAGAGGGGTATAAAGTCTTCTAGTGGTTTGGCACTTCCTGGAATGGTCTGATATTTCAGTTTAGTGAGATTACTTTGAAAACCAAACAATCTTTGGACACGTAGTCTGACTACCTGAACATCTTCTTCAACTGAAACTGATCTTGAGTTAAGATCAAACTGGAAGATCCCCATTGGCTCAATTTTAGCTATCGTGAATCCTGATCTGAAACAGAAACAATATCACATTGAGAGAGGAAATACAAATAATGAAAAGTAGAACAATCAAGCATAATAATTTTCAGTGAGTAATCAATGATGACTGTTAAGAAAGTGGATTAAAAAATGTGTAACAGTAGAGGGAAGAAATAGAAACCACACAAAGCAAGACATAAAGAAGTTCCCTAAAAAATGCTTTCATAATGTTTGAGCAGCCCTCCACAAGATTAACGCATCCTAACTCAGGACAGGATACTGAGTAAATTATAAATTAAATATGGTCTTCCTGACAAAATGGAGAGGCAAAGAAAAGTAGGTCTTCCTACCGAGGACATAATTCAGGAATATAATAGAACCACTACAAGTAATACCAGTTGTAAACACTGAACAAATCTCCTGTACCAAGGAAAAGCTGTGAAGTAGACAGATGCTAGCAGGTCTACAGTTTTAGCCAGGAAGCTAGAGAAGGACAGAAGGTTATTTTAAAATATACAGTAAGGTTTTGAAATACTGCCTCTTTACATTATTACTCAAAGTACTTTTTTCCAGATCTGAGTCTTGTTATTAAAATCAATTAAAGCTTTACTTTGTTCATATTAAATACATACCCTTATTATTACAAAATATCAGACTGACTCTGCTAAATCTTGTGCCATCCCCTTCTTTCTAGAACTAAACCATTACTCAATGCCAGAGGTTACCAAATGGCACAATAACATTAGAGTGAATTTGGCTAACTAGAAGATGAGACTTTTCCACCACTTAGGAAGCCAAAAAACCTTCCACATAATTGTGAGCTTTATGTCTTGTGGGATGCAGTCTTAAGTTTTCTAGGAAAGGTTATTCTCATACACTCAAGGTATTTGACTCGCAAAGTAAACATACTTTAGAGACTCAAGTCCATAGGATGGACAAGCCTAGGAGAAAGCGTCAGTTTGAGGAATTTAGGCATCTGGTTCATTCCTGACTTCCTTCAGATTTGCCAGTGCAATTTTAACATGGTGAACCCAATACCTTTCTCCATACAGCGTCACTCTATGCCCATTTTTTAATACAATTTCATCATCCATACAGAAGAGTGAAAATAGTTTGAAGAACAGATAACAATTTAAATGAGATGAAAAACTACATTGAATGTAATATTTTAATTTTTCGGAATAAAAAGGGGGTTTAATATAAATTAGGCATTTTTAGGGCATTTATTTTTTCATTTGATTTATTTGATTTATTATGTTTGTCATCTAAGATCTTCTAAAGAAGGATTTTTAGGGACACTAAAAATTGACAGTTTATTTCATTCTTCAGCTTCCTAGTTAAAACTGTTGATCTTGGTTCTTCAGCCTAACTGTCTTTCCTAACTGTCTCCATCATTCTCTAGACATATTCTATGCACCTCAGATCCAATGCCAGGAAACAGCCTGGAAGAAAAACCTCAGTTCCCGGCAGATCAGATGTGCAGTTCTGACATTTGTTACAATGTGAGACAAGACATAGAAATTTATAAAGAACGGCACTACACTATGCTAGCTACTGATAATTTAATACGAATTTGTATGAGGTATATGCCTCTATACATACCATAATTCTTACAGCATCAGTGCAACTCAAAAGTGTAAGTAATATCCTTACCTCAGGCGAGCTCCACCAGACACATTGCTGTGCACTGCTGTTAAAGTGATGGCAAATGTCTCAGGTTTATTTAGGCTTGGAGTAGCCTGAAATGAAATCACTTTACTTTCCTCCCCAGAGGAAAACATAACAGTGCCTGAAAGAAGAATGATTGAGAGAGTCAAAATCACTAAACGGGAATTCTCTTTTTACCTGGAAATACACTGACATAGGGAATTCAGTCAAATTCCACTCCACTGAGGTGAAGAAATCTTCATGATAAGGGCCTTTCCTATAGAAAGCTGTCCTTCAGGGGCATAGCACTGTGTCTGTGAAGAAAAGTTGTTTCTTTTCTCATACAGTAAATATGTCCCTTACAGATAAAAATTGGATCACACGATTTCATTCTAAGGATTCTTCATTAATAAAGGAAACATGTAGAGGTACAAATAACTAAGAGGTGGTATCATCACTTATGCAACTGTCATACCTGTTGTCCCTGTAGCTGTACATAACTTGTTGCAGCAATTACTCACCAAATGGAGGAGTAATATTGCCTAGTTTAACAGAGTCTGTGACTAGGTCTGGTGGACATCCTGAATTCCAGCTAACTATTACAGAGCCATAAACTCCTCTTCTGGTTATGAAAGCATGGCCTGTCCCTGCTACAATGTTTGTAAGTCGTAATATCACAGATTCAAAGCCAACCTGTGGAAACATAGTAGATTTTATAAGAAAATGGAATAAAAATGGACAATAACATACATGAAAGCATAGTACCTTTTGTAAAATGGGCATCTTACAATAAAAATGCATGCACATAGATAAATATATGTGCATGTATCTATGGACATATGAATATGTATATTTCCTTCACAGCTCTTTAATAATACTTGCAAATTTTAGATTTCTGGCGATTAGATTGCAAGGAAAAGGAACAAGTATGACACTGTTTTCAGTTCATTTCAATACTGAAAACAGTGAATACAGCAATCTGTGTGTTTTGTTTAGAAGAAAAATAAATCAATCCTGCCCTCAGTGCTCAGAGATAATAACTATACTACTCTCTCTATATGTATATATAAAAAAATATATACACACACATATAATTAGGTCTAAAATAAGTTATTAATTGTGTGCCAGTGAAAATTAGGTTTTTGCCCCATGAAACTGTTCACAAAATTATTGCTGTGCTGATATCTTTTTCTCTGAGCAGCAAATAGGAGTGAAGATAATTTGCATAACAGTGAAATGATAAATCGATATATGGTAGTATATGGCATATAATAGTCTTTCTGTAAACAGTGTATACAGAAAGACTATTAGACTTAAATTCCATTATAAATTAAAATCCAGAACAATGCTTCAAGATAATTAAAATTGTTAAGTAAAAACGTCATAAAATTTAAGAGTTAAAACCTCATCATGCCTTTGCCTGGCATAAAAAAGGGAATGGTAGCACATATACGATATCAAAGTAGGCAAATTATCTTTTCTCACTCTCATTCAAAATAGAGGAATGGAAAATCTATCACTGAATGATTACCTGCATTAACACCCAGCATATATTCCATCTCTTTTTGCACATAATACTGAATACATGCTATTATCTGCTTTGGGGTTGCCATATTTAGAGAAATATCCAGATTTACTTATTTTCCTTTAAGTCAGTCTTTCAAGCCCTCTTTCATGCAAATATTTACACTACTTATATTTTATAGATGAAGAGCCCTTTTCCAACTGTATTAAAACATTTCCATAAGAATTTGTATCAGAGGAAAGAACAACATCCAGCACAAGTAATAATAAAAGAAATCTCTTCTGTCATATTCATTACAATGAAAGCATCACTGAGTTCTTATAACAGGTATCTTCCGTAGTTAAGTGCACCTCTCTTCTGTAGTAGGAACATGACACCACAACCAGGCTACTGACCTGTGAATTGGCAGCTTCCTCAGGAATAAGCAGCACAGCAGACTTTGCTATTCCTAATATTTTAGGCACATCCTTGGCACTTCCCCTAACCAGGCTTACATTAGTCAGTTCCAGAGTAAAATTCAAGCCCAATAAAATAAATGCCTTTGAGAGAGAGAATTCAATTAAAAAGGTAGAAATTTAACTCCACTAAAAACGTGTTATGCAACAGTTCAAATAATTAACAAAACAACCTGCAAGTTTTGTTTGCTTACATACAAAGCTTCGTTTTCAAGATAAGTGTTTTGTTGATTATGTTTCTCAAATAATTATAGTTAAGCCATCAATATTGTGAAATTAATATGCCAGCAGTTTGCTGGAATGTGTGCTTGTAAAGCAACTACTGCCATTTAAAAAAGTTGTATCTGACACTTTGGGCCTTAGCTTGATTTTAATCCTTAGGATTAAAAACATTAAGATGGTTGTAAGAGCATGTAAGAGTGGATGTAAGACTGTGATAATAATGAGAAACAACAAAGAAACACAAAAGACTGCAAGTACATTTGTCTTCTCCTTCATTGGTCACAAATGACAGATCACTATTTACAATCCAAAGGAAACTTAAGAAAATATTTGCCTACACATAATAATATATAATATTGAATTGAGAGTAACACAAAAACTACAATGTAAGGAAACATTAAATATTTGAACACATGCGTAGCAGTGATTTTGCAATTACTATCAGAAAATGTGATTTTCAAGTCCAGTTCTGCTCGATAAAGAGGAAATTCATAACAGCAAAAGTGTCTTTTCTGCTTCTTCAAAGTCAATACTAGTGAGAGTTTTGTATCTTATTTGTATTGTGATGAAACAAATGGAAACAACAGATATCATAAAAGCTAAAAGACTAATACACACCTGGTTACTTATTGGCACCCTTTTTACTCCAAAGCTGGCACCATCCTTTATTGTGAAGAATCCCACCTCATTCTCAGGTTCAATTAGTGCTTCGCCATGAAGGGATATGACACGGTACTCAACCATCACTTCTCCAAATGCCCCAGCATGCCGAGTTACATTAATCTGAACATATCGATCCAGTGCTTTTTCTACCAATACTGACTGCTGATCAGAGTACAGGGCAAACACTCCATAAGGATCATCATTTTCAAACACTGTGATCTTTGAAATGCCTTTCTCATGGTCTAAATCTGCTCCACCTTCCACTGAAATCAGCTGTACCTCATAGTTTTCATCCAGTTCTGGAACATCATCAGGTAACAGGTAGATAATTATTTCAGCTGCACTCTGCTGGTCAGCAATGACAACAGATCCCTCTGTCTCAAGAAAGTCACCTGTGATGTCAGATTCACTATGTATTTCCCAGTAAATCTGAAATTAGTACAGAAAATGGAAAACATAAAAGAAAGAAAAATTACCTCCAACATCAGGAAGTTGCATATTCAGGATTCAGTATATTCAGTATTCAGACAGGATATGGAATAGACTGCTTTTAAATCAGTAAAATAAAAATTGGTTTGGGAATGCACAGGAAGAATATCCTACCACACAGACTATCTTTCAAAAGAGTATATTATTCCGTTAACAGTGCTATGAATATGAATATTTCCTTTGTCTAGTTTCAGAAGACTTAGTAAAACTATGTGGAATTTCTGAATATTTTTCAAAAATTGTTTTTATTTTCACACTAAAACACCCTGGCTGTTTTTTCTGTTTCTAATATTCCTCACATGAGAAAGGAATGAAGAACTCTCATTAAACATGGAAGATGTTTCTATTAATTGATCTATTTATTTTAAATTAAATGAGTTCCTGTTAAAATGCTGACTTCTAAACAACTTTGGGTAAAAAAAATCTGCATGATAGTTCAGAAAAATGTGATTCTGTCTAAAAAAGTAAAGTGTGATTATATCAAAGACAACATACTATGAAAGTACTGTCTCTTCTGTTCTCCCATTAAAAGCAAATAGGGAGAGAAAAAAGTGAGAGAGGAGAGCAGTACTGCTTTTTTTTTTATTTTGCTTGACCAGGGAAGGCTGAATTTTACTCTCCAAACCACAACTACTAGGGCTAAGCCCGTCCTAAACTCAGCCTAAGAGGCTACATTTAAAAAAATTATTTGAGAAACAAGCAATTGAAAGGCACAGAACGAGATATTTTTTCATACATTGACACTGAGGATGATTTCAGCACTATAGCCTTTATTAGGAAAAGAGTGAGAATACCGTTATGTTCCCCAGAATGCCTTGAATTCGTTTGACAAACAGTGTAATACTTTGTGGTCCTTCGTCTCCTGAGGGCTCTGAATAGTGACTCTCAGTTAATGATTCAGGAGCAAACTGTACAATTCCATTGGGATCACCAAACTTCTCTATCTGTAAAAAGGTAAACAAACATTTAAAAAACTAGAAATGTAATATGTAGTATGATTTGTATTCTTGTTCAAACCTCTTGAGATTTTCACTGCTAGATGCTACAGGGGCACATATCTGTTAGTTCTGAAAACAGCAGAGAATATTTTGAATGTGCCTTTTTCAGTTTTCAGTTCCCCTGTCCAAGAAGGAAAAGAACAGAGTTTTATTTCAAATGCTGCATCTGAATATTTTGATTCTAAAGCAGGAAATGCGCAGGCACCTTGAGCTACTATACAGAAACTCTTCTAGCGCTACAAGTTTGCAAATTCAGCTCTATGGGAAAAAGAGCTCATCCACATCTATCTGCATAAACCGTTAGCTGCAACAAGAATTTGGGGTAACCTGGCTGCCTGAAGGGGACTGTGTAAATAAGAGCTGTGTAAATTCCATCAACACCTTACAAACTGGATAATAAAATATAAGCACAATTTCTAGAACAGAGTTTTTGAGGGAACCTTATAGCAGCTTTATAAGTATTTCCTTAGTTGCAGTATCCCTAGAGCACCGATTTGTCTTTGATAACTCTCAAAAATATCTGCATTTCTCTTGCACTGTGAGAAGTCAGATTTTGTCCCTTCCTCTGAAGAAGATGTCAAGAGTGACAAGAGTCCTACTTGCAACTGCTGAGGGGTTCAAGCATGGTTGTGTCCAGATCGCTATTATCTACCACACACACATGATGGTTGGTGCCAGCCAAGCAGACCAGCCAGGAGAGTTTGTCCATTACGGGAGATCAAATAGCCTAATAGAAGCTGAGATGGGTAGTGCTACAGGCTTTTTGGCCCTGGTAGATTGAAAACCATGAGAGAGATGAACTCAAGGTAAGAACAGAAGTGAAGATGTTAGGTCTGGTCACTCTGACCCTCTGATGCTGACTGCTTGGAAGGGAAGATGTAACAAGGACTTTGCTGGTGAAAGCAATAACAAGTTCCTAGTGTAAGAAGGATTACCAAGAAGATTGTGTTTCTAAAGGAGACCTGGACAAACAGGTATGAGTGGAAATTTTTGTATGAACATAGTGACATCTAAGTACTGGCAAACTGGTGTTATATACTGGCTTTGCTTTGCTGGCATAGCAGAGTCGGTGTCTGTCAATCCCCGCAGTCCATAATAGCTTTTTGCTGTCTCAGGATCTGGGGAGGAGTGTGTGTGTGGATGATTTGTCTATCATTGTTTTTCGTTTACACAGGGGAAAAAGACGTTTTGTCTTTGTGTCAGCGGAGCTTTGGTGTGAGCACCCTCTGGTGCTATTGTATATCTTTGTCTATCTTTGTCATTATTATTGTTGCTGTTACTGTTTGTTTCTCATCTCATTGGTGTTTTCAAGTAAATTTTCCTTATCTTAACTGAAAAACTCTGCTTTTTGTCTTCCTCTCATAAGAGGGGGTAGGGGAAGGGAAGCAGTTGAGTGGGGTTTAATGTCCAGCTGAGTTTAAACCACAACAGATGAGAAACATATTGATGTATAGATGTATTGATGTATCTCTCCAAAGAGAACGATAGAAAACTGTAACTAAGAGAGCCAGCTCAGTGCTTTTATACCAATTTCTACTGATAGATTCTCCACTCTTTTTCTTTCAGAATTGAACATAATATACCAGAACAGTGTAAAGGTCAAAAAAGCTAAATGACTAAGTAATCATTGTGATTAATTTTTAAAAGCTTTGCAGGATAAATAGTAGTAACAACAGAAATCTCTGAAGAAAGAGAAGCTGTAGTAACTTACTATTAATGTAATGCTGTTTGCCTTAGAATCTATTTCTGTTTCACCTTTCATAAGGCTCAGTCGAATAATGAAAGTTTCCTGGACTTCAGCTTCTTCATGAGGATAGATTTGAAGATTAATTGTTCTCAGATCTCCTTCTCCTTCTTCAAAATAGAATGAACCATTCACAGGGTCACCAATGTCACTGTTCAGAGGAGACAAAATCTCTTCTGTATTGGGTCCCAAAATGTCCCAGTTAATCTGCCGAAGAGATCAGTTTCAGATTTAGGAGGGTGATATAATATAACAGCATCCAAAGGGGAGAAGCAACAGAGTACTGAAAGTACTTAGCTATGTTTAAATCTTTGCTGTTGTTATGACAGAGTAGTAATAATTAATTCTATGGGGAAAAATATAGAAGCCTTTGGAAAAGTAAACATAACAATTTACAAATGGGAATTTTAAAGTGTTAGTCACAATGCTAGTTTATTAAATTCTGGATGTTAGTAATAGAAAAGAAATTAAGATTTCTTTAGCATATAGCAAGAATCACATAGGCTAGTGTCTATTTCTCTTCTTTTCATGACTTGTTTTGCAAAACTTCCCACATGGGTACTCATGATCAAAACCATTTCATTTGAAGTGTGATGTCAAGTCTAAAAATAACAAATATTGTCTATCATAGAAGTCTTTAATACTTCAGATTATGAAGAAAATTATGAAACCTTCATATTTCTTCAGCCTGATTAAAAGCTATAGCATTTCCAGCAATTTCCACAAATTTCATTTATTTTAAGGAGGTCATATTCAGGACTTTACAATTATTATTTTAGCAACTTAAGTGTTTTTCACTTTTATCCAATGACTTCTAGAAAAAGTCAAAGACTGAGGCAATTTTTATATGTGGAGGAGTTAATGGTTTTTAATGCAAATTCTCTAATTATTTGACAAGACTGTGGAAGGACCACCATGTTTTGTATTTATATCTTCACTTTTTAAGTGGCATTTATAGGGTAAAAAATACTCTAGAAAACTCGTAGTAAGCAATTTCCTTAATAAAATTAAACTAGTAGTAGTACATGAGGTTAACTATAATTTTGGTGAGATTAGGAGCTAGTTCAAAACAATGTACAGAATACCATAATAAAAGAAGGCAAGCAGAAGGAGAAAGATGATTTTAAAAGGGTAACAAGATTTTGTGTTATACTGCAGTAATATCAATTCACGTTTAATAAAAAGCTATAATTAACCTATTAGAAATCAGTCACTAAGAAAGCTCTCAAAGCAAAATGCAGGAGCTTTTTTACATAGTCACTTTTTGACATACTTTAGTCTTCAACATGCAAGACCCACCTGCGCCTCCACCAACCTCCCAGTCCTTTCCACCACCAGGGACACTGTTGTAGTTGCATCAGGGTTGGGAAGTATAATTTGGCTTTGGTTGAGAAATCGGACCATGCCCTGGGGAGAGTCACTTTTTGCAATGGTGATCTGGCTTACGAGGTGGAGCCCCAAGACTGCTCCACCAGTGGCTCCTGTCAGTTGGATTTCAAATTGCTCTGCAAATTCACTGCACAGAAAAAGAAAAAGACATTCTGAGATATCTGAGAGAAAAGAAAAAATATTAGAACTATACTTAGTAATTCAATCATGGATCCAACTGGATCTTTTTAAAGGAATAAAGAAATCATCTCCATAGGTGAAATGCAGAAAAATATTTCAAATATCACCATTCTCAGATTCTATCATTATTCTATTTTCTTCTAGTGTTAAGTTAAACAAAAATATGGCACAATATTTTATTCTTCATAGCAGTACTGTTGACACCAACAACAGTTATAATGTAATTTCTTATAATGTAATTTAAAACCATATTGCATACTATTTAACAGGAACTTTGACACTCTAATATAACAGGGGTTTTTCTCCCTTTAGGTGATTTCCTCCCTTAGGTGATTTTTTAGCTCTGCAGAAATTTGTTTTCCAATTCCAGCTCTATACAAATATATGTGTAGATTTTTTTGCGCATGATAAAAAAGACATTATCTGAAGTAAATTGGTGAATAAATATCTAAAAATTTAATTACCTTTCTTCATCATTTAAAATAGAGATATAAATAAAAGACTGGTTCTGTCCATGATAAAAAATTACAGTATTATTATGAACGACATAGTCAACACCATCGTGCACTGCAGAAATACTTCGAGAAAGAAAATCAGCTGTGACATTGCCATAAGTTCCATGCTTTCTCAAAACAGGAATCATGATTAATCCAGCATCCTCTTCCACTATAAAAATAATTGAGAAAAAGTTATTTCAAAATTAATGCCATAGTCTTATCTTTTAAACTATAGTGAGAATTTAAGGTAAACTTACCCTGTAGAAGGACGTACTGAGGATCAAATTCTATGACACCTTCAGCATTATCATTTTTTGCAATAGTGACCCATACTGTGGAGATATTTCCTATTATTGGAGGTTGATCCACCTGTAGACCATTCTCTCTTACAGTAAAATCAAATCCACTTGCAAGAACATAAAAAAAGAACCCAAACATAAAAATACATTTTTAAATTCTTGTGAAAGTATAAAGATGTGTGTGACTATTTGTCAATTACTGCAAATAACTTTATTTTCTGACAGTCACTACTAAAAACTTTTTTGTCACATTTATTCATATGTTTGCAAGAATAGTAGTTTATTCCTAGAAAACACCTTTCATTTGTTCTTTCTCATTTCATCTTTTTATTGACATTTCTTTCAACTTGACAATTTGTATCCAATGTATGGATCTTAAGCTTTAATAAATCTTAATCAGCAACATCTTTATACTAATGTTAAAATAATTGGCTTTATCATACATCCATTTTCTGTTATGATTATAATTGTATCTATCTTACAAAATTTTACAGTAAAACAGATGAAATGTCTAGCAGTGACTTTATTCAGGTAGATCAGAATCAAAATATAATTTGTTTTCTAGTTTGTTTTTCTGCTTGTAACAAATCAACTGGGAATTTAAACTTTACCTTCCTTGGAGTTCCACTTCAGTAATCATCAATGAAAAATTTTCAGGGCCTTCAGGAAAGTCATCATCATGAATTTCAATCAAAATAATTTTACTTTCCTCTTCTGGTTCAAACACCATTTCCCTTACTGTGGGAGAAAAATCCATTCCTTCCTCTGCAGTCCCATTTATTATCTGAAAGCAAAGACGCACTCTGCCATAGGATCCCCTGAAACGCACAACTGTGATGTTAACCTGAGGGAAAGAGAATATTTTCTTTTAAAATGGCCTTGTCTTCTTTTACAGTTGCCTTTAGGAGTCATTCTAAAGGCACCTTTTCAATGGTTCTCTCAGGTAACATCAATATGATTTATCAAGTACAGAGTACATGTAATTTAGCAGATAGCCTCAGTCATTTTAGAGACTGATTTATTTTCTTTCCAAAGATGAACATAATTCTAGCAATAATGTTGATATCTATCAGTAATTTTACATAAGAAAGAATTTTAATCCAATACCCATTTTTCGTCCTCTGTGGTTTGCAATAGTTCATGAGAAAATGTAAACTCTCCATATGGATAATCACTGGCAGCCATGGTAATATTTGCTGTGCTGCTAGATTCATTTATGAGACCTCCATCACTGATTCGGGTTAGTTGAAACTGGTAGTAATGCTTCTCCTCAGGACAGTTGTCATCTACAGCCTATGGAAAACAACCAACAACAGCTAAAAGGACTTAAACCATTTCCAGGGAGAGAGATATAAGCAATTTCTAGCCAAGATCCTAAAAAATAAAAGAAAGTACTCAAAATAGCTACTGGTGTCAGATCTCTTATATACCTGTATTAGAACAACTGCTGCAGACTGCCTATCTCGCATGGTCAAGGTCCCCGATACTTCAATAAATTCTGTCTGATGAGAAGGTGTTATATTCCAATATATTATGATCTCCCCAAAAATCCCTGGGCCACGTACCAGGCTGCAGGTAAGGACATAAACACAAATATTATTTTTACCTTTAGTATTTAATATCCAATACAGAGATAGTATATCATACTGTTGTACATGGAAGAAATGTTATCAGCACTATGAAAGCTTGAGCTTTAATGTACTTAATCACTATTAAGAACATGACAATTCCCTTTTCAGGCATTGTCAGAACATCTCTGAAGTTCTCTTTTATTTCTCTCTGTTGGGAGACATCTCAAGCTGTATTTTTACCAAGAGGTCTATCAAGTTTCTTTCCATGTGTAGCCCAAAGGTGTGATCTGAAAACTGACTTGTCTTGGTTCTGTTCTGCTTTTCTAGAGATAGATATGCAAAATAGAAGGGAAATTGGATGTCAGGATAATGTCGGGGCAATTTGATTTATAAGGCAGATGTAGGATTCCAGAATACTTCTTTGAGTTTTTCTGAGATATATTCTGTTAACGTAGGTTTGGATTTTTAATTGGAGAGGGAGTCCATAACCTGCAGAAGTGGTTCTCTACGGGGACCTGGCAGAACCAGTTAGCTGCCTAGTTTTGAAGATTAACGTCCAGTTAAACCACTTAAAGAGTTGGATACACCTTTGTGAAAACACATTTAACAACAGGCAAGCAAATTGGGATCTTTCTTACTTCCGGCCTTTGAACTGGTAACTGGGCACTGGCTAGGCCAGCCCTGTGCAGCCCATAGGGCCAGGTTGGCCCAAGGCATGGCTCGGCTTAAATTGCTGCCACTGCCAGGTAATGCCACCGGGACCATTCCAATACCATGAGCAGCCATGCAGCCAGGACACTGCCTGGAGCAGTGCTAGGAGCAGCCCTGAGGCCAGGAGCAGTCAGGGCCAAAGCAGCCACGTGGCCAATGCCATCTTGGTCTGGGAGTAATGGATTTGATTTGCTTAGCTGCTTTTAGCCAGCTATGCTGTGGACTGAAGGACAAAAGCAGTGGCAGCAGGTTTTTTTCTTTTTTTCTGGCATCCCACATGAAGGAAAAGCACGGGGTAGCACCAGCAGCCAGTGTGGCTTGCGTAGTGCTGGTGGGTACCATGTGGTCAGTAGTGAGAGGCACAGCAATTCCTCGATTGCAAAGCCTGGATGAGATCAACCTTTCAGTGCTGCAGAACTCTATAAAAACTGTTTCAATTGATAAAGCCTGAGAACAAATGAACCTACAAACAGCAATTCTCTCCTGAATCAGGAAAAGGAAAGGGTGAAGACATGTAGAGAGAACAACATGGAACACTGAGGTCAGTGAAGAAGGAATCAGTCCAGATGGGAAGGGATTGAGGAGACGCCTTAGTCTTGGGCTGCAAGTTCTTTTGTAAGGCTATGGAGAAGATACATTTGATATAATAGATTTTGTTTTTTCCTGTAATTCATGAAGTGCATGAGGAGATGTAGCATTCCAAGTACAGTTGAGAGCAGAAGCATCAAGACTGAAATAAGCAGATGTTGCAGTAGCTGTGATCCAATAAGTCTGAACAGAGAGAAATGAGACAGTGCCCCAGGAATGGAAGAAGAAAACCTTTGTTTCCCAGATATGGATGAAGAGAACTTTTGTTTTGTGCTAGAACAGCTCATCCTTAAAATAGCACCCCATAAGTTGACATGGCCCATGAAAGCAGCTGTGGGAAAGCTGCAAGGCATGAGAGGAGCTTTCACACTGCGAACAGATTTTTCTTTCCTTGCAGCTGATTCTCCGTGACACTAAAGCCACAAGAGAACTGTTTCTTGTGGAGACAGTCTTCATGGCACGACAAGAGAGACTCCTCTCCTGAAGTGAACTAGAGAATGATCATTTTAGAGGTGGTAAACTGACTGAAAGTCCCAGGTTTTGTCTCTTCATGATGCCAGTAGGAAAGAAAAGTGGGTGTGGCGGGAGGAGAAGAGTTCTGAAGGTTTATTCTGATTTTTCTTATTATTTTTCTTTTAATTCTGTTAATAAAGTTTTCTTTCTACCCTGTAAAGTTTTGGGCCTGTTTTGCCCTCCTCCCAAGCCATATCTCAGAGCAGGAAATAATAACATCTTATTATTAAGTAAATAATTCTAGTGGGTATACTGGTATTTGACCAGCACTAAACTCACAACATCTGTCCTCTACTTGGCTAAAACCCTACTAATAACATAATGCTTGGTGAAATAAGTCACAGTAAAAATTTGTCTGCACATTCTGCACATAACACAATCTTAAACTGCTTCCTGCACAAAGAATCATTTTGTCTTTTGGGACTCTTGTGCCAGTACCAGAAGCTGTTCTGTTGCTTTATATTTACTGCAAGTGTCATAATCCTTTTTTCCAATATTTTTAGAAGATTCTCCTAAGAACCTAAAACTCTTCATTCTGTTTTCAGTTGACTGAATGAAACAATTGCATCTTGTTTCCACCAAAAACCCCATACCCATATTGTTCATGCTAGAACATAACAATTTGCTGAAATACTATTCAGGCACAAATCCCGAATCAAGTTCTCCAAAACACAAAACACCTTCAACTGTAACATTTCCTTACCCTTTTCCTTTGATTAACTTGCTCTTTCCTTTGGTGCATCAATGTTGTAAATAACTTGAGGACAGAGAGGAATATTTGGACCTCCCCATTAATACTGAAAGGGCATATGCATGGCATATTCTGCCCTTCCTTAAAACCAATCACCTAGTTTGTAAAATAGTTCTGATTATAGAAAAATTTAATTAATTAATTAATTAATTAATTGCCAAACAAATAAATAGAAAAATCATTACTAAAAATATAAATAAAAATAATAAATTTTAAAAAATAAAATAAAATGCAGTACTCAATAAATTCTTCCCAAATGTGGAGTCCCATAGCTTTTGAATCTGGGCTGTTGTTCACTCTTTGAAAAAATGAGATATGTACCCACCTAATAAGAGCAGTTCCATTATAATTTCCTGAAGGTTCTCCAATTAAAACGTGCTTGGATGAATGGGCTATCCCAACCACCCCAGAAGCTCCTTCATCTCCAATAATAATGATGGTTGCAACACCTATGAAGAGAATAATTCTTCTCACGGTAAGTGAAAACTAAGCCATGTACCACCTTTGGTAAATTTTGTGATATGAGTGATTAAGCATCATCTTCATGGAGAGCCTGTGGAACTCTCTTTGACTTCTTCAGACAAGAGACTTAAGGAAAAAGACTGACATTCAAAATTGCAACCAACTAACTGCACACAAAATACTTAAGCTCATACTAAAATAGTATGAACAGACTTAGAATAGTTCTCCCATAGAATATCTAAAACCATAAGATACTGAATTAACTCTTTACCATGTACAGGAGATATCTCTGCACCACCAGTAGAGACTAGCTGAATGGTAAATGTTTCATTCCCCTCTAACAGACCATCTTGTATTGAGTGTAAAATAATCATCTTCTTGGACTCAGTCTGCATCAGGTAAAGACCAGAAAGACATAGATATATATATATATTAAATGAAATTAAACAAAATATGGTATTAAAACCAGGGGATTTTTTAACATATCAAGTGTTAAAAAAAGCTTGATATATTCTCTAGTATTTTTTAAATATCAGATAACTGATCTGGCTGAATTTTCTTCTCACAGATTAATAAACAGTTAAAATTGTCTCTCAAACATTGTGGGCCACCCTAAAAATACCCTTACCGTTTTCAACTAAATAAAGATCAAAATTCCTTTGAAATTGTATTCATATAGATGTTTTCAACTTTGAGGAAATTTTCTATAGAGAAACCCCATATTCAATAGTACACACATATTCTAAGGGTTAATACACTATCGAGATTAGATATATTAGTCAAATTTTTGCCTAGTCTGCATTTTTGTCAGTGAGAAGTGGCAAACACATGGTATAAATTTAGTATACCATGCATACATAGTTGTATGCTTAAAATTAAGAACATATAAAAGTTCAGGACAAAATGTCAAAACCTACCAGTAGAGAAAGGATAGCAAAACTTTGCCAAATACTGACGGTTTTACCAGAAAAAAAAATCTATTTTCCAGCTGACTCAAAGTAAAACAACTAGCATGCCTATTTATTTAATGAAAAACAAGCTTGCACTGAGACAAAATAGATTATGCTCTGTTAAAATACTTTTCTTCATTAAATATTTTGACTGCAAAATATCAATATTAACATAGTATTGGTATCCAATATGTTGAATCTGACTTCAGAGTTCTAACCTGCCATGAAATACAAATTAAATAACACTGTCTAATTGGAAAGTTATTAATGTGCTTTTTGGGTTGGTTGTTTTTTTTAATCTGCAGATTTTAAGCATTCATTTTTCTTTCTCATCTTTCAATATAAATTTTCTTTTTAAGATGCCTGATACTGTAGTGGAATAAATGTTTCTGTAATAATTATTTACATACAGTAGATATCAATTCCTCTTTCTTAATCGTAAAATGGTGGAGATTTGAAGAGCAGCCTTCCTGATGATTACATTATGCTGCATCAAAAGAGCATGTCAGCTTTCCTTCACAGCTTGAAAGAAGCCTGAATACTGCTAATCCCACCAGTTCAAACTGACTTTTTTCCAGTGTATAATACTTAGCAACCCCCTACTTCTAAAACCATGTAATACATACAAATATACAAAGTAGAAGGACATATTTATAAATCTAATTGTAAATAAGTTACTGCAATGTCTGAAATACCTCACTGAAATGAAGGGTACCATTTAGAGGAGTCAGATCATATCTGGCTGCTTTCTCAAGAATCCATAACACTGTAGCTGCTCCTCGTCCTCCCTGACTTCGACTTACATTGAGCAAAACAACTGCAGCAGAGTCATCAGGTGCCTGAGGTTCCTTCACAGTTACCTGATGGAAAAAGAGAAGGAGAATGTGGGAAAGGCTGTATTGAAAAAATCAAAATCTGCATTGATAATGTCAAATTACATGGCTACATGTTTGAGATAAACAGAAAACATTATCATTGACAATTCTGAACAGTACGAGGGAAAACAAACAGGAACATAACAGGTGTAAGAAGTGTGTTGAATTCTGCTAGCAAGGATTAGTCACTCAAGTAATTTCTCTATGGTCTTTCATTCAAAACAATTACAATGTCACCAGCAGGCTCAGCATCAGAAAAATGGAGAGCAGAAGCACTGCAAGAACAAAGATGAGATATGCTTTGTAATTTCTTTCCAAATTTTACTTTCAGTAATGCAGATTATTATACAGACTGTCAAAATTACTACCTAGGATGTCCTGAATTGTTAGTATAGTGAATTAAATAGATTCAGTTATGCAGAAATCTATATTTATGCAGCAGCACTTTCACTGTTACTATACAGCTAGATGAAGACAGGCACTGATATAATTTCAATGAAATCATGTCTTCCAATGCAGTAAAGGCTTACAAAAATCAGCTATATGCTAGTGACACAAAACCAGTCTCCAACTTTAGCAGAAAGGAGTGCCACTTAAATCAAACTCACATTCTTTTCTTCAAACCCGAATACCCCAACAGGGGAATCATTTGGTGGAATAGCAACAGTTACCAAGGTGTCATTCCCAAGTCTTGCACCACCTGTTACCCTCACCAGGGCAATTTTGAATATCTCAAGGAATTCAACTTCATCGTCATCTATGATTGTAATTTCTATTTCTCCTGTAGCCTGTAGAAATGTTAAAAAGAAAAAAAAAGCAACAAAGCTTCATTTATAATATTCTGTGAATTGTTTGAAAAAATTTAAAATAGGCAAATTATATCTAGTAATAAGATTTCAGTAGTGATTTTTAAGTCCATCAATGTAAATCTTATTTCTTAAAATCAGCAGAGTGCTCTGCTTTAGTACTCAGTAGAACGTGAATGTTGACAATATTGTCAATAATCAGTAAACATTCTGCACTCTATGAATATCCTTCCCTTTGCCAAAGACAGCTTATATTCACTTAAAATCTAAATCCCTTGTGTACAATAAGTATTCTCAGGTGTAAAAAGAAATTTAAAATTATGTTTAGAACACAGTTAAGAAAACATATAGGCTTATTCTCAGAATTTATAGTGAAGATGGATTCTGCTAGAAACTTTCAGTGCAACAGGGTTTATTATTAGAAGTTATGCCCTCACTTGCCAAAGTATCAAAGACAAACAAGCTTATTTGGTCAACGCTTATGAGTGTTCTGGCTTTCCATGTTAAAGAACTGAAGTTGTGAGCACCATTCATAAGCATCATAAGGCCATAAATAACATGCTTTCAGCGAAAATTCTGCTAGAGGAAAACACACAAAAAATCTTAAGCTGGTAACACAAAGTCAGGTAAACTTCCAACAAGTGAATACCTGCCCATCTGCAAATATAAGGTTTCCAAATGATGGTGTGAAGTCTTCAAAGCTGGCAGTTGAATGAATGGCTTCCCAGTACAGAGTTGCTGACCCAAACCTCCCAGCCTGTCGAACAACTGGGAGTTTCAATAGATTCTGTGGTGGTGGTACCTCATAACCAGAAACAGCTCCATTGATATCCTGTACATCCAAACAGAAACTGCAGTGTCTCAACAAACTTTTTCTTTTTTTCTTTTTTATTTTTTTCAAGTTGACTTGCAGTTAAAAATAAATTAAGAAATATGTAACTACTTGTAAAATGGTCTGGTCTTAGCATTGACCTTGAGCAAAAATCTGGATTAAATGATCTCCCGAGATCCCTTTTTATGACATTTGTTTCAGCACTGCCAGATCCATAATATATTTTGTGTATTATTTGTGACGAACCTCCTAAGAAAGAATTGTTTGTCTGGTATCTGGCCATTTTATCCAGAACAATTTATCATGATAAAGCCTATCAGAACACTTTCAGAAGTCATCTGAGAAATCAGACTGCCTTGCTCAAAAGCCACTTTACATGTTTTTGATTCAGACTTACTTACCTTTGTAACATTAAAATTAAATATTCCTCTGGCATCGTCATTTTCTTCAATTGTTATTTCAGCTATTTCTAATCCAAGCCTCTTCACACTTGGCTGACCTCCAGAGGAAGAAGTGATCAGATGCACATCAGTAATATTGATTATAAATCGTTCCTGTAATTCTGGAATGTCATCCTGGAAGAAAAAAAGGTTTTAAATATTTTAATGATACGTTGCAAGTTTATAATACAGTTGACTATTTGTAAATTGTTTCCTGCTCAAAATGTCTCAGCATTTGGGACAATATAATCAATCCCTTGCTTCATATCATATGAAAGAAGAAAAAGACTACTTTTGCTGAGATTTTGAAATTGAAGCTAACAAGTCAGATTCCAGATCTGCAAGAACAGTGGAAAGCAGTGCTGGTTGTCATCTGTTGCTGCTAGAAGAAAGACAGCTAGATCTCAGAAACCAAGCTACGACTTGTAAATCAGTATCTCCATTTTAAATATATTTAAAGAGTATACAGAATCTTTTTTCCTTTTTCATTATTTTAAGTGAATTTTGTAACTATAATAAAACAAAGAATTTGGCTCATTCCCCATGATGAGTATGCAAGGTTTTGTTTTCAAGAGGTAGCTGCAAAAGTCTCAGCACAGCCATTTCTAGAATGTTAAGTCACACTACTAGTGTAAAATCAGTACTATTGCCATTTCCTTAGAAAATATTAATAGATAAAGAAGTTAGGCTACTCACAGGCAAAATAATGACTATGACAGAAGCTGTTGTTGCATTCTCTGCCATAATGACTGTTTTCTTTTCCAGTATATAATCCTCATTTTCTGTTGCTCGGTTGGAAGGTGGGAGTTCAAAGTTCGGTGCACTGCTCAACTGAACTGCAAGATCTCCAACAAATCCTTGTTCTCGAACAATTTGTAGAATAACAGTAGTTGAATTCTCCAGCCCTATATTAAAGAGAGGGAAACAATTCAAGATATGATTGTTTTACAGTCATAGAATATGCTGAGTTGGAAGGGATCAGGATCATTGGAGTCCAACATCTGGCCCGGCACAGGACACTCCAAGAATCACACCATGAGAAAATTGTTCAAACACTTCTAGAACTCTGTCAGGCGTGGTGATGTGACCACTTTCCAGAGAATCCTGTTCTAGTGCTCAACCATGCTCTGGATAAAAAAACCTTTTCCTGATACCCAACCTAAATCTGCCCGAACTCAGCTGCATGCAATTTACTCGAGTTCTCTCCCTGGGAACCAGAGAGTGGAACAATCAATGCCTGTCCTCTTCCCCTCATGAGGAAGCTGTAGGCTGCAATGAAGTCTCCTCTGGTCAAGGCTGAACAGACCAAATGACCTAAGCCACTCCTCATGCAGCTTCCTCTCAAGGCCTTTACCATCCTCATGACCCTCCTCTGCATGCTGTCAAACAGCTTTATATCTTTCTTATATTGCAGTGCCCAAAACTGCCCCCAGCACTGGAGGTGAGGCTGCCCCAGTGCAGAGCAGAGTGGGACAATCCCCTCCCTTGCCCAGCTGGTGATGCTGTCCCTGATGCCCCCCAGGACACGCTTGGCCCTCCTGGCTGCCAGGGCACTGCTGACTCATGTTCAACTTGCCATCAACCAGGAGCCCCAGTGCCTTTTCATGGTGCTGCTTTCCAGCATCTCATTCCCCAGACTGTCCATTCATCCAGGGTTGCCCCATCCCTGCAGAATCTGGCACTTTCCCTTGTTAAACTTTATTAGGTTTTTATTGCCCAGTGCTCTAATTTTTCAAGGTCTCTCTAATCAGTTGAGGTCTCTCTTCAGGGCCCCTCTGCCCTCAAGGGAGTCAACAGCTCCTCCCAATTTAATGTTGTCAGCAAACTTAGTATTCCTAAGAGTCCTGCATCCAAGTCTTTTATGAAGGTGTTGAAGAGAACTGAAACTAGGATGGAGCCCTATGGAAGCCCTATTTAAATCCTTGGCCTGCTTGACTTTCAGCTCACCTAACTACTAGAGCTGCTTGCTAGAGCCCACGTCAATTCTACTCAGTGACACAAGAGTCTTTGGAGATGAGCACACACAACTGGAGTGAAAACATGAAACAGTACCTACAACTGGAGGTATTGTGCATTTAAAAATTGGATCTAGAAGAAGATGTGGAATAGCTACAGTTTTATATGTGTGTTAAACAAATTATTGCTTCAACACTTTTATTCAGTTATCCTCCAAAACTTCCATCTCAATAATTAGCCTGGCCTTTCATGCCTAGGCCATTGCTATTGATTTTAATACAGAAAGTGGTATTGAGGGCAGTCATTCTGGCTGTAAACGTCACATTTCCTTAATTCAATGTCCTAGGGTGATGTTATGGTGTTTGTATCTCCAATCGTGTGTTCTGATTATGTTTGGTATTATGTCCTGTGCTTCCAGGACTGACTCTGAGAGTGAAGCTTTGTTTTGTCTTGTTATCAGCCGGCTCACCTCCCCCATGGTCTATGTTTAGGAGAGGTTTTAGCTCGGCTTGCTTGCTTGCTTGCTTGCTTGCCTGCTTGCTCGCTTCTGCCTCTTTTTCTTTCCTTTGCTTTGCCCTTGCTTTTTGCTTATTAGTTAGTTCAGCTAGGCAGTCCAACTTTTTCCCTGGACTGTTTTCTCTTCCACCCCGTCCCCTCCCTCTCCTGGATACCATCTGAACCTTTCCGGACGGGGACCTGGGAAACCTCAAGAAACACCAGGAGTCTACACTTTGTCACCTGCAGCAGTCATTCCCCAGCGCCAGAGACTGATAACTGAGCGACCACTCGCCAGAGAGACTGAACTTGTCATCCCTTCAGAACGGTGAAAGAGTTTTTTTGTCAGCTGGTGTTGTCTTTTTCCCTGTGCTGGGGAGTGTCTTGCTTGTTAAATAAACAGGTTTTTTCTTCCACTCTTCTCTGAGGAAATTCTTCCCGAAGCCGGTGGTGGGGGGGAGGAGTCGTGGGGTTTGCTGTCGGGGGGCTCCTTCTGGAGGTTTTCCCCCAAATTTGCCCAAAACCAGGACACTCAAATATTGAAGAAGTTGAATAGACTTGTAGCAGTCAGACTCAGCACCCTTTTTGGGAAAGCAGATATGTAATCTTATCTAATCAATAAATGATGAAACACATAATCTGGCTAAAAGTGGTACATTTATGACTGGAGAAATAGAGGTAAAATGTAAACAAGTTTTTACTTCAAGCCAGTTACTGAAACCAGATATTATTTCACAGATAGCGCTTGTGTATAATTCATTAAAAATACAACAGTTAAAGATTGGGAAAAAAGCCCTATCCAACCAGTGAAAGCTAAAAACCTTCCTTGAATCCTAATTTCAAAGTTTAAATGTTTAGAATGTATAAGAAATCAACAGAATCCCTTTACTTTATTTCCCGGTGCTAAACAAGGGTCAACACCAATTCACCTGAAAACAGAATGTTAGAATGTTTTAGCTGTGGTAATATACTCTGATGGAAAAAGTATTTTTGTATATCTAATTTGTTAATATGGACAGAATATTAAATTGTTAGAAAATTCTGATTGGGTTGGTAAAGTATGAATAGCCCATCAGGTAGCAGGGGGAAGAGCCTCAAAGAATGCCAGCTAGCTCCCTGAGCCATGAGAGAGAGAAGCCTGAACATCATGGCAATCCTCCTCTGGCCAGCTGCCTGGGAGATCCTTTTCAACTTGTGCCTGGAAGGAAAGACAAATCAAACATGCAACTGCAAGCAGAAAAATACCATCTTTCTCCTGAAGTGCAATTCACTCTTGCTCTGTTTCCTTCCTTCCTCTAGCCATCTGAGCAAAAAGTTACCATTTTTGAGCAATTTCAAGAGGAAAGCTTTTCTTTGTAAATAATTTTAAACAATATAGCAATCCCATTAAATGGGCAACTTCTACTTTTTATATAAACAGAAGTATTTTATGCATTAGTGATTTGCAACTTAACTCTCTAACAAGAATGGCTGGAGAATATTGATGTATGCAATGTGAAATACAGCACAGTTACATATTTTAAGAGATATTTTTGCTACACTTTACTAAAAAAGTGAGATATATATATAAAATATACATATACCTACATACATACATATATATATATGTATGTGTATATATATATATATATCTGCAACCAGTGTTATAACTTCAATAATGGTGACTTTGAAAAAACATACATTCTTTCCTAAGAATCAAGAAACAGACTTACCTTCTGGCTCTGTGATTTTAACAAAGAGAGACTCCATATGCCACTCAATCACACCATGTGGAGAGTCACTGGGTAAAATGCTAAGTACAGCTCTTGCCCTTTTTGGATCAATGACAGCTCCTTTTGTGGAATCTTGAACATCCACAGTGGTGATACGGGTGAGTGTGATTTCCACTGCCTCTGAAAGTTCTGCAACACTGTCCGCTAGAATTGTCAGAGTGATTGTGGACAGGGCCTGACCTTCTGAAAAAGTAATCTGAAGTTTTAAAGAGAAAATGGGAAAAAATTTCTTGTCAGTGTTAAACCTAGAGTTTTATTTCGTAAACTCTATCAGTTATAAAATGCACATATATACACACATATATATCTTATAGAGTCATAGAATACGGGGTTGGAAGGGAGCGCAAGGATTATCTGGCCAAATCTTTCTTGGTAGTACCACAGTCTAAATGAGATGGCTCAGCATTCTGTCCAGCTCAATCTTAAAAGTGTCAGTTTTGGGGAGGCCACAACTTTCCTGGGAGGGTTATTCCAATGGATGATTGCTCTCATGGTGAAAAATCTTTCTCATAAAATCCAATGAGGATCTCCCCAAGAGTAACTTGCATCTATTACCCCTTGTATTTTCAACGTGATACCCTGTAAAAAGTAAATCTCCTCATTGTAGCCACCTTTTAAACACTGAAACCTGGTCTGAACATAAGGTCTCCCTATAACCTTCTTCTTTCACGGTTGAACAGTTCTCTCAACCTTTCCTCATATGACAGGTTTCCCAGTCCTCTGACTACATTTGTGGCCAGGTCTAGACCCCCACCTGCCTGCCCATATCTATTATCCATAATGGGGACCAAAATCTGAACACAGAATTCCAGCTGTAGCCCAAAAAGTGCTCAGTTGAGTGGGCTGAATGACTGCTTTATCTCTGCTAGGAGTGGCCTTGTTGATGCAACCCAGAAACACCCTGGTGAATTGCCTCAGTGTTTGATATTATCAACTGGCAGGATCCCCAGGTCTCTTTCTCTGGACCTAAACCCCTGTCAGGAGAGATGCTTGTAGGTGCTACAGTCCTGGAATACATTTTCCATAGTGCAACATTTGTTCCTGAAGAATCTTCCAGCCTACCCTGGTCTTCCTGCTGAGTGACTCTCCAAAGTGTCCACTTCCTCACTTAGTTTGGTATCATTGTCAAACTTCATCAGAGTACACCTGATCTCATCACCCACATCACTTAGGAAGAGATTAAATACTGTTGGGCTCAATATTGATCCCTGAGGGACCACACTTGTGACAGGTTGTCAATTCGAAAAGGAGCTATTTCCCACCTCTCCCTAGGGGCAGCAATAACACATTAGTTTCTTTAGAAGAAGGCTATGGCAAGCTGTATCAAAAACCTTGGAGAAATCCAGGTAGACAATGGCTTTCTCTCTTCTTATTACACAGCCTTTATCTCAAAATTTTTCACCCGTATCCTGCTGAGGTAGAGGAGTAAGAGAGAACTAGATGGGGGTTTTTAGATAGCTAAGGTCAACACAACACATATATCCGTATCAAAAGAAGGATGAACATATATCTATTAAAATCATTGCTATGTGAAGAAATGACTACTCAACTTCTTCTTCTTCTTCTTCTTCTTCTTCTTCTTCTTCTTCTTCTTCTTCTTCTTCTTCAGATAGAATGATTGATCCATGCATTGTCTATCTATATTCTTATTTTAAAATTCAAAGGGACTGCCACTTGATTAGGTCTTTCTCAACAAGGAAGACGTGTCTATAAACACTTAGGTTAACATAATGTGTAGGACAAACAAATTTCCACTTAATATTATACCCTTCTGACTCTTCTTGCCTATAAAGCTATGCAGTGTACTTGTGTGGTATGCACCTGGAATGCTCAAGGAGTACTCAAACAATTTCAGTATGATTGTTTTGGAATCCTTGATTTCCAGGCTATTTATTTTTTTTCTTTTTCTTTTTATTTTTTCGGACTTTGTGCCTGCTACAGACAGCCACAAGGTGGAGGACTTTGATTTACAGAAACTGGTTCCTGCCAGTCCTAAGGCAGATAAAGAGCTCTGGCCACAGGAAAAACCGGATTTTAACCTGGCTGGGAATCAAAAAGTCTCAGAAACATAGAAAACTGGGACTTGTCATATTCTGCTGGGCCACTTAAGCTCTCCATTGTATTGAGACGGTCAGGACGAAAAGCAAACACTCCCAGATTCCCATCTATGCAAATGGTTTGACATAGTAGCTGAATCTCACAGCAGGAAGAAAGGAAAATTGGAATAGGATACTGCAGATACACATTTCCAGTGCCTGGACAGTATTGCAATATCAGGTTCTAGAAGTGTTAGAGTGATATATATCACTGTATTATGTGCCAACCAGAAGCACAAACCACTAGAATCACAGGAAAGGACCAGGAAGCAGGAATTAACAGAAAAGTGGGGCAATCTCACATGTACTGTCCTTCTACATCTTTATCTATTATCTGAAACCAAACCTGTAACAGTGATATCATTAAATACCATTCCTGAAGCTGGAAATACATCACTTATGCTTCCATTAGCAATCCATTCTACTGTAACTCGTCCATATGTTCCTATTAAACGTTCAATATTCAGGGTGATCAAGCTGTCCTGTTCCATTTCTTCAATTTGCTTAAATAAAGAACTCTGGAAAACATACAGCAGCAGAACCAAAGCATTATTTTCTTAGAAAGAAAAGGTTTTATAGGGAACAGAGTATTCAAAGGGGGCTAGAGACATAGGGCATCAATAAATTAATCTACTCTTAAGCAGATAAATGCAAGTCTATTGATTAAATTTATATATCTTAATACTCAAAAGGCCCAAATTTCATAAACAAAAGAATTTGAAATGTCAGATCTCTTCATCCAAAGGCAAAAATTTTTTGTTTTTTATTTTAATACAGTGTTTTATGTCCAAATCATGTGAAGCAGGTAACAAACATGTAGAGGTTCAAGACACATATTTTTACTGCTGTTCCTTTACTATTTTTCATCCTCCTCACACAAGTCCAGATGTAATGTTTCATTTCAGTGATGATTCCTCTGAGTTTTATATCTTCATTATGCATTTAGTACATATATCTGTTTACATAACTTCTACAGTATTTGATGATTTAAGAATCAACAACTCTAAATAATACCTTCAGTCTTACATTTTCTCCAAAGTTTTTTATTTTTTTCAGGCAGATGGGCTCATCCTGTGGTATAACTATTTTAGAGGGAAAGAATCTTTACCTAATTTCCTTAATTAATCAAATAGTAGAGACTATGTTGATATCATATATGCCATCTGAAAACGAATTTTTTAGCTTGCTCCAAAACGAAATTGATAAAATAATTGTTTATTCTAAATGTAAGGGGATTATAAAAACCCCACAATAGGGAAAGACTGGAACTGAGTTTCTACTGCCTGTCATCTATATAACCAAGTAACAGTGCTAAATGGAAGTCAAAGCCCTTCTGTCTCAGGTTGCTGCAAGACTTTAGAAAAAGAATCCTGTAATGTGCAATTTTAGTATGTTCATGTTCTGTTATTCAGAAACGATATATACATATTCTAATGATTTACCTGAGCAAATGCAATGACTCCATAGGCATTGTCATTGGGAGGAATAATTATGTTAACAAAACTGTGAGCACCAATCTCTGCACCTCCTTTAGGGTTTTTCAGCCACACTTTAAAACATTCCTCCTCCTCTGGAATGATGTCATCCAAGATATTGACTGCTATCACAACTTCCATGTCCCCGGGCTCAAATATCAATTCACCTGAACTAGCATACAAACAAACACATCAAGTAATTATAAACTGAGAATATGATTAACGAACTTCAAAAGCACTACTGAAAATTTAAAGAGCATTTTTCATGCTGAAGTTTTTGTTTATATTCCTCAGTAAGTCAATGAGGTTTAAAAGTTGTAGGATTAGTGTTGAGTTTAGTTATTTTTCTTAATGTCAATAGAACATATAGTAACAGATATTTCTTATTAATGTAACTTAATTTAATTTATCCTAAATAAAAGCTTCAATATCAAATTTAACTGCAAGTCCTTTTATTACATATTTTAAAACAAATTGTGAGAAGTTTGACTTCAGGTTTTCCTAAGGCTACCTGTGAAATATTCTTTTTAGTGTTAATAAACACACCACACACTGGTGTCTATAATGATCTCCACTATAGCAAAAAGATTATCACAGAAAAAGGAATGCAAGAGCTGGGAGGAAAAAAAAGAACCTACCTGGGTATAAAATCTGACTGGTTGGAGATAGTTGTCAGCTCATAAATCTGGGAGCTTGACTTTATGGAAAGGGCAATCAAACTCTTGCTGGAGTTCAGAGACCTTGCAGTAGTGGAAGTGATATGATCTGCATATGGGGCTTCCAGCATCAGAGAGAACTGGTTCCCTTCTGAGTTCCAGGAGTACAGTGCTGTTGTGTCCTTACTGGAGAGGAGGATGTGAACTACATTAAGCAAGGAAGAGAAAAAGAGGAATATTCAGTGATATATTTAAAAGTTCTTGTCATACCAGAAATGCCCTTGGCAGTATAATTATTAAAGTATCTCTTAAAACCTGACAAATAATAGGAAAATTGAATGCATCTATTTCTTCAATTCCAGCACTATAAATGAAATCTCACCTAAACCTGAAGGAGGCATGAAAACATGGATGTTTCTGACAGCAGAGACTGGAAGAGACTGAAAGTGTCTGAAGGTAGACTGCCCTGTCTCCCAGATGAAAATTTCAGAATTTCCAGTTTCTACAAAGGAGAAAAATGACAAAACCTTAATTATATTGGTGCCGGTTAATTAAATCACACACTAGTGGCCATTCAAAGGCAGAGATTGGCTTTAATTACAAAGTAATTTTATCTTCCCTTTTACTTGTTCATGATATCCCATTAGATGATTTATTCCATTACATTATTTAAGGGCTTTTCTGCATATATTCACATAAGAGAACACTAAAAATCCCAGCAGACAACAGTCAAATGTAAAGAAACCTATGGATTGCAATATCATAGGGATGTAGACATAAAGCAAGGCCTAAAGTGTCACATTTGTAATAAAAATGTACTTTGCTGAACAATGATCTTTGCATATAAGAAAGTTCAGAAAAGTTCAGAAAGAGTGCAATTAGCAGCTAGACGAATAGAGTTATTATTTCCTATTGTTCTTGGGAAAATATTTCATTAGTTTCATAAATATTTGAGAACAAACACAATGCTTTAATTTTCTGAAGAACAAAACACAGATTACTTTACTAAGATGCTTTTCAGCAAATTGTCACCCTCCAGTAATATTTTCATCTCTATCTAAACCCCTTTTATTTCAAATGCCTCTCCTATCAAACAAGCCAGCACATACTTAGCAAATGCAGTGGTCTGTTTTCTGCTAAATACCTTTTGCAGCAATTAAATATATATCAGATCCAGAAGTCCAGGCCTCCATATGTTTTATTTCTTTTGCTGGTAACTGATGAAGATTCCTAAACTTATTATTCAGCCATTGGTACAAGAGCACATTCTGGCTGGTATTTGACAAAGAAACTATTAAGTACATAATGCCTCCTCGGGGAAACAAAGCAATATTCAGAGCTCTGTAAAGTGGAAGCTGATGATGTAGCACAAATATATCTTTATTCCACTGGAAAACCTATAAAAATAGAAAATATATCTTATTATATATTTATAACAAGCACTATGAAAAAAGAAATTTTTGATGAAAAATTGGAAAGACATAATTAACTGAATTCCTCATTTCTGTGGTGGAGCCTACATTATGGTGGAAGCCCACTGATAAGCAACTATAAGTTACTACCTCATTGCAAGCACCTGTGCTTCTTATTCAGATGAACAGGTTTATAGTCAGAAGCTATTTCGATTCCTACAGCTTTTTAATGTAATAGATTTCAAAACAGAAATGACAGAAATGACAGTAGCAATATAATCAAACCAAGTCTAAATTACATGTTAATGTAGGGAGTGTTGGTACATTTAAACAAGTCTAGTACTTTATGTCTTAAAAATCTGTAATAGAAACGTAACAAATTTTTCAGGAATATATACTTACTTTTTTTTTCCTATATTTCCTTCATATTTCAAACTGAAAACTAACCAAACTACCTACAACAAAGCCATGGAAGACAAGTGTATTCTAACCTGGATGGAACTGAAACTGCTGTTATCACTCACAAAAACCAAATAGTCTTCTTCATCCATAGCAAAATGTTTGACAAGTGTGGTATCCAAAATAGAGAGGGTCTGTAACTACAAGGAAGATATGGCAAAAATGGTATTTGGAAGTCAGCTCAAGTCTATACATATACGAGTATTTTTTTTTAAGTGTAAAATTACATATAAAACATATATAAAACAATGTACAAAATTGTCATAGATGTAATTTAATAATTTTAAAAATATATGAGGGGTCATTTTATAAAATTAATATGTTCTATGACTTCATTGCTCCACAATTTCTTTCTTTACTTCCAAGATCATTTTATCTCACCCACAAATATAACTATAAAAAACGTTAGACAACAAGCTGTAATAACTGTTATGGCTTAGGAATAGTATTTTTCAATTTAGTGTTCCCACGGAAACACTCCAAGCCATGCTTCCCCCCTGTAGAGGGATGTAGAGGAGAACTGGAAGCAAAAAAGGTGAAGATCACGGGTTGAGATAAGGACAAATCATTGCAAACAGCAATGTAATGAGAAAATGAACAGTCAAAGAATAATAGCAGCAGAAGGTACAAGAGAGGCAAAAATTCACATGTAAAAATGTTCACTATGAACAACCCATCAATATAGGAACTGTGCTCACACTAGCCCAACCCCCAGGAAGGCCTCTTCCCCCAAAAAAACATATGAGGTGGCATAGAATAACCTCTGGATTCCAGCCATGCCCCCTTCTGGCTATTGAAAAACTAACCCTGTTCTGGCCTAAATCAGGACAATAACTTACATCACTGACTCATGCAGAGTGTTCACTTGCCACACTAGCTGAGAACAGAGTGCTTTTCCCCAAAACATGGCTAGTCAGAAGGACCTCACAAAGTCCTTTTTAACCCTGTTACTTAATCATTTTAAGTAACACAGATTTACCTTCAATAGTTTGCGTCCAGGCATGAATGCATACACGCTGCTATTGGAAGCTCCCCAACTGCTTCCTCCATGAGTAATCACAAGGTAAGGAGAGGCATGGATTTGGAAAGACACACAGCTTTTAGGATTCCACATACTGAAATTCTGAGAGAGGAACAAAAAGTAAAACTGAAACATCACGGTTTTATTAAGCAGCATGGCCGGTATCTGTAAGAAAGCATTTACCTCGATGGCAACAAAAACTCCTTTCCACTGGTAGAGAGTAGAAAATGCAGCTGGAGGTGAGCGCAGCAGCACACCATACAGAATTTCTTCCGATGGAAAGAAACACCAGCTAGCTGNTTTGCAAGACAGACAGAACACTGATACTGCCCTCTGCAATACAGTATAAGAAAAAAGTTTTTATGTTTAAGGTCTTTTACAACATTAATTACATTTTCATTATTTATTTCCCAAAACAAAATCTACTATGAGAAATCACAGAATATTCTGAATTGAAAGGGACCCACAAGGATTATGAAGTTCAGCTCTTAAGTGAATGGCTCATACAATGGTCAAACCCACAATCTTGACATTCTTAGTACAATGCTCTAAATGCCTAAACTATATTCTGAGTTGTCTCTAAATAGTTGGTAAAAGTGCATGTAAATGCGTGGAAATGGTATAGCGCTGAGGTTGTACTGAAAGCTAAACAGTAAATTAATTTCTCATACATTACTATTACATACAGGAAATGCATAGCTAATTTGAGTGTGATTCAGAGTGACTCAGTTTGCAATTGAGGAAACTAATAGAGAGGAAGAAATAAAGTGACAAAGAAAATAAAGATGCATTTATCCTCATTCTCTCTGCCATCACAAGAAGTAGTCATGGCACTAAGATTCTTAAACTGCCTAGTCATTCAGCACTTAGAGAAAATAGTGTCTTTTATATTATATTAGAAAAATCCAGAATTACAGGTAGTAAAAAACTTTTTATGAATCAAAGGTCTTGTGAAAATATATAAGCAACAGGAAGACCAATACAGATTGTTGAAATTCTGGCAGCAGTGCCTGATGACAAGCTGACTCTTAAGATCTTTTATCTTAGATCTTTTATCATTAGATCTTTTATCTAATGAATTTTGATACCATAGGAATATTATAAGTGAATTTTCATTCCAAAGTTATATCTCCAGTATGTTTGGTTACTCTGTAGCTATCTCCTCTCTGAAAATAGCAAACAGATGCTCTCAATAAAGTGAACCTACTGATGCCAAACGCAGTATCCGACAATGTCTCCCACTCAACACTCACAGACACGTTGAGCCCATTACTCCGTGAAACTTTCAAATAAACTGTAGTGTTCGCTTCTTCAGCTGTGAAGATATTTGTCCTAAATTTGAGAATTGTGAAAATAAATTTCAAGAAGTATTATTTTTATAGTATAAGAATAGGATTCTTACTGTACACTTTCAGCACAGAATATGCAATAAAAATACTAGATTTGCTCTGTGATGGACTAATACTAATTAAGGTTGCATAATGTTTCTTCACACAAGACCTTGACAAAATCATGGGAAATTCAACAAACAGCCAGAAATTTAACATACAAACTCTATGGGTAAAGCTGAATGATTTCTGAAAACATCATTCCATATCATAGACTCATATGATCTGGTTTGGGTTGCAAAGAACTTAAAGATCATTTTGTTCCAACCCTCCTGCCATAAACAGGGACATCCCAGACATCCCCCACTAGACCAGGTTGCTCAGATCTTCATCGAACCTGGCCTCAAACACCTCCAGGGATGGGGCATCTGCAGCTTCTCTGGGCAGCCTGTGCCAGTGCCTCACTACCCTCACAGTAAAGAATTTCTTCCTAATATCTAATCTTAACCTACTGTCTTTCAGTTTTAAGCCATTCCCTTTTGTCTTGTCACTACATGCCCTTGCCAAAAGTCCCTCTCCAACTTTCACATAAGATTCCTTTAGGTACTGGAAAGTTACAATTGGGTCAGGCCAAAGCCACCTCTTCTCCTGACTGAACAATCTCAATTCTCTCAGCATTTCCTCATAGCAGAGGTGCTCCATCCCCCTCATCAATTGAGTGGCCTTCTCTGGTCTTGCTTCTACAGTTTCATGACCTTCCTGTGCTGGAGCCCCAGAGCTGGAGGCAGCTCTGCAGGTGAGGTCTCACCATAGTGAGAGGAGGGGCAGAAGTCCCTCCCTCACCTTCTGCCCAAACTGCTTTGGATGCAGCCCAGGACACATTTGGCTTTCTGGGCTGGGAGTGCCCATGGCTGGCTCATGTCCAGCCCCTCACAGCACCCCCATGTCCTTTGGGGCAGGGCAGCTCTCGATCTGTTCATCCCCAGCCTGTACTGAGGGTGCTCTGACCCAGGTGCAGCACTTTGCACCTGGTCTTGTTACACCTCACGAGATTCCCAAGGGCCACTTCTTGAGCTTGTCTACGTAAGATGACTCATTTGGTTCTGAAAAACAGCCCTGAGTGAGGGTATATCTTACACAAGCTAAAATAAATAGGTAAATTAGAAAATTTTTGATTCATGGGACACTGGTCTATGGAATTGTACGGAATTCTTAGTATGTACTACTATTAGTGAAATGTTTGGGCACTAATGAAGTATTGTTTCAAGGAAAAATGCATCGAGAAATCAACATTTCTAATGATGAACTGTCAATTTTAAGTGTTTCCCTGTTCTTCTGTATAGCAGTAATTGTATTTGGCAAATTGGGTACTTTTAAAAATCATAAATTTTACAACTGGATTACTAAATTTTTTTAAAGGGAAACCATCCCTAGGGAATATGAAAAACTTCCTTTAATTAAATCAGGGTTCAGTACCTATTTATTACTGGGTAGATGCTGAAAAGCCCCAGTGGAGCCTGGTTCTGTAATACTGTAATCATAGTTTGCACTCTGGTGCCTAGTCTGGCTCCTCCAGTTGGATTGAACAGGGTGACAATAAAGTGCTCATCCAATTCTGGTTCTTCATCCAGGATTGCAGAAATCCGCAGTGTCTGACAAGAAACAAGCATAGAAAGCTGCTGAGACTTGACAGCTAACAATGAATAGTATTATTCAGGCCATACTGCTGTTTCTGTTCTTTCTCTGTACAGCTCCGGACAGCAGGGCAACACAATAGCAGCTCTCGAAACTGGAGAAGGCAGGAGTAAGGCATGGACAGCTCAGACAGGGGTTCTATAGTAATCTCTCTGGTGACCTCCATTAGTGCAACACTAATGTGAGCATATCCACTTTCTTTTTATTTTTCCTTTCCCCTCTTTCCTCTTGTCCCAAGATTCTCTGAAATATAACAGGTTTCGATCCTTTTTTTTTATTTCTGTTTTGTACTTATCCACATGTTCCTTGGTAATTCATAGTCCCCACATAGCTACCTTATTCCCTTATGCAGCTCAGTCAAGTTGGGTTTGCTTTAGTTGTCAACTGAACTATTTCATGGGCAACATGGTAATTACACTTCTGGTACTGAGAAAAAAGAAGGAAAAAACTGCAATAGGGGAATATTTTAAACACTCTCTTCTTGATGCTTTATTCCCTCTACTGCACCATGGTGGATAAGAATAAGATTGTCACAAGGTGGTCTCAAATCAGCAGAGAGCTCTCTAGAAAGAAGTAGGTGTTCTCCTTGTCATTCTCCCCATTACCTAAAGAGGTGAGAGTTACGGTAGTACATGTAGCTTTGCCTTAGAAAAATTATTTAGTAATGAAAGATCTGGAACTAAAATAGAGCTTAAAACATTTTAGCTCTCTATTTACTTCTGCAATAAACCATATTGGACAACTGTATCAAGAAATCTTCTACTTCCTACTTCTCACAGATCTACTAAACTGGCCATCACTGAGGTGCCAAATTAATTTTGGGTTCAGAAACTGAAAACCAGTGTTTGCAGAAAGGTTTGTTTCAGATTCTACTTCCCTAACCATAATATACTAACCTACTATTGACACACTTAAGATAGCTCATTTTCTAGCTGACATTCTTATGGGGACAGTACAGAAGCAGTGGGATTAATACTGCCAGAAAAATAAATAATTTTCAATTTCCAAAACTCTGAAAGCTGCTCACCCTTTGCCTTTGCTGCAGCAAAATCTCTTCAGTTCAGGCCACATAAAGAAATGGTATTTTTAATTCCACCAAAATTATTTACAGTAGCAAATTATGACTTCATGTCAAAATTTGTCCTTCAGCTATATACTAAACACATGTAAATAAATTGTCCTATACACACATCATATGATATACCCATTATATTGTTTTCAATTTACCTGAAGTATTACAAAGAGAGAAATACCTACAGAAAAGTATATTCAATTTTTCTGCACTCCCACAACTCAGTTTATTCTGAGAATTAATTACAACAAAAGAAAAAAATTAACACGTTAAAAAAACCACAAACATTGCTGAAATCTTCCAAATAATTTTTTAAAAAGCCTTCTTCACTTTTGTGTTATAACTATCATATTACCTTAAATCTGACTCCCTCTTCCAGCACAATGTATCCTTGAGAAGGGGTCAAATCCACTGATGGTTCTGAAGAATTAATCTCACTTACAAGATACTGAACAGACACTGTTCCAAATATTCCCTGAGGAGGTTCTCTAATGATATTTAATACTGCAGTACTTTCCATCAGATGGAGAGCTGTTTGCTCTCTTAGGAAGAAGTGATCACTGTTATTGAACGACAAAATTCCATGTCCGTCATCATTGGCAAATATAGTAATTGTGGCTTTCGGGAAACAAATAATAGAAATATGCTTCAATTAACATAATAAAGTATAACTGCATACATATACAAACAAATTAATAGATACATAAATCCATTCTTTCTTTAATATATGTATATTGCTTTTCTGTTCCTGATATTACTTAGCAGGATATGTAAGTATTTTGCTTTATCTAGGAAGATTTCTAGAAAGGAAGAATCTAGGCTGTCTTATTAAAACATCCAGCTTTTGCATTTTCTGATTCCCTGTTTTACATATTATTTTGTTAGTTTTACATTTTTCAAACGGATGTTTAAGAACTTTCCAAATGAGTTTAATAATCTATTGTAGGAGCACACTGGTGTTTTCTAAAACATGATTATTCAGAAGAATGAAATTAAAGTGACTAAGATAGAATTCTGAAAAATGAGAACTTCAAAACTAAGTTTTACCTGTTGTGTTCTCCCCTAATTCCAGGCCAAATGAGGGATTTGCTAGAATTAACTGGAACTTTTCAACACCTTCAGGAATATCATCATCACAAATCACAACGACAACAGATTTATGCCTTTCTCCATCAGCAAAAAAGAGAGTCTAGCATTGAAACACAGAAAGCAGTGAACATTCAACAGCTGACAATGCTCACAGAAATTTTAAATTTAGGTAAAGCAGAATTGCCTTAAAGAGGGAGGAAAGAAGAAGCAAGAAGAGGAGTAATTTCTATGTCCCTTATAAATTGATTGAAAAAGAAGCAAAACAGTTAAATAGTTTAGCACATTGCAGAGTGAGGACAAACAAGAGAAATTCACTTTGAAAGTTCTGTTGCAAAAAATATTAAATCTTACATGAAATCTTATATGCTTTTGTCTAAGCAAAATTGTATTTGAAATAGATGTTTGAAAGTTTACAAATGCTTCAGTACTAAAGAAGAAAGAAAGACTAAAATAAGATGAATAAATCTATTTCACTCTATTCAGATGATCAGAGCAACTGAAACAAGTTGAGAAATCTAGACGTACTAGTGCCCATTCTGCGGAATAAATAAGATGCTCTTTAGAAGAAGTTGAAGAAATTATAACTATTAGATTTAAAATTTACTTCTTACCCTTGAGATCACATTAAAATCCAAACCCAGCTGTGCCTCCAAATTCTGGGCATAAAAAAACACAGACACATTTCCATAAGATCCTTTGTTTCGATATGCCATTATGGTGAGATTCCCATGAGATTCATTAACTTCAAAACTAAAACAAAAACCAAAACAAATTCTCAGTGCTCACTGAGCATGTTCTTTTATAAGATGGTAGATAATTGCTATAGTTTCACTTAAAATCATCCCCTCTACCTTTTAAGAAAAAGGCACTATTATAGTAAGGCATCATACTACTTGTCTAACGCAACCATTATATCTTTTCTTTCTTATCAAAATAGAATTGAACTATAGGACCTTTCTCCCCTACTTATTATTGGCAGATTAAGACTGTCTATGAGCATGGATGCCTTCTTCCTAGCTCCTGGCAATCATAGGGAAATATCTGGGAGACAGCAATGTGCATGCTTACATGGATGAAGAGGCTGGGGCATTGGATGGAGGCTTGAGGGAGTGATGAAAGTTCACAATACCAAAGGACAATAGTGAAAATAAGTACATGACAACAGGAGATTTCTGAGTAAACATATTGTAAATGTTGGTTTCTAGTGTGGGAATTATCTTTCCTGTTCCACTAAACTGAATGATGTGATGTCATCTCAAAAATTTGATCCTTTTGTTATTAGGAGTTTTACTGTTAATTGAAAATTAAAATAGTTGGGCAACACTAATCCTTAACTCCCACAGGGAGCTCTTCAAGGTGACAAGACTTACGTGGTACTTTCCCATTCAACTACTCCGCTTACTCCATCATTAGCATCAATAATAATTTGAGAAGCTAAACCTTCCACATCTAAACAGGAAAACAGAAAGACAAGTATCTAAGAAAAGTAGAATTCATCTTCATTATTTTCAAGAATAACAGAAGCATTTCTTTATATCTTTACTAATTTTGTAGAAGAAATACATAATTTTCCATTACCAAAATGTGGAGGAGAAAATGAAGTGGTCAGGGTACTTGGAAAGGCTTGAATAAAATCTGTTCTTACTAGCTTACTATTAAAACTGCAGCACAGTGCATTTAATTACCAACATTAAATGTAATGCATTAAAAAAAATAAATATTGAAGAAAACTCATGGCACAAAAAAGTAGAAAATGACAAAAGCAAGATTTTTCATCAAGTCATAATTCATCAAGTCGTAATTCATTGTGTGGCTTTATTATGATGATATGTAATGTTTTGCAGACTGTGGCATTCTGAATATGGGAGGGAAAATGAGTAAAAAAGATTAAAAATTACCCAGTATATAATATTTTATTTGTTTCAGTGCCTAATAATAAATCTTAATGGCACACACCACAGATTCTATTATTAAAAAAAATATTAATTTCCTTTTAGTTAATGTACTTGAACATTCTATTACTACATAAAAACTGATATATCTTCACAATAACTCTGTAAGATTATTGCATGTATTGCCCTATGAAAATACTGAATAATAGATTAATGCCAGCAATTTCCACTAATTTCAGGGGCCAGAACTTGACAGTCAGAACTTGATTCTTCTGAAAAAATAATGCCTTATTTTGTTTAAACAGCATCACATTAATTTATGTCAATTTACTTTTAATAAAAATTAAAAAAGAAATTAAGACTGACAATTTCTATAAGACAAATTGACTCCACTAAATCTGTAGTAAATATATTATTTTTAGATCCATCAGAGAGATTTCTATTAAATCAGATAAAACTGAATAAAAGTAAAAGATCACTGCCATGAATCCAAACCTGACACTATGAGATAGTGATTAACGTGAGCAGCAGCTGCAACACCTCTACACAGACAGCAGAAAGGTTTAGAAATCCATAGGGATTACAGTGCATATAGACCCTTCAGCTTCCTAACTGGTATTTTCCCTCATCATATCTGAGAGTCAGATCAACTCACTCAAGGTCTATAATACTTCGCTTTCAACATCAGACCTCTTATTTCATATCTGGCATTTTTCCCGTCTCTTGATTCCCTCCTGCCATTTTACCCCATCTTAAGTCTTTCTTCTATCCAATAAGTTTATTTATTTTTCTTTCATCATTCTTAAGTATCGAACGTTTTCCCTTTTTTTAATTCCTTGCACTTTTGTATTAAGTGTTGGGCCTTTTCTTCCACCTTTTCTAGACAATGGAATGGAGCAAGAGAAGCATGAAGAAAACAGAACTGTCCTTATGTTTGCTGGTTTTGCTCCATATCCATGAAGTCCCAGATCAGAAATAAAGGTCACTTAAGTTCCATGTGTTTAACTGTATGTCACAGACATCCCAGACTTTCACCACATATTGCATGCATGTGACTAAGACAGGGACAGCATTTACAATATATTCCAGATGGGTACGATTAACTGCATGCCACTATCATGTGCAGAACACCCATCACTTTTGATATCAGACACCTAGAATTATATTAAAGATTTTCTATGGGGTACAGGATTACTAAATCCTAAACAAAGGCATGACACCAACAAGGATTTGAATTCTCAATCATAACAAAGAAAATAAGTAAAAAGGGAAAACAAGATTAGAAAATAGTCTGATAACAGAATTTATTGTGACATTTTATGGTGAGGACAAACTTTTGCTTCATGGATTAAAACTATTATCTCATCATCCTAAGTATATCAGAGTCAAATGGTCATGACTCAGACTGCTAACCACTTATGGCAGAAGGTAAGATTATACCACACTCAGAAGAATTTAAATCAGGAAATCATTCATACTTTAATGTTACTCTTTTTATGTTTTAAATTTTAGATTCAACTAATCACAGCTCAGTGTCTACACATCAGCAATCAGTCTTGGAAGTTACCTTTCAGTCTGTAACGAATTAATTCTGTCACTTCAATACGCATGCAAAGAAAGGGAAAAAGTCACAGAGGATGTTAGAAATAATCAGCATAATTAGTCACTGGTGCCATAGGATAAGCCGTCTTTAAAGCCAATGGCAACTCTGCTACTGAGTTCAGCAGCAGAATGAGGACCTAAATAAGCAAACAATAAATGAAGTTGTGTGAAAGAATAGGAATACAGTAGATCATGACTCCTAAATCTGATACAGAGTAATAAAAAGGTATTTTTGAAAGAGTGGGCAAAGGAGCTAATTGAAGGAATTCTTTGTACATACTTGTTTCCATAATTTACTTGGAAATTAAAATCACATTAACACATTGCCAATAGAACTTTTGAGATAACTGTGTTTTCCAACTGCTAATTGCTAATTACTAATTACTCTATTAAAATTGTCATTTTTACAGGGTTTTAAAAGGTAAGAAGCCAGTGTAATGTCTATGTTTGATGTTCTACAATGTTTCTTGCAGAATACCCTGTCTCATTTTGGCTTATTTGGGAAGTGGCAAGTGGAATAATGAAATGCCAGAGTAATATAATATGCATTCAATTGATATAAAAATAAAGTGAAACGTAATCGTTTTTAAATTATTTTACCCAGTCTAGGTGGTGAGGAAGTTGAATGGTTCACGATAAGTTCCACTGAAGTTAAATTAACCAAGAAGAATTCTTGCACTTCTGGTACATCATCCTACAAAACACAAATCCAGTATATTCTCTTTCCTTTTTCTTTAAGAAACAATCACAGAATTTGTCAAAAAGCAATACACTAGAAGTCTCTAACCTTATAGTAACAATAGAATTAATTTATGCTTCCATTTTCCTGTAACACTTTTACATAAGATGTTAATTATGAAGCAAGACATTATATTTAATGGAAAAGACGGTGGTGACACTGAACCAGATGTGAATAAATTTCTGCTCAGTTTTAAAGGCACAAATAGAAACCACTGATAAAGTAAGAACCTGATAAAGCTTTTCACTGGTAAAGTAGTAGCAAGCAATGAATTACACTAGTTTGAATATCATAAAATAAAATCTTAATGAGAGAGTTAAATTTCACTTAAATAAGCACTGTCCTCTGTTATTACTTGTCCTTCTGTGATTTTACCATTAAAGATCAAAGCAGTCTTTCTAAATTAAAATAAAATTGATAGCTTCAATTAATACAGCTTGCAGATACAGATTCAGGTTTCACAATATTCCTTTTCAGTTATCATACAAATAAGCATAGAGTGAAAGGATACAGAATTTACCTCTAGAATAGTAACATTTATGGCAGCTGATGTTTCTCCTTCTTCCAAAATCACAGAGTCAGAAACAGCTACATAATCAGCTCCTGGTTCAGCCAAGGTCCCCTCTGTCTGGTTACTTAAGGAGACCAATCCTGGAACTGTGGCATATGTAACATTGATGGCACCTGTTCAAAATGTGACAAAAAACCTCACTTTTTAAAATTCTTATGTAATGCTCACTGGAATAGACAAAGAAAGAGATCAAACGCTCATTGAAAAAATGCAACACTTAACTACAAACCAGAGGATTAAAACTAATCTGAAACCAATGAGACCTATTTCTTTCAGTCTTTTGTCCAAGATCACTGTGACTTTCTGTCACAGGACAGAAAGCATTAGGACCCAGTGTAATAATATATTTGAGGCACTGTGAACTTCAAATATTGCATTACATACCTGGGACATCTAATGTATTATTGATACTAGGTTTGGTGTCAAGGGAAGTAGAGTGTTTCAGGACCAGATGATGTCTAAGAAAGGCTCTAAATTTAGTTTTCTTTCTAGACAGACTGACACAGATGCTGAGAGAGAATTAAAATTACGGGATATATGGATACATTTGACTGCAGGAAAAGCTAAACTTTTTTTCTATAATAAAGACACATCTCACCAATCTGCCAGAGTAAGTCAAATTGCAAATTTAAAGAGAGTGATCCCAGAGATAAAATGACAAATTAAATTCAAAGTTAATCTGTATGAAATAAAACATAAGGCATAAAAGAATCTTAGTTTTAATAAATAAATATGGAGTTCAAGTGAGAGATTTTACATTTACAATGGATACTTAGAACAAACTAATAGTTTCCTAAGTAGTGTTTGGAAGTTAATTTAGATACTGATTAGAATTAAAAAAGAAAGGGGAAAACAAAGAAATGACATTTAAATTCCTCTACAAATCTGTAATGTGTCCAGATATTGAATATTTGTTTCACCTCAAAACAGATAAAAAAAAATAAGAGAGATTATCACTGAGTTCTAAATATAGTCTAAAAACGTAAATAGAAAATTATAATGCATGTTATCTCTCAATGGAAGTCAAAATACTCAGGAAAGAAACACAAAAACTATTTTGGCACACAGCATATTATTGAAATTAGTACCATTTAATCTTATTTTAAAAGAAAAATTGAATTGAATAATTCTTAGGAAAGGCATAAACTGATTTCAGAGGCGTCAATGCAACTTTTTCCATGGGATATTCCTAAACTGTCAGATTCTGGAAGTTTACAGAGGGGATGTTGTGGGAATGATAATTCCATACAAGCTCCTTTTCTCACGTTTCTTTATTTCTTCTGGACAGACTAAAAATTCAAGACATATTTGCTGGACATAAAAGTACAACCCTAACAGCCAACTAGTTACATCACAGCTGCCAGATCCCATGCTGTGGAATTAAAGGTTATGGTTTCAGTTCTAGCTAAAACTTCGTTTCCAAGTCCAGAGTAAGGGGCCTAGAAGTTCTGAAAACCTCAGTTGTATCCAAGATTTTCCAGATTTTCTAGCCCCCCTGTCATGGCATTCATTTGTCTAATTATTTTGAAAACAAAATTTAATTTCTCTTGGAGATGTTATACAAACCTAGAGATCCAAATTCTCTATTAATAAAAAGCTGAACTGTTCTGTTTTCCTCTGGAAGTAAAACTACCCTAGATGGAGAAGCAAAATTCAGTAGTCCATGTGGTTCATCACTAGCTTCTACTGTCAGAACAGCTTCATATCCCTGACTATCCAAAACAGCAGCACCAGCAAGAGAAACACCTGCAAAAGAATCAACAGACTACAGTTAATAATGTTAGGTAAATAAAGTTTTGCCTTACATTACTGCTATTTTTATGTAAAAATGACAGCCAGTAACACCGCAAATTAAATCAAACCAAACACATTATATGCTCACTGAATTTTACGGATGGTGTGGAATGTGTATGTAATTGCATTCTATAACAAGCACAGAAACATTCAATCACAACAAAAATTGTATGCATAAAAACGACAGAGTTCAAGACTATATTAAGAAATGAGAAAACCTGAAGAGACAATGCTAAATATGAACTTTCCTAAACTACTTGTATTGTAAAAGGAAAGAGAAAGTTTTTCTAGAATTCATTATAAAAGTTAAAATTATATTCAACTTCTCAATCATTCCATTAAGAAATTACTACAAGTGTTGCCTTGATGACTAACTGCATTAATTCATACTTATCCTGAAGGATTACAAGAGTAAACAAATTATTAAGACAAGTTGGCAAGGCACCTATCAGCAACACCACCCATGTCAAGTTAGTTTGGTGTTTAGACACTCATTCCAGTTTAATGAAGGGTATTTCAGAAGAGATGCAGTTTCATGCTTCTTTTCTCATCATAATTTCAATGAAAGAGTAAAATATTCTGACCTCCTGTAATTCAGAGACAGATCAGCAAGACAGCTTGGCAGACAAGATTGTTTAAAAAGATAAAAATATTGATTTATTTTGTGACACCTGTATTATACAGTATGCATAAATACAGAGATGTGTCCAGCCTGTTTCAATAAAATGTGAACAAATTTTGCCCAGTTTGCAACATTTTCAATATTCTTAGTCCTACACTTCCAAAATGGCTCAATTCATGCAGAACTATTACAATACTAAATGGCAATTTTAGGTATAGCAGATATAGTAGTCTGTAGTTCAGCATTACCTTCTGTTTTGATGTTGTATAGGATGATCTGGTATTCTTCTTTTTCTTCTGGAATATGATCATCTAGCAAGTGGACATATAATGTTGTATTCAATACCCCCTGTAAATGTTATTGATAAACTGATTAGTCATTAGTATACAGAGTACAATTAATACCATTCTAGCATATGTATTTTGAGCAATACCTTTAAGAAATGTCAAGTTAAAATACTGAAAACTACACACTGTCTGCAGTTTAATCATAATAAGACAAAGAAGACTGCTATAAAAGCATATTTGTTTTGTCAGTTCACTTCAAATTACAATATACTCTTGTAGCCATTAGATTTGCTTATGGACTCACCTCAGGGAAAAAGAGAATTCCAGAATAGTATTCAAAATTTTGTTGTACGTTATGTCCAACTATTTTCCACTCAACAGTAACATTTCCCAGACCTGGGGCAGTTCTTACAACATGGAATTGCAGTTGTTCTCCTAGGAACAAAGAACAAAATGCAGTATTTTGGGGTTTATTCTTCTACAATTCAACTGTTAAAATGAAAAAAATATTAATCACAGTTAAAGCATTTTTTAATGTAAAACCTTGATATTTTTAATAGTGAGCTTCCTAGTAATTATGTGATTTTTTTTTTTTAATATTGAAACAAAACCCCCACAAATCTAAACCCTTTCTTCATGAGTTTTTATGAATTTAGTTCATTCTTGGAAAGAACTATAAACATATAAAGGAACCTGGTACATATGCATAACTGCTATCAAAGCATGTACAAAACAAAGAGCAGTATCTGTTTGTGAACTACACAGAGAATAAATGCTCTACACACAGCTTTAACAGAGTCTTCTACAGCAGGTAACTGGCAAGGAGTAGGCAGGTTCCTAACATCTGCAGTATCTTATGACTTTATAGAGTGCATGTGGAAAAATGCTAGCAATTACCTGCAAGTTCCATTTACGTGAGTTTGAATTTACAAATGTTATCAGTTTATGGAGGTTAGAAAACATCCAGAAAAAAAAATCATAATTTTAAAAGGACAGTATTTAGAAGCAAAAAATTGATGTTTTATAAAATAAAAATAATTTTAATAATCTATTATAATTTCAGAGATAATAAGTATCAAATGAAAATATGCATCTATAAGAAGTAGTTATGGTATTTTTTCTACATTTATAATATTTAAACAAATGGTCACTTAAAGAGTAAACTCTAGAAAGTTTTGAAAAATTAAGAAAATTCATATAATTATAAAGTATGAAATAGCTATATACAAAATAAATATGTGATATAAAATTAAATATTTAAAGTATGGGCATGTAAAATTACATATTACATTAATATGATATAGATCAGCAGGTAGCTTTAGTAAAATTATGCAATACATCCACATTTGAGGAGAGATTTTATTTTAATACTCAAGTGTATTGCATCTGTATGCCAACAGCATTTCTCCAGTTCACAGAATGGAAGTTTGCCAGTATATAATTATGGAATTGTTTTTCAAGGACATGAAATACACAGAAATTTAGAATACTGAGGTGCTTGGAAGTAATCATGTTAACTTAGGTCCATCCTCAATTGACTGAAAATTACTTTTTCAATATTGCTATAAATTGACTTGAATTTTTTTTGCTGTTGCAAAACTGGAAATAATTCCATCTTTTAGTTTGTGTTATGTACATACTTAAAAGCCACCCCATTGAGAAAGGCTGAGATACATCTGTGAAAGGCAAAGAGCAGATGTGGTGTTAGATTATGTTCTTAGTCCATGACATACAGAATTGAGTAGCACAGCTACTCTGACTGACTGTAACTCAAGGAACACCAAATTGGGATGCTTATCTGGTTATTCTGGCATATTATATTGCAGAATAATATTGCATATCTAAAATTGGCAGGAAAACAAAATTGATCAGTTTCTGGACATGTTCTCTGTTTGGTAAGGAAATATTTGAGAGATGTCAATTTATTGGCTATGAATGAGATAGATATGAACAATAAACTTCAAAAGACCTTAATATAATAACTTGAAAAATAAAATTCTAAGGAAGTAATACAAAAATTGTATACATCAATTTTCAAGTACATACAATTAGTATCAGTCTCATCATTTCAAACTTCATTTAAACCTTGTTTTAAGTTGCCCCAGTAGTTCTAAGAGAACAAAGAATTCAAAATTGATTGACATCACAGGAATTTTGCTCCTACAGTCAGACATTTGAGGACAGATTGACAATTTACAGGTCCTTCTACGCCTAATTTCTTATATCATTTAATACTGCTCTGAAATCTGTTTATCCCATTTGAGAATTTTGCACACCCATGGCAAACAAATAAATATTTGACACAAAAAAATAATTAATATCATCACAGAACACACAATATAGACAAAGGTTATTTCAATGCAACATTATGTAATACAACAAATTTTCACTGAAGACTGTAAAACACTTCAAGATACAGAACCTTGATACACTGTAATCCAAGAACCAAGAAGAAGCTTGAAGTACAAATAATTTTAATTAAAGACCTCCAGTAGTCAGCTATGGACCCATGTGAAGCGCAGCCAGCTTTACCAAAATCTTTGTTATTCCTATTCAGTAAGAAATACTAACACAAATAAAAATCACTTTCTGAAGACTGAAAGTATTTCTAGTTTAATTTCACTATTTTGTCGTATTTTTTTTTTATATATTTTACCATTTTAAATCTTTGTTTAGATTTCTGCATTTATCAAGGAGAAGGAGACCTAATCCATTCTCCTCTTGTTCCTTATTTCAAGCTATTGCATTGTGTTTTCATCTAATTCAATCACAGGCAAACCAACTATTGCACGTTCCGCTTGTACTTAAATGCTGCCCTTGCCCTCAATATGGTGACTGTGTGAACGGAATATATTCATATATGTCACCAAGAGAGCAATGATCCATAGCTGAAGTGTGAAGAAAGCATTTATTCCCTTAAGTATCTCTCAAAACTGAGTAACCTACACTGCTAAACTTATTCCATATTAATAGGGCAAAAAGTGTGCCCTGAGCACTGTGTTACATATCAAAAGGCCTGGACCTTTTGATGCACAAATCCTTCACCAAGCTGTGTTTCACTAACCCTCTTAATTCCCTTCCCCCCTGACAAAGAGGTCCAAGTCTATGGGAAAGACTTTTAGTCTTTCACAGCACCCCGTTATCTTCAGTGAGAAAAATCCATTTATTTTCAGTTGACAGACAACAATGCAGAGAGAATATAAATACCTGAATTTTCTCACACTGAATATTTTCTAACCTCCCATCTGCATGGTTGTTCTTTAAGCAGATTTATAATGAACTTATTTTTCTCTTTCCTCACCAATCTTCAGTTTTTCAAATCTTTCCTCCCCACAGGGATAAATAATATGAACAGTTTGAAAAAAAATACTGAGTTGGTTAACAGAAACTCTTCGATAATATAATAAATAGAAAAGATAACATTATTTGGATTTATGTCTAATAATGTTTGTGTTTGTAAGAAAACTCTTGTTAATAAAAATGAAGTAAAAACACTGAAATTATATGAAAACCTTAGGACTTTTTTTTTTTTTAAATCAAAGTGAACTAGTTTGGCTGTTTTTTCTTGCTATAATGCAATGCACTATTTTTCACAAGCTGAAGAATTTGAATCAGTTACAGAACTATATGTATCAGATAAAAGCTCCAGATAAAAGCTTTCAGCTTCAGCATGCTATGACTAATATTTAACCACTGGGAAGTAGAGAAGTAGATAAGGTCTTCGTAACCTTGGGGAATGAGATGATTGGTATTAATTCCTTGGGCTCATTAACAGCTATTCTTAGACTGCCAGACTGCAGCTGGCTAGCCAGGCAAATCAGAACTGCTAATGTGGAGTAATGAAGGACAGAAACTGGGCACAATAGAATTAACACAAACTGTATCTAAACAAAACACAAAAGCTTATGGCGTCCTTTCATTATGGGGAAGAAAACAAACCATGCTCTTTTGAGAAAGACTTTTACTTCCAACAAAAAATTCAGTGCACACGTTCCTGGACAGCAAGTCTCTGTTAGTTTTCTCTAGCCATCAGTTTACACATCAGACAAATGTGAGATTACAATACACTGAGATTAGCAAAGGCTAACATGAGCAATCATCATCTGTATTTTTAGTGTCCTATGCAGAACTGTACCAAACCCTAGGTAAAACATGAAACATGCTCTCTTAAGACACTAGTAGACACTAGAGATCTAGCTATTATCGATCTCAAAAGTCATGACGGAGTGATAACATAAAGATTGTCACACTCCCAAAATGACCTGGCATAAAAAATATAAATAGAAACTTTAGAAAGATGGAAGATTTTTTTCCTATTTTTTTCCTGTGCGAATATTTTCTAGATAATTTAAAAATAATTTTAAGTCAGTGATAGATAATATTTGCTTAAGATTAGCAATTGGTCTGTATGATGGCAGTTATATACAGTTTTGGAATACGGTATAAATTAATGAGAAATGTTAAAAGGAGCACAGAAATGCAATGCCAGTGGAATCAAGGCATAACCTTCAATGGAAGAAAATGGAAGGGAAAGAACAAATGGTAAAATATGGGTTTGGAAATGGTGTATTCATCATTTCCATAGACTTCATTTAAGTGCTGTTTGCAGGAGTTAAAAATCCAAAGAAATGTGTGCTAAGTATGTGGTTATTCTGTTTGCTGGCATTTTCCGAATAGTGATAAGAATCACTGAATTGTTATCAACAGAAAGCACAAAGATGGAAGTTCATGTTAAACAGAGTGTGGTCAACACACAGAACCCACCTTCACGACCAATAACAGACCTTCCAGCTGTCTGGAAGCCAATGATTCCTGCCGCATTGTCACTTGCCAGGATAACCACTGTGACAGTGTCAAAACTGGGCAGAATCCTACTCCCTCCTTCAGTATTCACCAGGCTGATTATGATGCTTTCATTATCCTCTGGCTCCGGATCATCTAAAATGGTCAGTGTGACTATCTTTTTTGTTTCACCTAAAGGTAGAAGAACATGTACATATGTATGTGTTCATATGAAAATCACCTTTTAAAAAGATACAATCATCTATTCTAGTAGTAAATACTTAACTAATATAAAAAAGGACATGAAGAATCTTTACCTATTTACCTGTCTAGAAGTTATGACTATTGTTATGAAAATTTATTCAATTACTAATGAAAGTTTATATTAGGCAATACAATTAACAAATTATTAAATATGCTCTGTAGAAATTAACAATATTGGGATTTGGAATGCCTAGAATTCCTATTTGCTTTATAGGTTCTCCAGCTTTCAAATTTTAATTAGAAAAGAGGAATATAATTCTTGTAAAAAGAATTACCAAGTGAATAAATTTTCTGATGAGCTACATACAGACATACATACACAAAACTTGACTATATATTTACTGGACCAGAAAATGCATTAAAGTGGGCTGTCATTACATTAGTTACCTGTCTTCTGGAATATCAACAAATGACAGTGTAAGCAGAAAACACAATCAATTACCAGTCTCTATAATATATTACAATTTGCAACACAATCCATTGTATGTGCATAAGCTTTACTAATAATTTTATCAGTTTACCACATACATATTTTTTTTGCTATATTGCCTTTCAAAGTATTTTGAAAACAGATTTCGTAAACTTATAAACACTAATATAATTACATGTCAGTTTCCAAATCACTCCTGGCAACCCTTCATTTGAGTTCAGATGGTGTACCAAGCTAAGTGAACACTGGAATCATTACTACACTCCCATAAATTGTTTTCAAAACAACTGTTCCATCATCTCAGACTTTGAAAATATAAAACACATCCATCCTTTTGCACAGTGCTTAAATAATGCCTGCCATAGACTTTACTTCTTGGCATTTTTTAAATTATCCTGTTATGTTACAAAATCAATACAATCTCAGAATCTAAAAAGATATAGCATTAAAAATTAGTACTGAATTGACTGGCGATTAATAAAAGACCACTTAGGCCTGATTCTCATTTTCATTATCTTTGATGCAACAAGTATTTCAGCAATATTATTCCTAATTTATTTAGTAAGAATGTTATCTTTATAATGCATACTGTAATATTTCTTTAAAAATACTTAAATATTTATAATTTTCATCCCATTTTTAATTCTTTTTTTTTTAGTCTTTGTGGTCTTCGTGTGTGTGTTTGTTTTGTGTTTTCTTTAGTTTTAGACAAGAAAAGTTAGTGCTAAACCTTGCCTCACCTTCAGCAAACACCAGAATCTCACCAACACCCACAAAATCCAAGTTTGGGGTAGCAGTTCCACCAACAACACGCCATTCCACTGCCACCTGTCCCAGGCTGCCTTCTGTCCTGTGTATCATTAGCTGCACGTTGGCCTGAGGGCACTCTTCTACTTCAATATACAGACCTTTCTCTGTTGCATTGGGACTTACACTGTAGATCTTAAATACTCCAAAGGCATTCCCATTCATCATTATGATTACTGTGGAAGTATTTGGCTGTCCAATAGTTGGTTGATTTTTTAAGCTAGTTGAGATGTTCAATAGTACAACTTTTAACAGGGATATAGTGAATTTTTCATCCAGCTCCGGCAGGCTGTCAGGGAGTATGGTAACTGTGAGATTTGCCAACTCTTCCCCTTCCTGCATGATGGCCCACTGTCTTGTGATAGATTCATAATCACTACCAGCAATGGCTTGTGTGCTGAACAGAATGGATGTACTGCTGATGTTTTTCTTGTAGGTCCATAATCCTGACATGTTAGTTAATGGCCTGATCTCTGTTGTCAGCCAGAGGCAGAGAGGAACCTGAGGGGCACTGGAAAATGTAAAGGCTGAACATGCTTGTTCTTTTAGGCACTGAGTTGCACACGCATAAAGTGGGTCACTTGCTGCTGACACATTCACTCTGGTCTTGGACGGCTGGTCAGGAATTCCTTGTACAGGAGACTCATAATAGGCAAGTATATCCTCACCTTGCTCAATGGCAAGAGCTACAATGTCAGTCTCAGAAGTGCTGTAAAATATCTGCAGCTGACCAAACCTTCCCCCACTAAAAGAAATTAAAATAAAAATGTTTTGTTAGCTGGTAAAGCACGTCTAACATTCTGAATGTTACTGGGTTAAGAACAAAAATGAACAAAATTAACTAATGCCTTCTGAATTGCTGAAAACTTACAAATAGCTAATTACAGTGACTTCTCTTAAAGCTACTACCAGAATAGCTGAGTAGCTGGGTTTTTTGGAGAACAAGTTTGATAGTTTACAGCTTGGGTAGAAGTCTGTTAAACATGCATGTTTGCAAAAATTTGCTTCTAGAAGTTAAATCAGTCTTTCTAGGACTGTCAGGGAATAAAAATTCTTTGCTGTCTAGCACTGTTATCATTCCTCTGAGATGTCATCAGGATACTATATATCACATGTGAAACCAGTTCTGCTTTTCATTTTGTCTTCCATCACACAACATTTGATACATTTTGTCCTCCAGTTCACATCACAGGAACAGGCTGGTTTTCAGCTTTAAAAGTCTTGACAATTTAACAGGCAAAATAAAACTTCAAGTACCCTGTGTACACTGGGTTTACAATACAAACATTTATTTCATAGGTACTTTCTGTACATTTCTAACAAGCAGACATCTAGTTCAAAATCAATGTATTTGGAAAAAAAGGACAGCTGGCAGAACAAGAAATTGATGCAAATACCTATATAAGGGCATGACATTTAAAATTGTTGCCAAAAAAATACCCAACAAGAAACAAATAAAACCAAAACAACAACAAAAAAACCCCCAAATTCAAAATCAGCCAATGTTATACAGACCTTCTCCTGACTGATATATTTGCAAGTAAATTTCTTTCTAGTGGCTCCTGAATTCGATATGAGGATTGATGAAAGAAAACTGTGCCATAAGGATTATCATTGGCAGGTATGACAATAGTTGCCGTGCCATCTAACCCAATAGCACCACCGTTGGAGGCCTGAGTTAATTCTACATGGACAATCTCAAAAAGAAAAAAAAAGAAAAACAAATAATGCAGCTAAATAATTTTTGCCATTTCTAAAACATAATCACAAGCACAATAAAATCTGAACTTGTTGCAGCTTCCTGCCATAACATTTCTTGTTTGGATCTGCACGCATTTCTTATACAAGTTAAAACTCTAATACTGTTCAAGAGAGACATAACTTCTCTACTTACTTCTTCTACTTCTGGAACATCATCAGCAAGGATTTCCAACAGCAACATCTGAATGGCTTCCCCAGAGGCAAAAGTAATATTACCCATGGCAGCTTGCAAGTCATCATCAGCAGGATGTCCATTAATGGTAGCAGCCCACTGAACAGTAACATTACCCAGTGTCCCAGCATTGCGGATTATTGGCAGATTTATGGTTACTGATCCAAATTCAGGCTCCTCCACAGTGAATTCGGTATTCTGAAAAACTGACATACACCACAGGGAGAAATAGTGCATTAACAAGCAAATGGAAAATAAATATATCAGTTCCTGAAGTACAGAGTTTTATTTTACTTGCTTGCATTTACTTGCACAGGTAAACCCCTTTTAATCATGTTTAAACCTAAATACAAACTTTCAATACTCATATTTCCATCTACAGAGAAAATTAGCATGAAAATTAAGCCCTCATCCAAAAAGTCTATTCCAATACACCCATTGATTAAGGCTAAACATGAACTGTTTCTAAAGTCATAGAATATAATTTCATAATTATTTCCAGCAAAGAAACACTTTACCAGATTTCATGTCACTTATTGAAGAAATAAATCAAAACCATTTAACATGGAATATATTAAGTAGAAATCACAGAATCACAGAATGGGTCAGGTTAGAAGGGATCACTGTAGATCACCCAATTCAAGCTCCCTGTTCAAGTATGGTCATCCCAGAGCACAAGGCACAGGAGTGTGCCCAGACAGTTCTTGAATGTTTTCCCTGAAGGAGATTACAATCTCTCTGGGCAATCTGTTCCAGTGCACCATCACCTGCACAGTAAAGAAGGTCTTCCTCATGTTCAGGTTAACCTCCTGGGCATCACTTTCTACCTGTTGCCTCTTGTTCTACTGCTTTGTGCCACCAATCAGAGTCTCTAAGAGGCTCAATCCTTTTGTTATATTGAAACATTACTCCTTTATTACATGTTTTAATTCAGTTCATATTATCTTTTCCTTTACTCTCGACATCAACCTTTCCGCTTCTGAATGTCTTTTTCAGTTGCCAAGTAGCAACACCCACACAAACCCCCAGAAAAAATGTTAGCAGAAGAAAAACAATATATTCTCCTTTACCAAAGGATCCAAATGGGTCATCAGAAGCCTCAATAGTTATGACTGCCCTCGTCAAAGATCCAAGCAATGCTCCTCCTGTTGTTTGGTTCAGCAGCTGAACATAAAATGACTCCTCAAGTTCAGGATTGATATCATTAATTATATAAATTGGCACAGCTTTACTTGTCTCACCTTCTAGTAAGACAACATCTGATGAAGCTACACTGTAGTCCTCACCTAGATTTTAAAAAGATGTAGATGAAAAAACCCAAAACAACAAAACCCAGATAATATCAATGCTTTATGGTTCAGTGTGGTGAACATTTTCAGTAATACTCATCTTCTCTTTGCTTATACATGCATTTCTCTGTGTTTTTATGGGGTCTTTTCCTTTATTTTTAAACCCCAAAAGTTGGGGGTTTTTTTGGGAGGGTGTGGTGTTTGTTTGTTTGGGTTTTTTTGGGGGGGGTGGTTTATGTCCTATTGCCTTTTATATGTCTGGATGGATCAAAATAAAACCTGGTTTGACCAAAAGAGAGTTTGCACTGTTAGACCACGAGGTAGTTACAAAAGGTCCATTACTGCCTGCTGTTTACAAGGTCACATTACCAAGATGTTTCTACCCTTGATTTATAAATGCTTTCCAGCTTTCCAAGAGATAAAAGTGCAAACAGAAGCACCTTATCAAAGTAGATTTCAGTAAAGGGCATGTTTTATGTGTCGACTTTACGTTAGGCAAACTTGTCTCGGCTGTTTAGAGGAACATCTAGATACGGCAGATACAGTAGATCAGAGCTCTTCTTCAGAAACTAATTGAAAGCACAATCTGATATAAATCTAGGTACACATTTAATTTATAACACTATGCTACATAAAAATTAAATTTAAAGTTCTCAGAGTATGCACCACCCACCTATTCAATCTGGACATAGATGAAATACAGTGCACTCAATTTATAATTGCGTAAAGTGATCCTGCAGACTTCATAATTTTTCTCCTTTCTTTATGTACCTTCTCTATAGCGGGGACTGACTGGAGAAGTTTACATTCCATTTTCAGAAGTACAAGTGTCCTTGGGTTTTGATAGATTTTTCCCTATTTGTTGTATTGCTGAGTCCCCAGCTCTCACTTCCTCTCCAATAAGCTCAACTAAGCAATATATGATGGGTTAAAATATGTACATGGGACTAAATTGTTTTTACATATACTACTATAGTATTTTGGGGCTGAGGGGAGAAGGGACGTTTAAGTGGTGGTGTGCTACTAAGTAAACAAACATCCCAATTCCTTCTCTCATTTCACTTTTAGATTCTCCAGTGATAATGCGTAAACTTTCCCATATATCCTAGATTCATATTTGCTAAGCACAGTCAACACCTTACTAGTTTATATTCCATACTTGTTACATAATAGAGCATTCACTACCCACTTGTTTGTTTTAACACAGACTGCATAATTCTGCGATTCTGCTTTCTTACCAGCTGTTGCAGTTATTGGCATAGCTTTAAATTTCACAGAAACATCTGAAAATATTCCCCCAGTTCTGGTCACATTAATGATTGGTCCAACATAGTTTTCAGCAACTCGCACAGCTGAAGCTGAAAGCTGAAGTGTTCCAAAAGCATCATCATTGGCATTGATAATCACATGAGCTATTGTCTCACCCACAAAGCCAAGTCGAGGAGAATTTATAACTGAAATATAAAGAAAACTTAGTGAGGGGTACCTGAAATGCTTATTATACATGGCTATAGATTTCATAGGCATGCATGTGAGTTTAACTGTCTCTAGTTTTCATGAAAATCATCTTTTTTACATTTGCACAAAGCATAACTACAAACCACATCAAAATACATGTGTTTAAATTACGTTCTGGCAGAATAATCTGCCAGATTATTCTACTGTGCTATGGAGCATACATGCCATAATTTTATTGAAAAGATGAGGTACTCTAAATTCATTTATTTATTTATCCATAAGACTAATAAGATCAATACAGTTCAGAATAATTTCTGTTTCACTCTTGATATGATGAAATATAAGTAAGATTTCAACTCCAAGTGGAATTATATTTGAAGTTACCCCTTCTGTTAGCAAGGGCAGCAATTAAACATGCCAAGAATCTCTGAAGCACAAATTAGGCTGTAATGACCTGAATTCATGTGAATGAGAAATTAAGTAAAAATTGTCAACACTAAGAAAACAGCACATCACTAATTCTACATAATTTGTTTTTTAATAAGAATTTTTTGTATTTGACTAAGAAAAACTAGCTTAGTTATTTCCTACTACTGACATTCCAGAAACAATGCTAAATGAGCAGGTATTAGTGCACAAACAAATAATATTTGGCCTGAAGGACCTTGGATAGGCAATGCAAAAGGGACAAAGAAATACGCATGCTTTTCCAATAAAATAGTGTGCCAAAGAAAATAAATGCCAACAGGCATAAGTCAGGTAACTAACAGGTATCTTAACTATACAGCATTTGGCAGAGGTAAAGAGTTCATTTATCTTGCTGCATTTTCTCCTGTTACATAGAAATACTAACCTTTACAGTTAAATTGTAGGTTTTATGTAAGACACTTACTTGGACGATCCTGAACTTTCTTGATCAAAACAACACTGCTTAGCTCCACAAAAACAGATTCTGACCTCTCAGGATGATCATCATCCAAAATAGGCAAGGATATTGTGGCCTCACTTTCATTGGTTGCGAAGATCACATAACCTATAATGGGTATATAGTCTTTTCCCTCTATTGCTCTGACAGCATCAGGCGGAAGAAAGGGCGACTTTTCTTCATCACCAATACTTCTGTATTTCACCATTACTGTACCAAGGAGACCACCACATCTCATAACTGTCAGAGAGACATTTTTTGTTTCTTCCTCAACTTTTATTGGTCTGTTTCGCTCAGAAAAGATGAAGACTCCATATGGATCATCATTTGCTAAAATAGTTAGTGTTGCATTAGTATGATATCCAAGACGACCAAGGGAGACATTGATGATCAAAACTGAAAACATCTCATCCAATTCGGGAGCATCATCAGGAGAAATCTGTAATGTAATATTTGCTCTCACTTGGCCAACATCAAATGTTACATTCCCATTTGTAGAGATTAGGTCATTGGCAAAATCACAGATTATGATCCAATGCAATGTCACCTGAGATAAAGCCCCGTGACTTCTAACAACCTAAGAAAAACATATAAAGACGTGCATATTTTTGTTCTATGAGAAAGAAAAATATAGAAGTGTGAAATGAAATTAAGTAAAGACAATAAAGATATGTCTGCATTTTAAAACCATGTAATTTTTATTATCTTAGCTCTGTAGAACTTGTATTATCCACATTTATTTTAAGATAGTAGTCCCTTGATTCTAAATAAGTAGAAGATTTTAAGGTTTTGGATATCATTATTATTATTTTAGTTTCAAGCTGAATAATGTATTAGCAAACACTACATGACTAGAAAAACAAATGTTCATGACAAAGTTGTAATAAACCTTATAGACTAATGACAAAAACATCAGAGAACACCAGTAAAAACAGATAGAAGAGTACAATGCAGCAATATGAAACTCAAAGCTTTCTAACCTGCAGCATAACATTGCTCTCTCCACCTTCAGGCTCAGTTCCATTCACTGAAAGGGACTCAACACTGAATTCAAATACACCATGAGCATCATCAGAAGCCTCAATTGTCACAAGGATGTGGGATGCAATTCCCAAGCTAGCTGTTAAATGCAAGTTCCAAAAAAGATTATTTTTATATCTCAGGTTTTCTTACATGAAAGAAAGCAGCTAAAGAAAAATGTTACAAAAATACAAAAGAGAGTATGGAGTATCTGCGCTGTTTGTCTTTGGTTTTTTCTCTTTTTAAATGCATGGTAACTCCCTGTATGGAAAAGGAGCTGACTTTCAGTAAGGCAGTCCTCTCAGCTCTTCTATGGAACTGTGCAACAAAAAAAAAAAGTATTATTTTAAGGGAGGAACCAAAATAAAATTACAGGTTTAATGAATGAAAATGGAGAAGCCTTTAGGACGGTGAAGTAAACCATAGTATAAGAGGAAAGACAAGATGAATCCAGGTCTCATCCTAACATAAACTGGAATAAGAGACAAAAAAATAACCGAAAAAACCCCATCAACTCCAGTAAATCCTACTTCTGAATGTATTATCTTGGGTGACAAAAATTGCTGCTCAGACAGAAAAAGTGCCTGGCACTTAAGGAAACCATTTCTGGAAACAAGTAAAAGGGAAACAGAATGTCAAAGAAAACAACAACAACAACAACAACAACAATTGAAAAAAGAAATAATATTACTGCATTGGTACTCTATGCATGCTCATATAACATTTTTAAGTCTGCAGGTCTTAATTTGAAGTCCTATATGCATAAGGTTTTCCCATATATCCTGTGTTATTTCTTTCTTCTTTTTAATATTAAATTATCATTGCTTTCTGCATATCATGACATAAATAGAAAAGTGAAGAAATTAAAGACGAAAAATTTTAAAAATCAAATTACTTAATTAAAAAATCTAATATAACTTATTTTTCTTTAAGAGTATTTCTGCCACGAAGGGATCAAAATTATACATAGAATGTATCAAAACATACAATCTGGTAGTTTAAAAACTGCCTTCAATTTAAAAAGTACCTTTGCTTTTTTCTCCTAGGAAAATTTGGCAGTGTTCAGACAAAGATAATTTTGTAAACTTTAATTCTGCAATTACTATATTGTCTTTTACAATACAGTTTTGATTATATAAGAACCTGTTGTTCTCTGTTATACATTAAACACTGACTGCTAGTGAAATTGTACCTAAATTAAAGTGGAAAATTTTTTTTTGTAGAACTTTGTCTTCAATCTAAATTAATAATCTCTAACTGCATGTAAATAAAGTTGTACCAAGCATAGTAATTTAAAACAGCTATTACAATTATAAATAAAATATAGGATTAATAAAAAAACTTACCATGTTGAGGGACAGTTGAAAGGAAGAAATCCATGTTTCCATCACCACTACCACTTCCATCATTTCTAAAGAGCTCAGCAACTTTAAGATGACATATATACAGATACATACACATATATACATTTATAAATAAAGGAAAAGCAGAAAGTAATTTAAACATTTCTGAACAACACAAAAAGACAGAGACAAATTCCAGGAAAGTGTCAGCTTTCGAAATGAAAGTATACAGAATTACTGCTAAAAGCCAGAAAAAATACTGAATATGCTACGTGTTGTTTAATTTATTGCATTAGAAACAGCAAAAGGAAGTCAGACAGAAAGAAAATACATACAACTTCCTTTAATCTTTTTATTTTTCCCCCTTTCCTTCTGTCTTCCCTCTTTCTCAATCCTAATGGAGAAACTAGAAATAGGGCAGAGGGGAGAGGGAAGCACTGGCTAGACCCTGTCAAACTCATACTCTAATATTGTCTCACAAATCAAAAACTGGTGTCAGAAAGTTGAAAAAAATTGGCAGCTTAAGTGATGGAGCCTTTATCCTAAGTTTTGTGCTTGCATTGGTGTTGGAAAGCTCAAAAAGATTATGTTCAGGAGCTATCTGTCTCTTGTAAATTACCAAAGTTAGTTGTAAGTTTTCTAACCAAAAAAAGTCAAAGAGAAAAGTTCATTTAACTGAAACAACTACTTGACCAAAAATTCCGCAGGTAAGAAAGCTCTGAAACTTTTATCAAAAAATCCTAGCATAGGACCATAATGCCACATTGAACCACAGATATTCATGTTAATATGATTTTACTTTCCAGAAGGCATCACACTTGCAATTCTCAATTGCTTAGAAAAATAATGTCAGTTAAAAAGGCACTCTATGGCTCTCAATATTTTGAATTACTTCTTTTCCTCCAGCCAGGAGGAATCTCCCTTAAAAACATTTTGCAATGGAAATAAATTCTGTAAAGTAAAAATGATTTTTCATAGCAGGAGCACTGATGCTTGCCAACATTTGTAAAACTAATGTCTCACAGAAGGATTTACACTAGCTTCCAGCTAGTTCTCCAACTCAGGTAAACTCCCCAGGCATCTCTAAACCCACAATTTTCTAATGATATAATCCATTTGAATTATTTATGAGCCAGTTTTTTGCAATTTCTCCAATTTTACTCAAGTGGTAGATAAAAAACACAAACCTTAAATACTGACAACTTAATTTTTTTTTTAACATTACTTTAATTCTCTCTACTAACTGTGGAATTATGTAATTTAAAAAGCTGCAACTGCCTTTGAATGCATAGTAGTAATATACTTTCTGAGATCTGGCTGTTTACTGCAGTGATTAAAAAAACATCTGAATGACAGTTCTTTCCTAAAAAGAATTGCTGCTGTCTGGGGGGTGTGTCTTTAGAAATAACATGGAAATAGTTTACAATGTTAGATTTTAAGGGATGAATAAAGATCACGAAAATACAACCAGTGGATTGATGTATGTGCCTTACCTCCTCCTTCTGGGTACAACAGCTCCACTTTAAAAGTTTTTTCTAGTTCAGGAATAGAATTGTCAGTGATGTTAACAGCAATGTACTTGTATCTTTCTCCAGGATGAAATTCCATTGAGCCCCAAACAGCCTGAAATATGACAGGTCTTCACAGTTTTGTTCAAGTTTAGTGTTTTCATCCAAATGAAAAAAGAAATACAGCCTCAATTCTTTTTGTCTTTATCAAAACATTTACTTTTCTTCATTTTAACTTTAAAAAGTCTGCTGAGTCTTTGCTATTGATATTTTAAGAAATAGCAATCTAAATTCACTGAATTATGAGCATCTTCATTTATTTAAATTTTTCTGCACAAACAGCAATCAGACAAGCAAACAGATGCTTATAAACTATGTTGTTGAATATGTACAAATCCGAGTACATACAAATACAATCTTCACCTGCATATGCACCTGTATGGTCATATAGAGTCTGATATACTTAGAAACAATAGGAAACATTCATTCTTGGTGCATTCAGAGTTTTCTTAAGGATATCAAAATCAAACCCAGAGGCTTTTCCTAAGGAAACACAACACGCTTCACAGGAAGGAAGCAAAAGGCATATAGTGATTTATATTTTTATAGTGAGTACTATGCATCTATCACAACACCATAATAAACTGTTTCCGTGAAAAGAATCACAGCTGAGCTAAAATATTCAAACTGATGACTACTTCCAGGAGAAATATTTCTAATTAAATTCTAAAATAATTACACACATTGGCAATAGCCATACCTGATAATCTTTAGGACTGAAAGCTGTAAGTGGCACTGTCCTATAATCCATAAGAACTGTTCCAAGCAGCCCTTGTGCACGAACTACCAATAACTGGATGTGTCCAACTTCTTCTTTAACAGTGATATGGGGCACAGCAGAGGCTGGCAGAATCATTTCATCTCTGGGTGGAGGTGGTGGCCCCAATGAGAACTGCAGTAGACCTGAAAGACAAAAATTATTATTTACATGACTTTGCATACCAAATCCAAATTATAATAATTAAAAAATGTACACAAAAATATTTATAATATCTATATTTAAAGTTCATGGAAATTTAAAAATATTATTATGCCTTTAGGACTCAATCATGCTATTTCCATGTAACATTCTCTCTCTCACTGATATTCATGTTAGTCTTAAAAAAACCATATCACAAGAATGAATTCAACTATTCCCAAAAGAACCCAAATGTCATAATACTGAGTACTTCTTGGTATAATAACATGAATGTTTAAATGTCTCTCTCTGTTACAAATCCTCATTTCACAAAAACTAGCATAAAATCAACAACATGCAATTTGGTTTTCTTGCAAAAGGGGATGACTACATGTTTGGTCCAGGCAGCTTTAATGCCTTTTTTGCAGTATTCTCAAGAGTAAGTAATTTGACTTTCATTCTTGAATAAAAATTATGAATTAATCTCAAGTTAGATAAAGTGTAATACTTGACATTGTTTCCTCATCGATCTAGGCTAGGCAAATTTTTACCTCTTGAGCTAGAAGCATACATAAATATGCAATAAGATTGTATTATCTTCAACACTGTTACCATATGGGTGGTCACTGGCTTTAATGCTGATGTCAGTAGTTTCCTTTTCTGGATCTATACTTGCTCCACTGGTAGGAGTTGAACCTAGTTTTCCATCTCCAGATACTGCAGAGACTAATGTCACACGAAAATATTCATTTAGCTCCGGAATGTCATCATCAATAACATGCAATTTTAAGACCTAGAGAAGGACCAAATCATGGAGAAATCAAACTATGCAACATACATCCCTTAAGAGTTGTATGACCCTTTAAACAGTTAAGTTTAAACTGCTGTGAGTTCAGAAAGTAATGTAGAGAACTCTTTTGCCCTCCATGTTATTTAACCTCATGATAATAAGTTTAGAATACCAATTACAAAAACATCTTTATCAAGCTGTTAGAGACATTACAGCAATTAATCTAATTTAGACAGCAAGTGAAGTGAGCTTTTAATGCCACCTGACACTTGAGGTTACAGATCATACTATCTTGTGTAATCTGCTCTGCATAAGCTAATATATTAAACTTAAGGCAATTCCAGCTTTCTGTATATTGTGATAAGATTTGACAAACACGTAGGAGAAAAATTTTAGGTAGCTGATCATATTTAGAGCCATGCAAATGAGTAGTTTAAAAATGTCAGTGGAAGTTCTCTTTAAGATTTTTCACCTGATGAGCAACTGCTCTCAGTCTTTTTCTTAGGGCCATGACCATTATGTCCTCTGTATGTAGACTGTATCTACATAGCAGCGGAGCAAGAGGGTTCATCAGGTCTTTTCTGCAATTTTATAAAATAAACCAGGCCTCATCCACGCTGCCAGACTGGAAAAGCTTGGCAAATTTAACTTTAAATGACTGTATGTAACGCAGTAATACATTTCAGTAGAGAATTAAAGCTGCCTGAATAAACTGCCAGGAGCATACTATTATCCAAAATTACAAGTTTTTGCCAAGTTGTAGTCAGTCACACTGTTTAACTGGGACTAGATCCACAGTTCTAAGTGAGTCACTGGGATCTTTTCAAATTATGTCAGTAGGTTTCATTCAGTCCCTACTGATTTCAGCAGAATGACAGAAGTGAAATTAAAGACAGTATTTTCTGCTATCAATCCACCTTTTCTATTTAACAAACACTAATAGAAAACACAATGAACTTCCTACAGTATAAATAAATAAAAGTCTTCAAATAAATGTGAAATTTCCATGCTGTGGGTTAGAGTCAAATTCACAGAAACAGATTAATCAAAAGAGACAGAATGTGGCTAACAGTTGCAAAGACATTTGATTACAGCAGTGAAGTTGACTATTTAATGGCTGCCTATTTAATTGTTGTGGAGATAAAACTGATGTCCACAACTCAGATCAAAACCTGATCATATTCCAATTTCAAAAGTCACAGTATCCCCTATTCAAGCCCAGGACTACCTGTACTTGAAGTACACATATAGATATACATATAACTAATATATATATACACATATATGTAAATATATCTTATGTGCATTAAACGTGAAATTATGTGGATATAAGCATTCACTCACACAGTAATGCCTGAAGTGAGATGTACATAGATAAATAGGTGTCTATTCTATCACTCATTAGATGTCAAAGATGAAAAAAACCCTGTAAAATGTAATAAAAGCCATGTGAAGGAAAGACCCTTTAGTATGAAAACCAGTCAAGCATCCTCAGAAGGTGTTTTCCAGCAGGTTTGCAAAGGACAGGATGAATACTTAATAGGAAGATAGAGTTTACCTCTGATCTCTGCCAAGGAAGGAAGGTGATAGTGCCACTGCTGTTAGAAAAATCGCTAACAGAGTAATTAATGCCCCTGGAATCAACCTGTGAGATAATGTATTTTATATATACATAGTCTAGGGCTCCCCTTGTACGCTCCACAACACAGGATATAGTGGAACCCTCATCAGCAGTCTGGAAGAAAGCAAGAAATTGACATATTTGTTATGACCAAAGTAAATCAAAGGAATAAACGTAAAACGTTGTATTCTCTAATGCTATTCAAATGTTCAGCAATTTTTTATTGCTGTCATATCACTTTTGGAGTGATAGGAAGCTGAAACTGATGTTGATGGTGGTCAGAACAATCTTAATGGAAATTGCAATAGTTTCTAGCATCTCCCTGAGCACACTCAGTAACTATACCCTGTTGTTTCTTTTGGACACAAAAAGAGAATCAATACGTTTGAAATGTGTCTATCAAAACTGAAAGACTACATTGTTTTATATTAATGCCAATTATTTTAATTTTAATTTAAAGAAAGATCTGGATTCCTCCTTTCCCTGACTAAAAACAACATGGAAAACAAAATAGATATACTTAAATTAAACTATCCTATTATCATTCAAGAAAAACTGAAAATCTTCTTGTGCTACAGTACACTTTGCAATTCCGTCTTCACAAAGAACATGCCTTCAGCAGCAACAATTTTCACACATTTGGAACAAATCAGGTATTGATATTGGCCAAGTATATTAAAAAAGTCTGGTCATCAAAATAAAAAATAACTTTATTTGAAAGTTACCAGAATGACTAAAGCTATCTTAAGCATTAGATAAATTAGATAATTAGATAAATTAGATAAATAGAGCTGCTTGCTAGCACAGTGCAGATTCTGAATGCACCTTCAGCTGCTTAACAGACAGATATGGACATAAGGAAATTAAACTACTGATAAAACAATACTATAAGATAAAGGCAAAGCAATTAACATGCCACATAAATTTTTAATTTTGCTTCATGGTTGGTTGCTGATCTATGCCATCACAGAATTATCAGTGGCATTTGAAACTGAAGGAATCTATTATCATAGCAGATGGTAGGCATCTGGAAAGCAAGCTGAAAACTAGTATCAGTCACGCAAGACGATTACCTTCAAACACATCATAAGGACTTCAGTTAGAAAGGATGTACTTAAGAGGTCATAAGAGTTGCGAAATTAAAGGCATTAAGAGGGTTTTTTTCCAAAATAATCTAATAATAATAAAAATGGGTATCATGTTTAATTATTTCATAATTATTTAAAAACTAACAATTAATTATGTTTATTTCAATCCCCTCAAAAAAAGATTCAAGTTTATATACTGCATAAAGGGTGGCCAACACCACAGAAAATTTAATGTTTAAAAACAGCAACTTCCAGCCAGTATCAAGTAAATTCATATCAAGTATGATGATGATAATGATGATGATTTAACTATAAGGGAAGGAGAGATTGGAACAGAACCCAGGAGAAACAAGTGCTGCACAGCACAATCGCTCACCACTTGCTGACCAACACCCAGCCCATTTCCAAACAATGATCAACTGCCTTCCAGATAACTCCCCTAGTTTATACACTGGACGTGGCATTCTATAGTATGGAATGTTCTTTTGGCAATTCAGGACAGCTGTCCCAGCTTTTTGTGCAGCTCCTCACTATTGTAGCATGAGATACAGAAAAGTTTTTGACTCAGGTGAAGCCCTACTTAGCAACAGCCAAACTATCCTTGTGATATCAACATCTCATCCTGAATGCAAAACACAGAACTGTACCAGATACTAAGAAGAACATTCACTTTCTCCAAGACTACATCAGGTTACAGTCTCAGAAGTACAGAAAAAAAACTGTTCTAGGAAATTTTAAGACTTAGTCTTTAGTTTATGCAATAAAATAAATTTTCTTAATAAAAATAATTTGAGGGAATTTGAAAAAGTGATATTGGAAATGCTGATGTGACTGAGGCTGTATAAACATTACTTAGACAATTCCAAATTCCAGAAAACTTTGCTTAACTACAAAAACTAAAAATATGGAATCAAGGCCCTTCGAAGGTTAGTTAGCCTTGTCATTAGTTTGATTGTGTCTAAAATTTCATCTGTAGTTTTTCTTTTGAGTATCTTACCTCAGGAATACATGCTCCAGTGAAGCCAAATAAACCATTAGCATTATCACTTTTCTGTATTCTTAATCTTGCTGTTGTGTTTTCTTCTGAAATTCGAGCTCCACCACACACAGAAATGAGCTTTAGGATGAATAACTCCTCCCCTTCTTCCTCTTTGTCATCCTTTGCAGACACAATGAATGATTTATTGGTTTCTCCTTGCAGATACTCCAAATACCCAGAGACAGGGTGTAGATCACTCTTTGCAGGAGTTATATGGAGCTCATAGATCTCTGCTTGTGTCAGTTTTCTCTCATAAAGCCTTACATCCTGCATTAAACCTGTGTACCTGCTCTTGCCATTGATTCCTGCTCCAATTCTCACTATTCCTGGACCTGAGAAGAAAATTAGAATTTTCTCATTTTACTGGTTTTTGGTTTTGTTTTTTTTTTTCAAAATAGCTAATATATGTAATTATTTAAAATTCTACGGTAAATTGTTTATGGTACCTGGGTTAGTAATCATATTGATCCTGAAATGTAGACTGGGAGGCTCCTGAAGCCTCATCTCAGTGTTACAGATAGACCATTACAGGTCAAATAATTCCTTTCTAGACCATTCATGCTTTTCATCCTACTAATTCTATCTGCACATTGTTATCATCACTTATCTTAATGAATCTTGTATACTTTTTCTCTTTCCATTACAAACTTTCAGAGCCCAGCTGCAGTCCATCTCACTACTGCTGTTCCAAACACTTGCTTTACCTATTTTGTATCTTTGTATATTTAATGCGTCCTCTGCTAGGACAGAGAATCCATTCTAATGATCAGAGTATTAGCCACATTGGATATGCTTATACCCTAATGCACTGGAAGGAGAGATTAAGAAATATAGACCAAATTCCAAGCACTTTTTACAACTGCTTAAACATTTCTTTCTCTCAAAAAAATTATCATACTCAGCAAGTCAGAGGATGACAGCTCTCCTTTTCACAAACACACGAAACTGGTAATTCATTCCTATCACTCTAAAACACATAGAACATATCTCTTCATTTGTTTTCTAATTTTGGAAGGAAATGTGCCACTGAGTGTCACTTCTAAAAACAAGCAGCCACAACAACTATTAAATGGTCCCAAGACACAAGGCAGAGGAAGGGTATACTCACTTTAGGATCTAGCATTAAATGGTGAGAGATTAAATCCTTAGCTTATACTTGTAGTATCTACAGACAGAGCATGCATCATTTCCACTAATACAGAAAATTTGCAATGACTCAGACATATCCTTCTAGCAACAAAAGCCTTACTGCATTTCATGCATCTTTGTTTTAGAAACTGAGAGCAGAAAAACTCCTTTCTAAGCTACAGTACTTCACATATGATGGCAGTTATTAATGGCAGGGGCACTACTTTGTTGCACAGGAACTACTTTTTTACAGAGGCTAAATTTCTTAGACTTCAACTACCAGGAAATTAAAGGTAGAAATAAAATCCTACACACGAGAATTAATGATATCTCTTCTTCATGCTCAATTTATGTTTGTGCACATATATGCATGTAGATGTATATCCATTTAACATCACTGCATGTTTTTTTAATTTTCCTTCTTTGATTACAGAGGAGATTGTATTCAAGAATTTGATAATCATTCACTGCCTATCCCCATGAAAAAAAACCTGTGAAAGTGATGGGGAGAGAAAGAAAGGAAAAAAATATAGATTACTGCTATTAAAAAAAAAAGCATGGAAGAGTGAGAAACTGCAATGCTGACTAATATGCTAGTTGAGTGTAAAAGTCCATAATGGTTATGTATGACTAAGTCACATGTGGGAATATCAAGCTAGAGGAACTGAAGTAAACATGCTAACGTTATTTGGAACATCATTAAACATATGGCCAAAATTTTCATATACCATGTAAATACATACTTAAGTAAATCTAAACCCTGAAAAATTCTATTGCTTCCAAAATATTGGTTTACCTGTAATATAATGCACAACTCAAATCACAAACATTATTGTATTTTGTTTCAGAAATTGAGAGGAAAAATTCTTTCTTAGCCACAGTACTGTAAATCTAATGAAAATTATTATAAATATATATAGCTATACATGTACATGATAAGCGTATATGTAGAAATAAAATTATTATAATATTAAAATTACTGCAATCCAAGCTCTCACAGTTCTGATGCTTTTTGAAAAATTCCCAGCTCTTATTTCCATTTATATGGCTTTTGATAATCCCTAGAATTTTCTATGTATTGCTTTTAACTAACTAATCAGATATGATAATTTCAGAATCTTGCATACATCTTTTAAGGAGCTGGACTCTTCCATACTTTGCAGAACTTCACATATGAAGAAAAATAATACAGCCTATTGGCTCACCATCAGCAATTGCTTCTCCTTTAAGGCTCTTAATTCCTCCTAGAATTGGAATTCCATCCATGTAAAATTCAATAATACTTTCATCCAGAGTAATCAGAATATGAACCCAAGTACTTTCATCCAGATATTTCAGGACTGCTGCTTTGGCTATGTATGTTGTATTGGATCCTAATGCTGTATAATGAAGCACCACAGAAACATGAGAATCATTTGTTTGGATTTTCACACCATAATATAAGGTCGCATTACCATCATCCTTTTCAACTATGTATCCATCAGTATTGACATTAGGAATTAACCATGCTGAAAATGTAAAATTAGTGACTGCAGTATTTCCATTGTATGGGTATTCCAGACCAATAATTCCAAATGCGTCCTCTTTTCCACTGAAATAGAAAGCATCTGTTCCACTGTGATGGCGTCTCATGTGTGGCTGAGATTGTACTGAAGTTGGAAATGATCCTAGCAACAAAAAGTCTACCATTGATGGTAATCCAGCTTGAAATGTACTGGACAGTATTTCCCAGCCTAAACGGACAACACCAAAAGTGCCTTGTTGTCTCCAGATAGTGAAGTCTGTAATATAGGAAAGATCATCTTCAGAAAGAACATCTTCTACTATTTCTCTGTCATGACTCTCTGGATCTATAACGAAGACTCCAAAAGGGTCATCATTGAAAGGGATCATCACAGTCACAGCAAGACTTGTTTCAGACAACTGTCCACCAGGACCAGGAGATCCACCTATATAATGGAAGTTAAAAGTTACTGGTCTGAAGAAAGTTATCAAGTATTTTAAAATGTTTAGACAAAATACCTTTTCAAATAGGCCTAAACCTTCTTTAAAGAGTCTGAATTCTTAAAAATTTCTCCAAATTTAAGATAACATAAATTAACTGCATTGGTTTAAAAACACTATAGAGAACATTTTTATAGAGAACAAGCCATGTTATTTTTCAATCACAGAATATAAGTATCTTTTAGTCAAAACAAGATTAGCTCAGATTTCCTGAATTGCTAATGAGATAGGTTGCTTTTGTTTTATTTGAGAAACATTGGGTAAATTAATTTCTCATTGTACTCCAGAACTTAAACAAACACGAAATGGCAACATTTGGTTCATTACCTCCAAACAAGCAGAGATTACACTGCAAAATCAGTAACCAGTGTGTGCTAAAACTGCTCCTAAGTCCTGCTATTAGTCACCTACTTCTCCGCAGTAAGATCATGTTGTGACTGTAGAGCTTCCATGCACCACTAAGTAGGAAATCTGTACATACATACAGATGTCACTTACAGAAATGTCAATATATTTTCAATTGTATGTTGGCATAGAAGACAATAATAGTACTGAGGGGGAAGGAGTCCAGCAGATTTGGAACTATATTCAAGAGCAGGCCTCTAGAGTTGTAATTTAAGTGATATGAAGTGGTAACTATTTGTATTTTACAGAAATTTCTAGAAAAAAGCAAACAAACCAGCCAATCTCCATTATGGTAGTTATGCATAACCTTTAATACCTTAATTTTGTCAGCTCCACACAAAGCTCTACATCTCTGAAATCACCTAAAGACATCTTTTTTAAAGGCCAGAATCCAAAATGGTGTTCATATACCTAAATCAAAGAATAAATTAAAAACAAAATCTAAAATCTCACCAGAAAAGTATAGAATGACATAGGCATCAAGGCAAAGCTCTTTCCAGGATTGTTTTCTTTTTGATTGATTAAATATAATTATTTTCTACCAGATAAGAAGGGAATGGTTATACGGAAGACAATACCTGAAACATTCACTAATTTTAAAATGTAAAATTCATTGAATTCAGGAATTTTATCTGAAACAGCATGGAGCATTATCGGCTTTGATCCTTCACCATCCATGAAGTACACAGTCCCACAAGTTTCGTAGAACTCTTCTCCTGGCTTCAGTGTAGAATCATTATGAAACAGCTGCCAGGTTACGGAGACATTCCCAAAATGTCCTCTATGTCTCAAAACCCTGTTCAGATATACAGAAAGAGTGATTGTCCTGGCAGGTATGAATCAGCATTCTCTATTAAGAATGGAAAACATGGACTAATCATCCTTACTGTGGGAAATAATATGCATTGTCCTAAATAATCACAAATAACAAATAGAACCCTGAACAATAATACAATCGTCTTAAAGGGCCTGCAATTTCACAATATAGTTGTACACCAAGGTATACCACAGACACCTTAGAAAGAATCGATGAAGGTACATGCAAAATAATATTGTTTGGATGAACATCCGTTTGTCTTGAATATATATTTTTTAATAATTAAAATGAATGCATAGTTCAGCAAATTAACAATAAAAATTGAGTTAACTGGCCACTCTTAGAGAAGTAAGAAAAGGCATTTATCTACAAATATTTTTTCCTTTAACCATCAAGGTGCTATAATATATTTTATCAATAAGGACTAAACAAGGTCAGATGGTGGTGACCTTGGTATCATGTGCTGCCATAAAGCACCTGTATACAAATGAGTTTAGTTCAAATCATCACTCTTCACACCACTGATTTAAAAAAGAAATAAATATATTATTAAGGATCAAAAAACCCCCTCAAAACACAATAAAACCAACCACAGAATATATATTTAATATCCTCTTTTAAAAAGTATTTTATTTTTTTAGATGTGCAACACAAACATAAAGATCTAACTCCCAGTCACAGGGGTCTATTTCAAGGCCTTAAAACAAACAATCAAATCAAATAGAAATATATAAAAGATAATTAAATAATTGTGAAAAAAGCCTCTTCTATAGCTGTTCACGCTGTCCGATTAATTGTGAACTTTATGTTTCTTCATACCCTGTCTGGAATTTTCTTTTTGAGATCAGTATTTTTGTCAATTTAGAACCACATTCTGACTTTAGGAACATAAAAAGTTCAGATGACATGAAAATTAATTTCTTAACCGTTCCACCTCCTGAATACATCCCAGCAGCTACAGGTCAGACTAGGGGAAAATATATTCAGCCTAGAAGAAAGGCAAATCTGGACTTTGAGCATAGGTTCCTATATAATTTGCAGATAGAAGAAAAACAAACTAAGAGAAAGAATATAGTGATATAGGTTGTTTGTAGGGTAGATTGCAAAGTAAGGTGCAAAAAGAAATGAACAACCACATAGTTGTATTTAGCTGTACATCGAAAAGATATTTTTACTTCTCTATTGGTCCAGGTTATATTCTGCTCATTTATCTTGATCCTTCTGTATCCACATTCTCTTAAAAATATAACAAAAACCCCTATGCTGTAATCTTATTTGTGTGAAAATATTAAAAAAAACCCTCCTGTAATCTTATTTGTTTATATTTTAACAGGAATTCTATACACATTTTAATATGCACAGTCTACTTGATAATATAAGAGTTGATGTTTGATATTTTGTTGATCCTCCATACGTTTGCAAATAATTTAATCAAAAATTTGGTGGAGCTAATATTCTTATAAATTTTAGCAAAAAAATAGGATTAGATCAAAGCACTATCCATAAAATGGACACATCAAGATATACATACATGTATTCAAAAAAAGGGCAACAATATGATTTAAAAGATACTTACAAAAAATAATTACTTTTTCCTTCTTCCACTGGCTTCTCTAGAGGTTCTAAGGAGAAAATTCCATTAGGATCATCATTTGCTTCAATAATAACTGTAGCCACTCCAGCATTAAAGATAACAGTATCCCCTAAAAAGAGGATGATTAATTTTATCAAAACTGGAATCAGAAATCTAGAATTGAATATGCTTTCTTCTCACACCAACAGCTTTCAAAGAAAGAAACAAGCAGTGATAAAACAATCAATGAAAATCAATTCAGCAGATAAAAGAGATATTCAGTTACAGAAAAATCAGAATAAAAATATGTAGCATCTAAGGCAGAGATCAAGAATGCAGATTTGCAGAAAAAAATGTGACATGACCAGAGATGATACAATCCTGAGAAGAAAGGATTGTATGAGAGGTAGTACTTCATGTTTGATCAATTGTCAAGTCAGAAGAAAAAGACACATTTGGAGATCCCAGCTCTCCTTAAGACCTAGAACAGAAATATTGCACTTTAACTAAATACAAGGCAACAGCAATCTTTAAAAGATTAGTCATACCCATATCATAGCCTATCTGAAAGGAAAAAAATACAAGATACCTATGAAGTAAGGTGGAAGTTAGTAGGATTTCTATGTAGCACAGTAGGGACATTTCAACATCTCTTTTTGTCCACAAAGGTACATGATGTTTCCATCCCCATCCTAGTTTTCACCCTTTTCAAAAGCACTAGACTTATTTTTATTCCAAAGTGAATAATCTGTTTATGGTTTTAACTTCATATACCTCTACTTGTATTTTCTCAGACACACCACAGTCCAACATAATTTTCAAAAAGGATGTAACAATCAAGGCCAATATAAGCAAAGATCAGAAAAAGAAAAATAATGACTACTTGTTTTTTCTTTCAGGAAATCATCTAGAAATATTCTGTATTTTGCTCATTCTGACAGGAATCTGTGCCAGGAGGAAAGCCATCACAGTTTCCCAACAGAATGGTAAAAGAAAATACCAGCAGATCCTGAACAAAGTTAGTAAAGTAGAAAGAGATCACTGAAGAGAAAATTTAAGAAGGGAGAAGTATGACTTTGTACAATAATTTTCATGAAGATGGTATTCTGTAAGAGAGCTGGGTATCAGAGTGAATTCTAGCTGGCCTCAGGAAATACATTAACTACTCAAATAATTGAGAAAATTACCTATTTCTTATATTTAACTTGTATTTTCTTATTGATTACTCAAAACGCCATCTAATTTGGGGCATTAGGAAAGAGATTTTTAACTCGAGCTATTTTTGCAGGACAGTTTCAAATTTTTTATAATTTAATTTTTGTTTCCAATTAAATAATTCAAAATCAAAATTCAAACACACTGTACAGAAATGTTATTAAAATGTTGATGCAAATATTATAGAAATGTTGATTCATATAATGCCTGGCATTTATATACTGCTTTATTATAGGAACAAGCTGGTAAAATTAGAGAAAAAGGAAAGAGAGTTATTATATATACATTAAGTCATTGCTTTTACCTGTTGAATTCAAAAGGAAGATATAAAATGCTTCATCCGTTTCAGGGGTATCATCATCATTAATATACACAGATAAGGTCTGCTCTCTTTCTCCATCATCAAACAGAATGAAACCATCCTTTTCACTGGGAACAAAGTCTCCCTCTTCAGCTGTTGCATCTCCATTAACAGTAATATACTGGACAGCAACAACAGCATCAGCAGACCCATTCCTTCGGACTGTAAAGTTTGCAACACTCCCTTCTGTAATGCTCACTGTCAGAGGTTCTGAAAACACACAAGCAATACATTCAAGTTCAAGCCTGAGCTTCTTGAATGTGGCCTATTCACCTAATCCCCCACAAGAGGATCCTTCACCTCAGGTAAAGAGAAGGCACACGTAGTTAGGGAAGACAAATACTTAGAAGAGAATACATAGAAGAGAGTATTTTTGTCCTTAGCCACCCAACCAATCCCAGAGCCATCAACAAGAATAATGACATAAAATGAGAGAAAATTATGAAGTAAAAAACCAAACAAATTCAATACAACAACAACAAATTACATTTTATAACACTAGTTCCACTAGGATTAAGATTTTTCAATAATCTGGTCTGTCAATAAAACCTGTTTGGGGTAGAATAGGAATTCAAAATTTCTAAAATAAAATAATTTCTAAAATATCTAACCTGCAAAAAAAATGGGATCATCATTCCTTGTAATCTGTAAAAATGCACTGGTTATATTGCCCAGTCTGGCTCCACCAGTGGCATTGAATAATCTGATTATGAATACCTCCATCTCTTCAGGTACCTGAATGATGAAGTATTGAGAAATTAATGAAATTAATTTCTTGCATACAAAACAATGAAGAAATTAAAATGAACAGCTGAGAAGGTTAACAAAACAGGGTTTTGGCATATTGTTGTTTATTTATTTATTCATAAGTGTATCAAGAGGGATGACAAATGACAGTTCATACATGTACACAAAAACAATAATCAGTCAAAAATCTTTGCAAATAAAACCCCTCATCTTTACTATTACACAGATGATCCAAAAGTTATCTTGCAGTTTTCTGATGCTGATGTACCTTATTTTTACAGCTGTATTTATTTATGTATTCCTTTATTACTAATTATTCTCATTCTTTAAATATATCAGCATTAAAAATATTAAATTAAGATTCTTGCTATCAAAACAGGTGGTTTACATATTATTATAATTTAACCATACTTGGCTACTGACAGATTCAAACTTTTTTGTTTATAGATATGCATAATGCCTCAAATTCTTTTATTATTTGCTTAAATAAACACACTTTTACCCAAGTATTTTGATTTTTCTCGAAAAGATTGAAAAACAGAGCTTCTTCTTAAATTGCAACATTTTAGCACTTCCTCTTTGTTCCACATATCTACATAAAAACGCTGTAAAAATTATTACCTCATCTGGTAGAGAGTAAATCGTGATATTTTTTGAAGACTCCAGATTACCAAAGAAAATAGTCCCTTGTTCTGGATAGATGTCATTGGTACATGCTGGATCAACAGTCCAGGACACACTAACATTGTCATAGTTTCCTTGGTTTCTTACAAGTCTGAAAGAGGCTACAAAATGCAAACATGTACAGTTAGTGTGCGTCTCCAGAAAAATACAAGTCAAAATGAAAAAGGTCAGTAAAGCTGAAACAAAGAAAAAGGAAAGGAAATAATAAGTAAATCCACTTCTTGCAAAACTAATATGTGAGTGCCCTACACAAAAAGCCACACAACAATAGACTGTTAAAACACTAAAGACTTGTATCAATTCTATTGATACAATAGAGATAGATAAATTGAAGCCACATATATGAATGCTTAATTCATTCTTCTCTAATACAGCAGCCAACGCCTCATGCTTGCCAGGAAGAACTATTATCACCAGGCTGTACCTAAATCAATTCTCTGTCCCTCCTGTCTGGTATATTCTCTAGCTATATTTTAAGTGGATATATCCCTATGGCTTTCAAGGTCCATCCTCCTCCACACTGATCTCCACTACTCATCATGATGGTACTGTACCCCCCTGGAAACTCCAGAGTCAGGCATTGTCCTATGAAAGTGAAGCAGGGAGAAGAAGCCTCACAGGAGCATACAGCAGAAAAAGCAGTAATTCTAATAAAAAAAATTACCAGCATACATGATTTCTCCTTTACTTTCCTTTATTGTTACTGATACTTCATCAGGTAGAAACTGAATGACACCATGTGGATCATCATTCTTCAAAATGGTTATATTGACCCTCGTGGCATTTCCCAGCTTGCCTGACATTTCACTGTAGCCACTGAGCACAACAGCATATGCCTCATCCAGCTGGAAGAGGGAAACTCAATCAGAATAAAAAGATTTATTCAGCAGAAAGAGAGGACAATTTCAACAAAAGAAAATTACACTCATTTTCTACATGCACAATGGTTTGTACATCTTTGTCATCTGTAACAGTGGAAGTAAAGATTTTAAAACCATTGACATTAAGCAAATGTTTAAATAAATTTTCAGCTCGCATAATTAATATAATGCAATTTTGTACTTCATATACTTCTTGAAAAAACACTCACAGGAAATGCACCATGGAACACTAAAACAAGTATTGCATCTTTGCATCTATACAGCAAGTATTAGTGTAGACTGTGGAGCACGGAGTTCAATTAGCAGGTATTTACCCAAACAGGAACAAAAAGAAAGTGATTGTTCATACAGCACTCAATTAAACAGTAGTATTCTATAACCGGAATGTCATGGATGCCATAAGCTCAGATGGATGAGAAGTTAAGTTTCAATTTACAAAAAATAAAAATCCACTAAGGCCTATTAAAGCCAAATATACCTTCTAGTTATCCAGGCATCCCTGGTTTGGAGACTGGAAACACATTCCGTAGAAAAGCATTGCATACTTGTTCGGCTCCCATATATTTTCCTATTTTTTAATAAGTGACTATTATGCTATGAACACAATTTGAAGAAAGAAAAATTTTCATTTCTACCTCTGGAATTCCATCCATCCTTGTCAAAAGAGTAATTACGATCTCTCTTTCCCCAGGCTTAAATTCCAGAATTCCTGTGCTTCCATAAAACTCATTATTGTCTCGTGGTTCTACAGTGTATCGCAGAAACTGCCTGACAAGGCTCCCTCTGCTGCGGACAATCTGCAGTTCGACAGAATCTCCTTCCTGTAAAAAAAGAAAATCCAGCATTTTACTTGCACTCTGCTATGATTTACTTTTCCATAATGATTAAGAAAAGTTATTCAGATAGCTACCTTGATGCTATAGGGACCCCTAGAAGAGGGAGAAAATTCAAAAACTCCTCCAGGATCATCATTTTCCAAAATAGTAATTTCACAAGTAGTAAACCCATATTTCAGTATTTGATTTTCCACACTGACCCTGGAAAAGGAAAAAAGGAGTTTTTGAGTTATTGTTCTTTTAGTAAGTAAATACACATTTATGCGAAGGATAATCCTAATTAATTTTATGAATAAATTATGAAAAATTGCCTACAAAGAATATAATAAATTAGGAAAGACACGTCAGAGTGTTGCATTCATTTGCAAAAAATCCAACCCTTGTTCCTGAATTACCTTTTTTTCTGATTATTTTTACAGTTTATAGTTCTGGGGCTTTTTAGTCACACATGCACATAACACAAAGAAATAGAATCGTATACTAAAAATTTAAAATCACATTTAGTATTACTTTTTATTTGGATCAAAACATAAGAAATTATCCAAAATAATTTAAACAAAGAGAGCTTGTATTTCTTGCATTAATTTCCTCAGATGTAAATTTTCAACTACATTAAGTTTATTCAATTAAAAATGCAAGAAAAACTACTACTGAAAGATGCATAAAGAATGCACCTTCAGACTGATGACTTTGATATATCTTATTAAGGGTTGGTTTATGAACTCAGATTCATCTTCCATGTTCTCTGGAAGAAAATTTCAATGAACAAACAGGAAATATCTATTTTAAAGGGTAATATGTACTGTTTATTGCATATTAAAAAAAATATGCCAGCAGACACAATAACCTGTTAACACAAACTAAACATATGTCATTCTAAAAAAGGATAACTGCTCATCTTTGATCAGAGAAAATTTCTCTACAGTTCTAGTCAGCTCGGGCATTAAGGTAGGACAAATTGTATTTCTGGCAGTTTAAGACAACGGATCCATTATTGCAATCAAATGCAGGTATCAAACACTGAATCATGCATTAATAAATTTCATTCACAAATCCTAAATAACCCTTCAAGCCAGAAACTCATGCCATCAAATTAAAAACCAAAGGGCAAAGCAAAACCAAAGCAAATATTTTCTGAGGGGATGCAGAAGACATGATTCCTGAAAGGAAAAGTTTTTGACAGATTCTGTTCAAACTTATCACTCTTAAAACAAAGCACTGATTCACTGAAGACAAACCACAGTTCACTGCACTTACCCAAAGTACACGACAAACCTTTCTGTCTCTACCCTGTTAACAGAGAAAAAAAGAAGGAAAGAAGGAAAGAATAATAGAGGGAAAGAAAAGGGATGGGGGAAGGAATGAAAGTGCCACTTCCTGGAATTTCAATAGTACGAGTCTTAGACAATAACAAAAGAGTACCACAAAGGTTTTTTTTCCCTTTCCAAACGTATCATGTTCCTTTTTTGGGAACCTCCTTCCTTGGCATTTTCCTGTTAGCAAATGCTAGCAAGTGGGCAGTCCCCGCTGGTAAAAAATGACCCCATGACCAATTCAAGACATCAAGGCCCATTCATGGTATATCCTACCCAGCCCTCCTCCAGGAGTTCTATCACTGCCAACCTCTGTGTCTGTTCATAACAGCACCAGCAGCCCATATTTATAACTTCATGCCAAAAAAATACAATCAACATGCCTCCATTATGTGTTATTTCATCAGTCTGACATAGTAATGATAAAAACAGAAAAGTACATTGGGAGTTATACATATAAAAAAAAATTTAGCACAAAATCACATCAAACTTTATTTTTTATTTTCTTTTCAGTTAATCAGATTACCAGAGTAAAATACCAAAAAAAAAAAAAAGAAAATAAGAAAACTATCACCCCCCCAAAAAAACCTCATAGAAATAGGAAAACATAGAAAAACATAGAAATAGGAAAATAAGCACATCTAACAAAACTATCACATCAAGCCAGACAAATGGACATTATTCTGCAATAACAAGTATGTAATTTCATTAAAGTATGTAGAGATTATTTTCTTAATCTAAAATAAACATATATTTAATATAAAACCTGGATCTACCACTAAAATTGTATAAACATGTAAACAAAGCATTTATAAAGTGAAATTTTGAATTCAAAAAAGAATTCAGATTCAGAATTCAATAGACATAAGAGTTTACACAAAAGTTTGAAGTAATAGAGCAAATACACTTGCAGCTTTCTTCTTTCAAATAGGAGAATTAATTTAGTAGAAATTTCTTAGTTATGTCAAATGAGGCTACATTTTAAATACTATATATAAAGACATTATCCTCTCCATGAGAGATGCAAGTTTTCCAAAATCATCAAGCATTAATACTATTTAAAAAGTCAAGGTGAAAATTCCAGAGCTAAAATTTATGCTAAATTTTCATTATATTGCTCTTAATACTAAGATTTAATTATATCACTAAGCTGTTGGTATCGTATTTCACAGCAGAGAATACAAATGAACCATTATATCAAGTAGGTTTTTGGTAGGTATGCAAAAGCTGGAGTGGTTAAGACACAATCATCAAAAAGTGAAAGGGCATGCCAGCATCTCTGTCATCTTCATGAAGTCAGACTGCATGAGTCCAAATAGAGCTCAGACAAAAAAGGGCATGTTACCTGAGTAGTGCTAGAATCTAGTATCATGTTGCAATGTACAATGGCAGCTCTAACGAAATCCAAGGGATAGCAGAAATTAAACTGTCCCAGGGTACCATAAGGAGGTACTTTTAGCATCTCCAGATATACTTTGAAAGAGAAGTATGAGAAGACTGGCAATACTTACTACCTTTTAACAGTTACAGTGTAAGTAAGACAGGAATCTCGAGAAGTTAGAAAGCAACTAGTCAGATTCAGCCCATACACTGCTAAAAACACCATTATCTTGGATTTTTCTCCAGACAAGGTTTTAGAACTTGGGTCACTTGGCTGACTGATGGATCTGACCATGTTTTCCCTATATGAATGGCTAGACTGCTACCAGTGCTGTGACATATTAAATATTGGTTAATATTCAAAACCAGTAGATGGTGGTTGGGAACTGGAACAGGATCCCCAGAGTAGCAGTCACAACACCCAGCCTGACAGAGTTCACAAAGTTTTTTGACAATTCCAATCACAGTGTGATTAGGGCATCCTGTGCAGGACCAGGAGTTGGATTGGATGACCCATATGGGTTCCTTCCAATCTTGTTTATTCTGTGATTCCATGATAAAACAGCCTATGCAAAACAGAACAGAAGCCACGAGGCACAAGCTTCCAACTTAGATCTGCCATTGCATGAGCAATGAACACAACAGGATCCCTCATGTCTACATTCTGATGTACAAATTTACAAATTTTCATATCAACCTTGCACCAGGATCCATCCAGTGACTTCCTGGCTCAACCTTGGATTTTTCTTCTTGCTGTGGACCTGCCTGGCCGTCACTGAGCTGTGTCTGATGCCAGTGACCATCATCCAAACTTGACATGTGTTCCTGGCTCAACCTGCCCCACCACCACTACCTTGCCTTATACCCTGGACTGAAGGCTGCCCCCACTTCCCATATGACAAATCTCATCTGAGAAGTCATCACAGAAGTTTTTTCTTTAAAAATACCTTAATTATAACTTAGCAAGAACTACAGATTAATTAGGACAACTAAGAGAAGCTTCAAAATGTTTTCCCACTTTTTAAAAATGCATAGTAGTATAAAATAACAGAAAGAAGATTTTTGACTGAGTTAAAATAACATCACAGTTACAAAATAAATACTACTGAAAATAAAATAATAATTAAGAGATGTGTTTGAATTTGATAGCTTTAACTAAAGAACTGGAATTCTGAAGAAAATGAATGCTTTGAAAAGCCCATGAGAAACCAAATTGTAACTGAATTTTTATTAATGTTACTCTGAAACACACACTTCTCTAAACTCTTTCTCTTCTTTGGGTGTCTCAGAAGAGGCACATGTAAACTGCTGGTAGAAAGTTACTCAATTTGCTTCCTCGATGGGTGTTCATTACTTCATTTTTTTCAGGATTATTTACTGACTTAATTAGTGACCTTGCTTTAAAGGATAGTATTCAAGGAGGATTGGCCACATTACAAATTCCACAGTGTTTCTCATCAGAGGGAACACCTTCTCTCCAGGTTTAATCCACTATTTATTTCATTTTGGAGGCCATTTTAACTTATGTTATTCATAGCAGATGATATATGGTGTTACTACTTTGAAAAGTAATGAAAGCTCGCAGTAGGTGTCCAATAACACTCATACAAACATTCTACTACCAGTTTCAAATAACTTTTTCCCTATCAAAACAAGATATGACCAAAGCATTGAAGTAAAGGCCAACATTCTACACTGAAATACTTAATTCTTATAGCATCACATATGTTTCTTCATGAAAAAATTACTTAAGAAAGATAAATATAGTTTTGAAATAGCACTAATCACAGGAAACCCCCAAGTTAGAAAAATATTGCAAACTCTGTTAAACAGCCTCACTTATGCTCTGAATTAAGGCACATAGACCGTATGCAGTGCTTTATATGGGTCTTCCATGATTTGCAAACTTTTTTATCATTAGGTAGTCTCTTAAAGACAAAAATGTCTTGATTAAATTTACAAAATAATTATTTTTAAAATGTAAATACAAAACATAGGTTTGACTCAAGTGCTGTGTTCAGTTTTGGGCCCCACAATTCAGCAACCATGAATTTGTATTATTGTAACTCTTAAAAAACATGCGTCTCTAAAAAACTTTCTCTTCTATCAGGTATATCAAAGTGTCCTCTTCCACTGGGCCACTTTCCAGCCACTCTCCTGCAGCCTGTAGCTCTACATGGGTTGTTGTGACCCATGTGGAGAATCTGAGACTTGGTTTGGTTGAATTTCAAGGTACTGGCATCAGCCAGTCAACCCAGGTCCCTCTGCAGACCCCTCCTATATGGGAGGATAATTTGTAAGGATAGTGCAGAAGGCAGTTTTCCACAATGAATTACAGCTGTACTGATTCCTGAGAAGTGGAGACAGCCTTGCCTGCCCAATGAGGATGGGTGTTATAAAAGAATGGGCTAGCTAGTCAAGAGTAAGCTGTATTTTGAGATGGAGTTGGAGTCTACTGCAGCTCAGGATGCAGTCTGCTGGCTGTGCTGTGAGGAGGTAAGGGACATACCGTTAGGCAAGGCAAGATACTGTGTGAGGGACAGACAGGGTCAGGTGGCTGGGTAAGGGACAGCTTGGGGCTAGCCAGTCATGCAGAAGAGAGAAGGAGTCAGTGCTGTGTGGAGCTGCCTATGAGGAAAGGAGACAGAGTTGCTTAAGAGAAGTCCACTAAGAGAAGGCATGGAAAGTTTTTAATAAAGGACTGATGATGGTGTCAGTCCAGTCTGTCTCAACATAATTACTACACTCCTACCCTCCATCAGATCAACAATCACATATAACTTGGTATCATTGAGAAATTTACTAAGAGTAAACCCCTCATCCAGATCGTCAATAAAGATATTAAACAGTTCTCGGCCCAGCACTGATCCCTAGAGAACATCACTAGTGACTGGCCACCAGCTGGATGCAGCACCATTCACCACCACTCTCTGGGTCTGGCCATCCAGACAGTTCTTAACCCAGCAAAGAGTGCTCCTGTCCAAGCCGTGGGCTGCCAGCTTTTCCAGGAGTTTACTGTGGGACACAATAACTTTGCTGAAGTCCAGAGTGAGAATATCCACAGCCTTCCCCCAATCCCTCATATGTCATCTGATCATAAAAGGAGATCAGATTGTTCAGGCAGGACCTGCCCCTCCTAAACCTATGCTGGCTGGGTCTGAAACCCCAGCCATCCTGTAGGTGTCCTATGACTGCACTGAAGATGATCTGTTCCATAACCTTGCCAGGCACCAAGGTCAGGCTGACTGGTCTGAGTTCCCCAGATCCTCCTTCCAGCCCTTCCTGTGAATGAGCATCATACTGGCCAACCTCCAATTGTCTGTGACCTCCTCAGTTAGCCACCACTGATGATAAATGATGGAGAGCAGCTTAGAGACCTCTTACAACAGCTCCCTCATTACCCTAGGATGGATCCTATCCAGTCCCGTAGACTTGTGACCACCTAAATAGCTTTGCCAATCACTACTTCCTCCAGGATTTCAGGAGACTCTTCAACTTTGTTTGCCCATCCAAGGGACCAGTTGCCATGAGAATAATTGGCAATAATAATTACTGAGGCAAAGAAGGTGTTAAGTACCTCAGCCTGTATCACATCACAGAAATCACTAGTACTATAACATTTTCCACATTACATTGCATCAGTTTTGCTTCACTGAGCATATGTCGTATAAATAAATTAGATACATACATATATACATGGATCTTTTCTGGCATCCTAATTTACGGGAGTCATGACCAAAAGATTCTGAACATAAACTATTTAAACACTCAGCTGTTTCTGGATTTTAATTTTCCCAAACTAAAAAGAAATTAATTTGTGTATTGCTGCTCCCATAACCTAAAGTCCAGAGGTTTTTCACTCTCAGCTCCATTCATTTAAGAGAACAAGCACAATCTATGTGCCATGTCCTGGTCCTTCAGCCGTGACAATTGCCAAATTTATAGCTGTGTATCTGCACTGGGAGAATGACAGCTGCCAATAGCAGAATTTCTTGTGCAAAAGTTACAAACAACAATTAGATTTCACTACAGACCTCTGGCTTCATTTATGTTTAGTTTCAATTTGGGCTTATTAAGATATGGGCAGGCATCCAAACTGAAGCTGGTCCTAAAGAAAGAAAATATGAAGAAGCTTCAGCAGGTACAGGATTATCTTGCTTCTTTATGACTCATCTGTCTTCTAGGTAAGCATATTCTTCATGATATATATTGGCCTCCATTTTTTGGACAACGTTCATAATTATTTTTAATATCCAGGGCTACAGATGGTGGCCATAGAGCAAGGAAGGAAAACACTATTTTTAATGGCTTGGAAGGTTTTTTTTATAATTATGGGTACAATCAAAGCTCATTTAAAAATAAATTGCCTTAACAACATCACTGAGTTGTAAATAATACATCCTTGTTAGAACTAATTATTGTATTATTTTACCCATGCCATTACTAGTTGCAATAAATGGAGTGCTTATGAACATATTTTTATGTCTATGGTTTCATTAAAGTTCGTACATGCTCTGTTTTTCTACTGACTTATGCTACAGTTTATCAAACAGTGCAAGCACATCCACAGCACAGTGCATCTTTGTTGCATCTACTGCTGTGAAGTGCTGGCTGCCAGTCTTGAAAACTGAAATCTTCTGTTCATCTAGAAGACACAAACTATGTAGGAGCCAATACCAAAAGCTTATATGCATCACCCTGCCAGTATCATTCACCCTTGTTTTGAAGAATCATCTCCAGTATTGAAAGGATGATCTTTGCAGATATTTCATTCTTGGCTCCTGCTCACATTAAAGTGTCCGAATTTCACGTGTAGCCTTGAGGGACACTATTCAGGTCTAGAGAAATGTTCAGATTTTATCTGCTCCTTATTTACTTATTTTTCCTGGCTAGACTACCTGTTCCTTACTTCACTCTCTGACCTTGCCAAGTGTGGGAAAGCAGCTTACAGCTGGCAAAATTTTTACCAGCCACTTCATGATCAATAGAGCCTGCTACTTTCACTATACGTAACAAAAGTAGAACAGCAGTTCCATTTGTTCAGCTGCTAATTCAATCCCTTTTAGTCCTAATTTTCAAGGCATGGGATTACTAGTCAGAGTAAGTGGTAGAAAGCTGTCTCTGCACACTGCAGAGCTGCCCAATATTGAAAAGTTAATCTTATGCTGTCCACTTTCTCTATGTACTTACTTGTCTCTCCTATCCTTCCACTTTATCATTTTTGCCACTTTACACAACTTCAATCATTATTTCTAATCTTAGTTTTTTTGTCTGTGTCACAGACTCTAATAAACTTTCAGGCAAACCATTTTCATCCACAGGAAGAAAAACAGAACTGCTTCCAATAGTCTCCATTTGTTTTTGTCTTGAACAGGACCATCTTTTCAACACAGTGAGTATCCAAGATAGAATGAAATAATTCATTGGGCACTAGATGCATTCACCAGCCAGCTTCTACAGAAGCAGACCAATCCTGCACTGGAAAAGCATCTTCCCTGTGTGATAGAACAATGCTCAAAAGGAGCAGCAGCAGCTTGAGTTGCTTTTTGGTTTGCTAGTATGTAACCTACATGAGTATCTAGTGTTAAAAGTTCCCATGAGCTAGTCTTCCTATATACAACAAGGACACTTCTGCATAAGGTAAGGACTGTGTAAGTAGTAGATGTTCAATGCAGACATTGCAGCTGACAGACCTCTCTTAGCATGTTTCCAGAAAAATAAATGGAAAAAATATACCTTAGATTATTAGGGGGTATTTTTCTAAACTATGTATACATCTGAATTTTTTGAATAAGGACTGAAGAAATAGCCAAGATTCTCCTGCTAGTAAAACAAAAAGGATCCTGGATATGAAATAATTCAAGTATTCTGAGTACTGTTCACATGCAGATAATATTATCTCCTGAGGCCTCTCACAGCCTTAATTATCCTGCAATCCTTATGTCACACAGAAGGGAGACCACAACACTGTGCTTCAGAAACATTCTTTGTCCCTTTGTAGCTGAGGCACGTCATAATAGTCACACTGGCCTATTTTGGAAGCCAGTAGTTGTGATGGCAGTATCTAATTCTGCAACAATATCCTGACTATAAACCTCTTCTGAGAAAAACACAGTTATGTATTGCTTTCGTTACTATTCATTATAGCTTTTTCCATTATCTCACTAAACATTATTTTCCTGAAAATAAAAGTGTTATAATCAATAACTAAAGATCAAAGCTAAGTGAAAATTTTTAGTAGCATACATTATTTTCATCAAAATATAAACAAGTCACTAGATAATAAGCACAACATCATTTCTTACATTGATCATGAGTCAAAGAAGATTTTATACACAGTCTGAAGCAAGGGCCCAATATTCCTCCCGCCTTTTACCAACACAATGGAGGCAACATCTCATAATTAATACCATGCCAACTTTTTATATATACATTGAGTAGAAAAAGTGAATAATATGAATAAAGGTTAGGGTACAATACCTGTCCAAAGTTAATAACACGGTTTCATTAATTTCAGGTATATCATCAGCTTTAATAGTAATGTTGATTGTAGTATCACTTTGTCCAGATAAGAAAACAACAGAGCCATTAAAAGGACTTATATCATCCTGTGTTACTGCCTTGTGATTAGGACCAGAGGGTCTCAAACTCCAAAACACTGTTGCTTGACCATCAGTCCCATCTCGATGCAATGCAATGGGAACCTGTAAAGCAGATTGAGTCTGCTGTGACTTGCAAAATTAGATGCAAAAACAATGAATCCTTTGCAAATTACTGTTTGAATATAAACCTCAAAATATTCACCTTGAGTTTTTTACTTATACCTATGTCTAAGATCTGAAATCAAAGATGGTATATCAATGAAAATACATTCTGAATCTTATATTTTTAATCATCTATCCATTATATACTTTTACATATATGTTTATATATACTTAGTGGGGGTGGCAGACTGTTCAATATTACCAATCACTTAGCACTCATAAACACAAAAATCCTTCTATGACTGACTTAACCAATGCCCACCTCATCAAGACAACCCAGGTTTTAAATGTAACCACTTTAATTTACTCTGGTTGTTATAGTTCCAGCCTGTACACTGCTTAAGGAAATCAACAGTTTTATCCTGAGGATGAAAAGCACGTTCTCTGATTCAGGATTTGAGGGAAGATGTCAGTTGAAACAAGAAGGGGGAAAAAGAGAAAATGTAAGAAAAGGTATTTTATAAAGGGTTTCTCTGGCTGAGATTACAGCATTCATATGGACAACAATGCTTTCGAAAATGCTTTGGGTAGTGAGAAACAGAAAAAAACATATTTATTAGAAAACAGACCCAGCAAGCCAAACCACATATTCACATGTAAGTGAACTATAAAATATACAGACACTTTCATGAAGTTTGGGAGCAAAATCAGTCCTACTCTACAGGAGTGCCTTTGCAGCTGGGGCAAGAAATTAAACTGTATGCAGCATCTTTAGCTCCATGTGAGCATCAAGACCTAACCAGTTCTAGATTTTTACAGAGAAAGCAAAATTCACCACTCTTTTCAGATGACAAACACATTAATCTTGCTAGCAATTTTTTGCCCTTTTGGTTTTTTAAAGCACAAGAATATTTGGGATAAGATCAAACTCAGAGGATGGATTTTTCTCACATTAATTTTCAAATGTTACAGTGCATATAGCAAAATTTGCTTTCTCCAAATAAGTTTTCCATACTAAGGGATAATATAAAAATGTTTACTTACCACTGTAGCAGGCAATTCTTCTGGCTCAGAAAGAATAATTGGAAGATTGCTAGTAAAGCCTATTTCCCCATTTGCAATATCTGGAGTAATCCTCAAAGAAATATTTCGAATCTCACCTAATCTAGGACTCACGGGTGGCACAAGAGGAATTCTATTCAGCAGCTCAACTTTTTCCAGCTGTGAGAAAAAGTAAGAAAAACTTGAAAAATAAGAAGCCTGAGTACCAAGAAAGAATTATTCTGACATCTTGGAATGTGTCATATGCAAGAAGCAAAACACCTCCAGAATAAATTTCTCCTACCAGTAACATTGCTATTATAAGGATGTGTAAGTAGCTGTGTAAGCAATGAAGTGAATGGTATTGAGCTTCCACAGCAGAATGGTATAGGTCTCAGAAAAATCATGTACACAACTAAATATATGTAGAGGGAGAATTCACTGTCTTAACTGGGCAATTCATTACTAGATCTATGAATTGATCTGCCAAGCATAGCAGATGTTGTTCTAACTTCCGTTTTTTGCCATGCATTGATAAAAATCAGCTGAAGTCACTGGAAACTTAATAATTTAGACCCTTTCATGAAGCCAAAGAGTGATTCAATCTTCTTTCCTCTCTCAAAAAAATATAGAGACTTCTCTATTTACAGTAACTAATATGTTAGAATTACATTCAGAATTGAAAATCAGTACAAGATTTCAAAACTGTAGTCTCCTTTTAAATTACCATATTTTGATGGTTTATTTATACTAAGAAGAAATAGAAAAATGTTTATTCTATCTTTGAATGGAAAATGCCATTCACTTAACCCACCAGCACCACTGAAATAACAAGGAAGGCAGTACTTGTTTTAATATTCCTTTCAAATACACTTTATAACACTATGAGATTTTTTTTGTCTATATGGATCATAATAACAGATGTTTCCATGACTGATTTGCATATACTTCTGTAAACATTTCACTGGTGCATGAACTACCAATGACAACCCTCTTTTAATTCCCATTAGGATGTTTAAGTGTCTGCATACTGAAGTACGTGTTACACATCTTGTCCATGGTCCAAACTGCGATGCTATTTGTAATCTATTACCTGAAAAGAGCTTGGAATTAGATATTTCAAGTCTTCTGTCGATCTTTCAGATCACATGAAGATGGTAAAACATACCTATTCTAATACTTCAGAACCATATTCCCTACCTAGCTATAAACATAGAATGTGTGTACACCTAAAACAGTAACATGATTCTGGCAATACTTTTTTTCTCTCTTTTTTTCTCTTTTTTTTTTTTTTTTTTTTTTTTTTTTTTTTAATAGAATGTACCAGTAAGGAGGTAGTGGGAAGAAATCTTTTAAAGTAATTAAAATATCTTTGGTAGGCTATAAATTAAAGAAAAAAAGAACAAATTTTATGTGATGGTTTCATATCAACATCTCCATTTGAAAATTTTGAAGTCACCTGACTTAAAATTAAAAGACTAAAAAAATCTAAGAAATTACTTTGAGATTTGAGTTTTGGTTGTGCCAAGTCACCCCCTGGTCTATATATCAGGATTGCTCCTGGGCTCATGATCCCAGACAGTGTCAATAGTTAATCAGAGGAAGCAGTGATTATTCAGTAGTTTTAAACTGCAGATGATAAAATAAGTACAAAAAATTGCTGACTACAATGCCCAGAATTACCCACAGCAGCATACCTGAACAATAACTTGCTAACAAGTATGAAAATCTGGTTTTCTCCAGTGAAAAATGAAGAAAAAAAACCTCATCACATAATTTTAAAAAATCTTTCTTTAAACATTTTTGTGGAAAACCTGCTTTCTTCCAAAAGCATAATTTTGAATTTTTCCATCCAGTCTTATGAGCAGTGACAAAATCTCCCTTCTTACAAACTCAGATAGAGAAAAACAAATAAATAAACAAACCAAAAACCCAACCAAACAAAAACAAACAAAACAAACAAACAAACAAAAAATAGAGGATGAAAAAACCAAAAGGGCACATACAGGGAAAACTAGAAGAACTTTTCAATTCCCTGGTCAAAGTGGCACATAAATTAAAAATGAAACATATGTTTGACTATTTTTAATTTATATTTCCTTGCTTTTAATTTCTAAAATCTGTCATACTTCTGTGGTGTAGGAGCCTTAATTTGATTAAATTGAAAGCCAAGGGGTAGACAGAATGTCATACCTGAAAACGTAACTAACCTCTGCAACAACTAACCTCTGCAACATTGATATAATTTTGTTAAATTTCATGATTAATAACTGAATTCTATTACAACACTGTATTTTTTAATGGTATAATTAAAAAATAATGATTACAGATAAAGGTCTTTATAGCATATTTGTGGAAGCTTTATCTAAATTAAAGTTTTCTGGGCTACAGAACGAATAATTTTTTTATTTTTTTTTTTTTTTATCAGGTGGAATCATTAAATTAAAAGGGAAGGAGCCACTACTATTTTATATTCTTTATATTACATGGACTAAAAACCCACCCCAAAACACAGCTGAGATACCTGTATTACAAAATGAGCTCCATTTTGAAGAAATGCATCATTTCGTATAGGTATATTTACAGTAGTTTGTGCTTTTCCTTCTGGAAAGATGAGAGTACTTCTTCTAGACATATTTAGAATGCCACCTTTTGCTCTCTCAAGATCCAGAGCTCCAGCTGGAATGTACATTGCAGTATAAACCAACTGCACATCTCCAACTGTTCCTCTTTCCCGTGAAAAACTCAAGGATAAAAAGCGTCCCTTTGGATTACTTTCAATCTTCTGATTCTCCAGAGGATGGAATTTTATTAGGCCATAAACATCATCACTGTCCTGAATGTAAAATAGAAGCTGCATGCTGCATTACTCTATAACATAGTTTCATGCCTTCACAAAAACATCTCCTGACTGTCACCATACATTTTTCTCCTTAGTGAACTGGTATCAG